CGAACCGTTAAGTGGGTGTCGCTATATGGCAGGATGTTACTTGGCGCGGTCGAATAAAGTAGATTTCGCTGTTCCGTAGTCGGGGCATATAGCGGCAAGGATCCCCACGGGAACCGTAATTGAAGATCTTTCAAGTCTACGGTTGCCTTATATTGCAGCAGAAAGTCCATGCCTAACAGGCTTGGGGTGCTGCCTTCCACTAGCAGGAATTCGTGTTCAACTGGCCTTCCGGCAACAACAAGTTGGGCGGCGACTCGTGCGGTTGCCACGAATTTCTCGGCTGATGGTCCCTGCAGAGTCACGCGGCAAGGTGCACTGGGTAGTCGCTTTGGCGTATCCCGCTCGTTCAGGAGGGAGACGGCGGCACCAGTGTCGACGATTAGCCGTATAGGATGTTTCTGTAAGAAGATCAAACAATGTAAATGTTGGCCTCCAACGGCACTACAGGTATACGTAGCTTCGGCGGGCATAGACTGGCTCCCGCGATGGTCATATTGTATAGGGTTTGTAGTTGTCCGTTTCGCCGCGATTGACGACATTAGTGGCATCTTTCCGGATGGGTGTTCAGCGAACAATCGGCCCAAAACGGTGTCCACGGGGGGTGAATTCAGTTCTTCTCCTTCAGCAAGCGGCGTCGGTAGTTTCCCATAGGACTCGGCGGCGGCGGCATATCGGATGGAACCGGTTTCTAGTGGAGCGGGCGGCGGTACGTTGGCGATCTCGCCGGACGGCGGCTCCGGAGTAAGATGTAAACTCGTTGGTCTACGTAGGGTGCGGGCGCTCCGGAGTGCGGCAAACTCTATTTCCTGAGATTGTGCGGCACTTTCTTTGGGCGGCGGCAGTAAGGGAAAGGGGTCCACGATGTCTTCGACTCCACTTGGAGGAGCATTTAGTCGGGCGCCGGGTTGCTTGGTTGGCGGCGGCTTCTGCGACGGCTGCGAACGGACGGCCTTCGTTTCGTCGTAAGGTGGGCCCGTTCTGGCAGCTACTTGGTGGGGAGGTCTCGACTGTTGGGAACCCGTCGGTCGGCGTGCTGTGTGGGTATTCCGGTTCGCTGTAAGCTCGATGTCCGTGAACTGCGCGGCACTCTCTTCGGGCGACGGCTCTGAGGGCAAGGGGGCCACGATGGCTTCCACTCCATTTGGAGGAGCATTTAGTCGGGCGCCGGGTTGCTCGGTAGACGGTGGCATCGAGTGGAGGTGCGGCGGGGCGTTACAGGTGTTGGAACCGGATTCAGTAACCCGGGCAGGCGCGGTGAGCGATTGAGGGTGAGCCGGAGACGTACGGTGGTTGCGGAACCGCCGTTGGGGAATGGGGGGGGTGAGCGGCTGCTCACTGGGGCTTACGGTGTTGACTGTCAACCTCCGCCCCGAGAGGCTGACCGTAGCTAGTTTCCCGATAGCGGCACGGAGTTAGTGGAAAACCCCGGTCCTCTCGGGTTATGGCTTCCTGATCCTCGGGCTCTTCTTCCTGGGGAGACTAGGGGATCTTCTATGGTTTCGGCAGCAAAGTTCATTACTGCGGCGGCTGTACGTCGTCGGCACTGGGCTTCAATGCGGCACGCCATATCGAGGGCATCCGTTAGAGAGCGCGGGTGGCTGCTAATGATAGGGACCTGGTATCCCGTCTCGCGTATCCCGTCGATAAAACGCTGCACGATGATGCTGTTGTAGGTGGCGGTTGGTAACTCCCCAAATACAGCTCTTCCCAGGCGTTCCAGCTCTAGTGCAAAGTCCTCGAAAGACTCTCGTGGTCCCTGCATACGATTGTGGAAAGTGTGATAGCCAGTGTGCTTACTGATTGTAAAGTATTCGCGCATGGCGGATGTCAGGGAGTTGTATGAGCTGAGAGTGGCTTCTGGTAGGGTAGCGTGAAAACGCTGAGCACGCCCACGCAGACTCGTATACAACTTTCTGCACTTCTTCCTCTCTGACCAGTGGTATTCTTCGGCCATGTCGTCCAGTAGGCGTTGAAATTCGGGCCAGGGACGTGTTCCATCGAAGGTAGGAGGCGGCTCTGTATCCGACACCTCCAGAATTCCCCATTGTGAGGTTATGTCTCCGACTGGACGATGGGCAGCCATCGACGCGGTCCCTGGAATGCCGTTCATTCTCCGTGGAAACACTTGCTGCGGCTGTCCTGAACCGGCATTGGCCATTTCAGCTAAGCACGGGGTGCTGGCAGAGTGTCGCTCACCCCCAGTTTTGTTCACGCCTTCGCTGTTGCCCAGCATGGTCCTCTCGAACGTCGCCCACATTTGTTCGAACTTTTGCTCGAACTTGAGGTTGAGCGACTGATCCAACGCCTCCACTTTTTGTTCGATAAGGCGGAACGAGCGGTTGATGGCGCGGCCCACTGCATCCAGCGCGGCAGCTCCATCCTGCGGATCTTCTAAACTACACCCTGCTGGCGATGCTTGACGGCGGTGGCGGGAGGAATTCTTAGGCATTTTGACGCAGGTCAGGGTTCTCGCAAACCCTAGTGACCCCACACCTGGCACCAATGTAACGATTTTGCCGCCGTGGAAGGGCGGATCTCGTCACGGAAAGCCGAGCGGAACTTCTTTTTAGATCGGTGTGCGGTCACGATCCCGTCAATGCCCACTCCCTCGCCTAAGCTCCACCAAAAACACACGCGTAGTTCTTAATTATTTCGCAGCTTTATTGGGTCTCCTACTCACAGAGCGCACGAGGCGCCATGTGCTTTTTTCTGATCTCGTTTTTAGAAGAAGGAAGAAGGAATCAAGGAATAAGGGAACAGAGAGAAAATAAAGAGACCAGGCAGCCGGGCTGTCAAAGTCTCATTTTGGCGCTGCTTGAAGCGTTGCCACCTAGCCGACTATCGAAAGCCCAAGGTTTTCGGAGGCTTTCGTTACAATATTATTATGAGATGCGAATATGCGGCATTTATCGGGCAACAAGTTGCGAATACTGGGCATGTTTCTAATTTAAATATTTCGCAAGTGCGCGAATCGAACTCGCGCAAGACCATTCACCAATGACCTAATTGAGACGTAAGTTCTCCCAGTTATCTCGAGCCGTGATTGTCTACCCACTTTTGCACTGAGTCACTGGCCAACTGACGACATCCACGGGTGTGGAGAGGGTCACATGCAAATGCGAATCCTATTTTAATTAATGTCTACATACACTTTTCTGTTTATTGCTTTTTTAGTGAAAAGTCATGCAAGATGCCAGTGATTCATGAAGATTTATACTTGTTTTTGCAACAACCGCTTAAATTGGCACACTTTGTTCTGGTTTCATTGCTGGGTCTATGACAAAACCCCCCTTTTCCACCTTTTTTTTTAGTTTTTGATTTCCCCGGCCTTTTCAGTTTTTGCTACTAATATTGGTGGCGTTCCCTTTTGCCGTTATCCGCATCGTGCAAATGTTTATGTGCATTACATCAAAGTACATTTGTTTTTCAGCCGGTTGTCGCTGCCGGTTGCTGTTGCCGTGAATTAGAGTCACAGCGGCAACAAAAAGGGGGACTTCCACAGTGTTTCGGCCATGTCAGCCCACGAGTGTTAACAAATGTGTACCGAAAATGTTTGTTGTCAAAACTTTTTGTCCTGCCATTTTGGGGAAAGACGGGACACCGAGGCATATGTCATTTAATTAAGACAAGTTGGGACAACCAGCATGTAGATAAGAATTGCTTATTTGGCAGAAATTGGATATTCTTGTATACCGGTTAAAAGTCTTTAAAACAAGAATTTCAAGAAAGATCAATGAGTCAGCCGCTCAATTAAATAGTATTTACCATGCATATCACGCATTCCTATAAAATTCAAATGAAAATAATATTGTCAAAGAAAACACAATAATTGTTATTTTCATTACAAAAAGGGCATTCAATTTGAAAAGTGACAAAATCATCTTTTTATTATTAACTATTTTTTTGCATTTAATCAATGCAATTCCCATGCCTTTCACGCATTGCACAATAATTCACCAGAATATCAAAGTGTCAAAGAAGCCACCCAAGAATTAATAATAGATTCAAAGAATTGCGACAGCTTTCACTCAAGATTTATGTGCAACAATTACAAGTTTATTTCGACATGATTGCAATATGCAATTATCGCGTTAAAAATATATAAAGCTGTGCCCCTATAAATCGGAAAATCGCAGGCGGTTGGTTGACATATTGCCTAGCCCCGGCGACAGCATCAATTTCCGCTGCTGCGCCAAAGATCGTTCAATCAACATAATGCCGTTGGGAGATCATTAATGTCTGAAACTCTTAATGCCAAGAAAATATTGGGGGAAAAAAAACAGCAAAATCTGCAAAAAAAAACTTTGGCGATGGAATATTGCAGTCATTAAAAGATTACTTAGTAATTAAGCAACTATTTATATACTCTTCTTTTAAAACGGAAACCATTATAAGTTTCCGCTTTCCTGTGTTGACCGTGATTGAACTTTAACTTGATAAATAATAAGTTTTTTTGGATATTACCAGAACACTTAGTTTTTTTTGGCATAGCTTTCAATCAGTCAATCTTACCATACGTTAATAAAATATATAAACAAAGAGGATGAGTTTTTACCAAGATTACAGACATTTGCCAAATATTTGAGACAACAACTGGCCAACAATTCCATCAAGGGCAACCAAAAGCCGAATTTACCTCATCTCTTTGTATTGACTCCAAGTTATATTTATTAATGAGCTGCGCAAATATGCATAGTTAATTTTCAGTTCATTGCCGTTGTTTTTGCTTTATTTGTTTGTCGAGTATTTTGTTTGCTATGAATGGGTGATGATATGGGCAGAAATGGAGAGAAAACTAAATGTTATTTAATAAGTAAATGGAAATTATCAGTTGGGGGAGGGGCAGAGATTACCACAAACTAAAATGCATTTCCTCAACTACCAATTATCATTCGGGAATTTTCAGACATCAAGTGGACTTTGTGGGCAATGTGGAATTTTCGGACTTTTACCCATTTACGTGACCGAGTAATGCCATTTAAAATAGTTTTCGGACTTACCTCAGCCTCCAGTTGAATTGGCAATGAATATTTCCACGTATTCCCTGGCGGATGTGGACTTTTCTACTGCTGCATAGTTTCGGGCGACAGTTTCCGGTGGCAGGACACTTTTCACAATGCCTTCGTATAGATCCGTTCTCCTTATACCCTTGGGTATTCCGTTCTTGCAACTCACTACACTGCACAAAACGGGGCGAAAGGGGGTTGATTAGGGTGGAGGAGTAGTTGGGGAAGATCAATGCAAACGGCTCATGTTAAATGGCATTGACATTGGCCACTCATTGTCCGGCAGTGGGACAAAGCAGGCACTACAAAGGCAATCCGAAGGACTTATGAACACAAAGCACAAAGTGGACCGATCGGGAACGACTAAATTCCACACGCAGAAATACACTGACGAAATGAAAACTTTTATTTACTAATAAATCACTTGAGATAAAGGAATAATTTGAAAGGGAATGCTGAATATTTAATAATTTGAAAGAATGATTTTATTAAAATTCTAAAAATAGAGTCAGAAACAAATTTATATTTGTTTAATATATAAGTTTAAAATATGCTGTTGTTTTTATAAGATAAATAAATATATATAAAAAAACAAGAACTTTTTTCAAACTTATAAGCAACTTTAATATAAATTCCATTTAACAGCCTGTATTTTCCTTTCTATATATTTTTTTAAATAAATATAAATGTAAGATCTACATTCAAATTTGATTGTAAAATAAAGTTCAGTCTTTCGAAAACAAATTTGCGTATTAAAATTTTCATTTTCTATTTTTAAGCTATAATTTGTTTTTTTGAAGCCACAATCCTTGTTTTTCTTTCTGTGTACCAATCACAGCCGGCAATAACGCGGCACTCGCGATTTTTACGTTTTTATTCGCAGGGGAAGCACGCTTTGAAGTCACCGGCACTGAATTCGCGTGTGGATGCCCCGCGATGTGCTTCGTTCAGCGGTCAGACTGAGACTGAGGCCTCAAACAGAAACCGAAAACGAAACTTTCGACTGATTGCGAGAAGGAAACTGCGTCGGCGGCGACGTCGACGTCGACGAAATGGAGAGAAAATGCCAAAGCTAAAATGCTACTGTTTTCCGCCTTTGGAAAAACATTTTGGCAGATACTTTTGTTGCCGATACTGATGGAGCGCAAAATTCGAAATGCAATTAAAAGCATTGTTTGAAAGAATTCGAAACAGCAGATAACTTTTCAATGCAGCGAGAGAGAGCGCATTAAAACGAAAACAAAAACTCTTTTTAGTAAACAACAATGTCGGCTTTTTTAAAATCTAGTTTTCGGTATACAAATTAAATGATTTTGATTGACTTTCCATCTAAAGTATTTTAATTCAGTATCTTACTGATATTAAAGGCATTAAAGAGTATTCTAGTATCAATGGAATAGATATAATACTTCCTTTTTTTTTTACTTTCAATAAAAATTAATATAAACGAACTTAAAAAGTATAACATTTTATAATTGAATTCATTGATGTCCCCATTTAATGACTATTATTTTGTACTACCAATACTTGTACTTATAATAATTAAGATTGTTAATAGACTAGATAAAAAGGTAGGGATCTACATAAATATGATTCAACGAAAAATAAATATTATTATGCTACTAATCTTATCTTTTCGTTTAGCATACAGTATAGTAAATTATCTTTAATCTTATCTGACCAACAAGTTGGCCAACAGGTATGCTAATTATATGGATAATATTCGTTAAGCATTTGTGTTTTCCGTCTAGACAATTGGTCCATGAAAAAACGCATTTATAGTTATATTTAATACAGTTTAAATTATATTTTATGTTTTGTTAGTTACCCCTCTTCCTAAAAAAGATCTCCATAAATAGGAAATATATTTTTTTCAATTTGTTGTGAGATGCCTGAAAACAGAGCTCAAAGTCTCGAGTGAAATCAAAGTGCAATTCCGTTAAAAACAGTGCAATTTTCCGCTGCAAGGCGGTCAAAGACTTCAGGTGCTTTTGGCTTCTGCACTTCCCGGCTTTTCCCCCCAGTCGTCCTGGCTGCAACCACTTGGCTATAAATAGGACCAACTGAAGACGAACCCAGGCGGCAACACTTTCGTTTAACTTTTGTGGGAAAACGGGGAGGACAGCAGCAGAAATTAGTTCCCAGGCGGCCTTATAAGCCTGGCCAAGTGTGGAAATGGTAGGAAATTGGGGTGGGGGGGCTGACGAATGCCAGTAGTCAATAGACAACAACATGTGCCCATGGTCCCACATGTGCCGTGGCAAGTTTGCAGTCTTAATTATTTATACGTAATAAAACTAAGCATAATTTTCCAGCGAACAACGCACTGGCGCCTCATTTCAAATTCTATAAATAATTTGAAAAGCAGTTGATACGAATCGCAAAGGGCTCTAAAAGGCTCACACTAAAAAGCCGGAAAAACTGAAAACACATTCATACAAGTTGTTGGGAAAAAAGAGGGAAAGCCGGAGAGAGAGAAAGAGAGATGAAGAGAGAGTGATTGAGAGAGCAGGGACAGTGAAAGAGAGCGCTGCAGACGTCGACTGCGCGGCAGCAGCGTCACATGCGGCGTATGCGTAATTTTGTCAGCCTTATCAGAAAGCCATTGCAAGCAAACTTTATTTTAAAGAGCCGGGCCATTTATCGAACTTGCAACGTGTTGTCTCCTGCGGTTACTCCCTCCCCCCGCCAGTTACCCCCTTTGTGTGCCCCTTTTTCAGCCATTTCTGCCACAAGAGTCGCGTTGTTTGCACGCCGGCTGCCCAAAGCCCGCCAATTGTTTATTCAAGCAGCATCGCAGCATCCCAGCTCATGTTGCCCATGTGCACTTGAACTGCCTTCGCCGAGCCCCTCCATCCTCAGCTCCCTTCGGCCGCCATGCCTGTGCATTCATTTGGCCGGCGATGTGTTTGTCTGGCCATTTTTTTCCGGCTCTGAAGCCAGCCTCCGCCTGGTACACTGAGAAAAACTAACAATGTAAGCCTCCAAGTCTTTGCAAACATGGCTTTAAAGGGCTAAACTATATTAAATCTATAACTGATAGTCTCCAAAACTCAATGTTCGTTTTAAAGTAGAGATTTGATTAAAATAGTGTTTCAAAGTTTTAGTTTTTAGTTACTTATCAAATAAATGAATTACACAGAACTATGATCTTTTTACATTCAACACTCTATTAAATCAACTTTTTGTAAGAGTTTAAATTTGTAACATTTTTATGCTTGGCCTTTAGTTAAAATAAAACAAATTCGAAACAGTTAGCACTGTAAGCTTATTAATTTTGGTAAGTATAAAAAATATATTTATTTATATATTATTTTATAAATATTTTTTAACCCTTGAATTTTGCTTAGGAAATTAAAATGGAAGCATTAGTTTTGTTCAATCTTGAGTGGTAATGTAAATTTAAATAAACTTGTTGGGCATTTATAATTGTTTTTTTTCCCAATGCTCAAGTTGACCAGTTAAAAAGTATTTTTCTCCGTGCAGGGTGCGCTCATTGCAGTTGTTATCGCTGCAGTTTGTTGTTGTCGCCGGGTTTAAGCGGCTCTTAGTGGCAGTGAATCAGTGGCCAAACATGTAATCTGTTTAATGGCCAACTGACCGTGCATCGGAGCCGGTTGCTCCTCCACGCCCCTGAACCATTTTAGCCGGTCGCGTATACGCACCGTGAGCCGGACAAAGTCTTGGAATTTGCATAGATCTTTTTTTCAAATACTTGTACCCTTTTTTTGGCGGCTCTATAAAATGCCCACCTGTTGAATATGGCAAGCCGGACAAAAAAGAAACAAAAATGCCACTTGGACATTTGGGGACAAACAAAAAACGTGAAAAATCGTTAAACAAAATAGCCGCAACAAAAAACAAAGCATTACTGAAAGCGAGCGCAAACTTGTTCAGCTGCGTCGCCACTGATTTGCATAAACCGCTAAAACGTAAGCTGAAACAAATAAACATTTGCCATATCTCTGAGTAAACAACAAAATTAGAAGCATTGCAATATAGTCAGAGTTGATTTTTCAATTAGTCGGGGGAACGAGTTGGCTTCGTAAAACCCTTAATCTGAATCTCCGATCTAGACTCTTTATTACACTGGTGAAACCTGGTCTGCAGGCCTTTTCGGGTCTTTTGATTTTGCATTAATACCTCGTTTTAAACACCGTTTATCGGCTCCAAAAAAAGTTCTAATATAAATGATCCAAAAATTCCATACTCGGAACAAAATCATGGCTAATTTACATAAACAACGATGTGAATCGCCTTGACTTGCCTTACTCTAGGTTTTTTTTCAATTTCAAATTTGCATCTCGGCAAATAGATAAGAATCTATAATCTGTACTATCGTTCCGTTTAAAATCCTGATGTGCTGATCAAAAGTCATCTTTTCTATGGATTTAAAGTTACTGTTTAGAATGTATTACAAACTGATAAAAACACATCAAATTTGTTCTTTGTTTTGGTTTTGGAAAACCAGCTTGTCAGATTTGATGACCAAGTTTATTATATTCAGACCGTTTATGGTTTTCATATTAAAGCGCTTAATAAGTGTTAAATATGTTAATACCGCTATTTTAGACTAATTAGCATTAAACTCGATTCGCGACGATTGGGATAATCCAATTTATGTGCCCTAATTAAGTGAAAAGATCATTTGCATTTCGGATTTATTAACCGTTTATTAAACAAAATCTTTTAGAAAAAAGTTGTCAATATTGTATTAAAAAGATTGAGTAAAACCCGGTTTCTCGAGTACCTGTTAAGGTCCTAGAAATCTATCTGCGCGAAAAAGTTAAGGAGCAGATAAATTAATACATAATCGCCAATGAACAGAAAGTTCTGTAAAATCTGGTAACAAACACCTAAGTTATGGCATTTCCGATCTATCAGTTATATGGCTATAGGATCCCAAGCCTTACGACCGAAATCATACCCTCAAGACTGCCAGCGTTGCCCCCCTCAAGACCCACCCCATCACGGCGCTGCCATTTCACAGTGTGTTCACCCGGCTCCGAACTGATTAAGGGCGCCATCTAGTGAGATTACTAACTAGTAAACTGTTACCAGTGTTTCGACTTCGAAAATCAACACTTCCTGATAAAATCCTTGTTCTTAATTCATCTCAAAATAATGGCTTATTAATATTTCCCCGTACATTCATCGAGTATAAGACTCTTCTTAGACTGTCACAGCTCGAAAGCCAACTATTACAATTTTGTACAATACAGGGACCACTAAGGCTTAGTCAACACAGAAAATGAGATAATGGACAATTGAAAGTTCTCTTATACTAAGAATTTTGCATAGGAATTTTGTTACCGCCACCTGTCGACCTTTTAATTCGCAGTTTCCCCCTACTGGAAATTGTAAAGTTCTTATCAAGTACCCAAACCTGTTCGCAGAGCCATCTGTTGTCGTTTTGATATATTATTTCTGGCAACGTCAACCAAATTTTCTTCGTGCCCTTAAAAAGATATTGTTTCGTCGATAATTAAATATTGATTATTGGATATTGAATATTATTTATCGGCCATTTGACTCAGATATTAAATATGTGGTTTTTCTTAATTCAATCCAGCACTCTTAAGTCGTTATTTATTTTTTTGAAAATAACGGTTACAGTTCAGCTGGCAACGCTGGTAAAACAGCTGTTGCTGCAGCGCCCCTCGCCCACCAACGCCCATCGTCATTGTTTTTCTGTTTTCTCGTATATAATTTGTTTTTCCCCTTGGAAATGAGCTCCTGGCGAGACAGTCTGACCAGCATCCCGGGCACGGTGGCGCAGTTGATCAACGAGAGCGCCAGCAGCCTGTTGCACGCCTCGTCCTCGCTGGGCTCAACAGTTGGGCCACTGGGATCGACGGGTTCTGGATCTGAAGGAGGCTCCGAGGAAAGTGCGCCGCAGGGAGAGTACAGGGCACTGCCCATCCCAGCTTCCTTGGTGCGAGAGCAGTGGCGGCTGATCTTCACCAGCGATGCGAGTATCCAGGATCTACATGCGGCCATTGCCCATTGCAGGGATCTCGTCCTGCTGAGCGAGGAACTCAGCGATGAGCGACGCTGGCTGGTGCGACACCTGGTGGATCTGCGCTACTCCCTGCAGGAACTGGAGGAGGCCCAGGAGCAGCAGTCGTTGTCCTCCGATATCGTCGTAATGAATGCCATCCGGGCGGTGGTGGGCCATCATTTTGTGCCCCACTATCCGCATCACGGCAAGCGGAATCGCCTGCAGGCAGCAGCCCGGAGGAACTACTGTGACCACTGCACCGCCATCATTTGGAGCGTGGTTCAGGCATCCTATGTGTGCAGCGATTGCGGGTTCCTGGTCCATCAGAAGTGCATCGACAGCGTGATGAGGGTGTGCGCCCACGTCCAGGTCTCTGAGCGCCAGCATCCCATATCTGAGATCTGCCCGGAAATAGGACTGGCTGCCCAGGGATACAAGTGTGCCGAATGCGGAACGCTGCTTAATCTGAGTAAGTTTTCTTATACAATTTCAATTCCATTTTATTTAAATCGTCTTCTGCAGAAAACACATGGATTGAACCACGTCTTTGCGACTATAGTGGATTGTACTACTGCCCTCGTTGCAACTGGAACGATAGTAACTTCATACCAGCCCGCATAATCCACAACTGGGACTTCTCCCCGCGTAGGATTTCGCGGGCAGCGCTTCAGGAGATCAGGCTGTTCCTTAACAAACCCCTCATCCGTTTGGAAGAGGACAATCCCAAGCTCTTTGTGTTCGTGGAGAAGCTGTGTGCGGTGAAGAAACTGCGCCAGAATCTGGTACACATGCGCCACTATCTCGCCGCCTGTCGGATCGCCAGCGAGCTGAAGCTTGTGGATCAGCAGCTGGGCTGCAGACGTCACTTGGCTCAGTCGAATGAGTTCTATTCCCTGAAGGATCTTACGCAGGTGGAATCTGGAGCCCTCACCGATTTCCTGCAGGGAGTGTTCAAATCCTTCGATGAACACATTCGGTCCTGCAAAATGTGCCTGGCCCAGGCCTACATCTGCGAGATCTGCAGCAACATCAAGGTGATCTTCCCCTTCGACGACGGATGCATCAAGTGCGACCAATGTAACTCCATTTTTCACCGTGTCTGCCTGACGCGGAAGAATATGATTTGCCCCAAGTGCATCCGCATCCAGGAGCGACGCCTCCAACTGGATCGCATAAGGAGCACGGAGGAAGAGGAAGTGTCCACCGATGATGAAGTGGCTCTCGCGGAATAACTGATTTAATCAGAGTTTACTCGTATCTGTGCTGGATTTTAATGTTATTATATGTACATAAGATTTAACTACAAAATGTATATCTATTATTACTACTACTATTTATCCTGGCATTTTACTTATCCTTCTTGCCATACTTTTCCCGCTTATGGAACTTTCTGGGATTTATGCCGTAGGCTTTCAATCGATCGTCGGTTATTCCATTGTTGTTATTGTTTATTTTATTTTTAGCTTTGAAGTTATTCGTTTTCTTTGCTGGGAAGGGACCGCTGGCTTTTTGATTCGCTCTTTTAAATGGATTTGCACCTGTAACATTCTCAGGAGCTTGTTTGTTGTCGCCTTTGTTGTTATTAACTGGAGGTTGTCCTTGTTTCTGGTTGGGTTTTTTCTGTTGCTTATTAAAAGGATTATTTCCATTAGTTTTTTCCGTTTTAATAGCATTGTTGGTCTGTGTGTTATTTTGAGTTGGGTTTTGCGTCTTTTTAAACCCATTTTCTCCATTTTTAGCTTTAATATTCTTTTTGCTGAAGGCATTGTTAGCTTTTGTATTTTCTGGTTTGCTCGGGGTTTGCTGTGCGGGTGATTTCGCCTCTGTTTTTTCATTATTTTTGCTCTTCTTAGGAGCAGGAGGATCAACCTTCGTGGAACCATCCTCTGTCTGCACTTGTTCTGTTGATTCCTTGGGTTCCTGTTTGGAAATCTGTGGGGAACTGGCTGCAACAGCTGCTGCAGCTTTCCGTTTTAGGCGTTTCCTCTTCGATTTCGATAAAACTTCTGTTGGGACTTGACCATTATCAGCGGCAACTGACGTTTCAGCTGGTTTAGTCTCGGGAGTCTCTTCCGCTGGCTGATCCTCGTCATCAGATCTGCAAGGAAGTCAAGTTTTATTCCAAGTCTTGCCAAACAAGGATATTAAAACTACTTACCCTTCGCCATAAAGACTTTTAAATATCTTTCGCTTTAGGTCTTCATTCTTGGCCTTCATCTTGTACAGGCGTTGCTCCTTTTTCTCCACATGTTCGGGCCTGTTTTGAACAGCTTTCTTAAGGCTAGCCCACTGATTGAGCTCTTTATTCTTGGCCAGCAAGATCTATAGATTATTAACAAATAAATATAATTTTCTTTGGTTAAAAATGAATATAAAATAAGTACCTCTTCTATCGTCAAACCAAAATCGTTGGGTGTGGTTTCCACATATTTGAACCGACATGGCTGATCTCCCACGATATCCTCGCAGTCCATTTGGTAGTACTCGTCGATGTACTCACTGTAGGTTTTTTCGTCCTCCGGATTGAACGCCGGCTTCTCCGCCTGGATCATTTCCATGAAGCGATTTCGCCTACCCTTGCGGCCTTTTCGACCGCGTGTATTTTCGATTAGCTCCTCTTGAAGTTTCTGCTTGGAGGTGGACGGATCGAAGTCGCAATCCATGTTAAAGTCATCGTCCTCGCAGTGGCCTTCGTAGTCCTGATCGCCCCCATTGGTGTGCTTCGTGGGGTCGTAGTTATCCCAATCTTCCAGCTCGAGTTCATCGATGTCCGAGGGACATTCTGGCTTCTCCTCGCCCTCATCCACATTGTAGTACTCATCGTCGAAGAGCTCCTGCATTCGACGATCGTGGGCCGCTGGATCAAAGTCTTCCTCGAGTTCTTCGTCCCGGAAGCCGAGCTCATCATTGCCAGTGACGGCTTTCAATTTGCGTATCTTCTCCTCGATCTCCTTGCGCTTTATGTCCTTGATCAGGTCAAGTTCCTTCATCTTCTGCTGCTTCTCCTGATCCTTACGATCCTTGAGCTCCTTGCGTTTTTCTTTTCTCTTGTCATCCGTGCGACGGATGGACTGTTCAATGGTGCGGGGATAGCGCTTGATGAACTCAGCATCGGGCTCTTCGAAGCGGAAATTATACTTTTGCTCAAACTCTGCCTGTTTCTCCAGCTCCTGTTCGTCCTCGGAAAGTGGAGCCGCTTCTCCAACGATCTCATCGTAGGTGGGAATGGTGGACTCATCGGTGTTAGCATAGCCCTTGTTGAGGATGTAGTCCCTGAGGAAACTCTCGCCCTGCGTCAGCTTGCTGCTGTTCCAGTACTGCTTCAGTGGCTCCAGCTGCTCCTTGTCGGTCTGCTGGATCTCCTCTTGTTTCCCCGCTAGCCACTTGGCAAAGTCCGCCTCCTCGGCTGCCGTTTGCTCCGTGGTCTTGGAGCGTTTCTTGAATATACCGCCGAATTCCTCGTCTTCGCCATCATCTTCTTGGTTCATCACACTCCGGAACTCATCCTTGAGTCGCCGCTCAGCCTCTACGGCGGTGGGTGACTGGGCCCTTTGGAATTCCTCCTGCTCCTTCTCCTGTTGCTCCTCATCGGAACTCTCGAACTTGCCATTGTGTTCCAAGATTACTTTTCGTTCGTAGTCCTTTAAGGTGACTGGCTTTGCTTTCTTCTTCTTTTTTGGCGACTCATCATCCTTATCCTCCTCGTCGCTGGAGGGTTCATTAAAGAATCTCGCATCCTTGTCGTAAATCCGAGGATCTTTGCTTTTCAGCGAAGACAGAGTCTTGAAAAAGTCCTGGTCGAATTGGGGGTCCACCTCGTCCTCCTCGGAGGACTCACTGTCGCTATCAAACTCCGATTCTGATACATCTAAGCCGCGATCTTTATCTGTGGAATATCAAGTGATATAATTGAAAAATGCCAAATGATCGTAATGTGTTTTGAAGTTACATTTCTGTAGCAGCTCCTTTTTGCGCAGGATGTTGTAGGTCTTGGCATAGTCCTTGTTGGTGGACAACTGCAGGTCTTCTCCGTCATTATCGGAGCCCTCAAAAAGTTTATTATTCATAATTTTGTTTATTTTTCCCCGGACTGTTTTACAAACTTCCACACGTGTTTACGATAACAGCCGAATGTTAAGTAACATAGTCGGTGCTATCGCTAACGATGGACCATTTAAAAAAGTGATTTTTGTCACGAAGTCATTAAAAAAAATGATTATCAATCTAATAAATTTAATATAAAAAGAAAAATGTCATAAATACCTATTTATAGACATTTGTTATTAAAAAATTACATTTATTTATTACTTGAAAATATTTGGTTTCACAAATCCCGTGACTTGTATCGATGTTGTCATCATAACTTTGCCATCTCCAATATTTTATACTTTATTTACAAATTGGCATTTTTAACACATCAATTTTAAACTAAGCGATTTAGCCACATTCCAAATAGATGGCAGACACACCCGAATCCCAGGCAGCCTTGAGCACCTCCACCTCCACGCCCGCCGACAAGGATGGTTCCAAAAGTAATTTGTATTATTATCTTTGGGTCTTTATTCTCACAAGGTTTTCGTTATCAGTCTGTATCCTTCTGAACGCCACTGGAAATGTGCCCATCATCAAAAAGCGAACCTGGACCGTTGATCCCAACAAAACAGTCAGCTGGATTCAAAAGTTCATCCACAAGTTCCTGAAACTTGATGCCAATGAGCAAATAGCAAGTACCGCTTAAAAGATCTAGAGAACCCTATCTTATTTCGAATCTTTATATTGCAGTTCCTGTATGTTAATCAGACATTTGCCCCCGCTCCGGATCAGATAATCAAGAACCTATACGAGTGTCACGGCACCAATGGGAAACTGGTGCTCTATTACTGCAAGAATCAGGCGTGGGGCTAAATCGATACGCACTTGACTACGCTAAATCTTAAGTATTTATTTGTATATTAAATGTGAATAAGCTGATGTTGCGAACTCGATTTCACACTTTATTTCCCCCAAAACGGGAGCCTAACAATTGTATTTAATGAATATTAGAAGGGGTCTAGTCTCCACGCAGGGCTTCCAGTTCGTCGGCAGCCTCTTTGGAAACTCTGTGGTACTTGGCCACCGATGGTCGGTAGTAGTACGCCTGGTAGTCGTTGCGCTCGGACATCTTGCGACGAACTTCTTCCTCAAGGAGGCTAGAATATTAAGTAAATTCATGAGTTTAAAGGCAGGTTACATTAAGCTATATCTTCAGACTTACCGAATCTGTGCTTTTTCGTTCTCCTCGAAGAGATAGTGCAGCGATTTCTCGTAGTTTTGCTGCTGCGAGTTCAAGATGTAGCGGCAAATGAATCGCGAGATGGGGTGCTGCCAAAGAAAGAAAAAACTTGGAGTTAGATTTTCTTAAGGTTTAAGGTTGATTAAAAATGGATTATTAACACGAAGAACCAAGTTAATTTCAGAATGGATACTAAAAGCTAAATAAAATAAAATGGGTTTGCTGGGAAATTGATTGAGCTGGGAGTTCTCTTTGGAATTTAAGAATTAATTATTTAGGGAGTGGTATATCTTGCAAGACACCTTTCATACCTTCTCGTACTCCCAGTGCTTGGGCACATAACCTTCGGGAGTCTCCGCCAACTTCGCCGGACCAATGAAGATGTTCGCGTATAGAACCAATGCGGTGACTGGAATCACGCCGAGCATTACGTAAAAGTGCATCAGATCCTTGAACTTGTCCCACTGGAAGCGGGATGGCTTGATGGTCATGTGGTGGTGGCCATGATCGCCTCCCATCCGGCGCAGCTGTTGCTGCAGGGCTAGAAATCCAGAATATTTGGTTGCGTAATGTGGAGTGTGTTTACGGCTATTTTTCCACAGAGTACTTACCATTCCGGCAAGCGGGCTCCTGCAGGACAGCCCGGAAGTTGGCAAACTTTGCCGCCGGCGACAGCAAACGGCTCCAACCGACCATTTTATTGTAGTTTTTTGTAAATCTCACGATATTTTGGAACTGGTCGTGTCAAAGTTGTGAGCAGCACGGCGAACGGTCACACTTAAGAGGGACCGTTGATGTGTTTTGATATATCGATAACTGCAGCGAAGGCAACGTAACCTAATTTGTAACCGTCCCTCAGACTCTAAATAAGTGATTATAAACTAACTATATTCATTTTAAATAAATGTTTTTAAGGCAACGGAATACAATATTTCACAATGACTATTACGATTTTTTAAGACAAATAAAAGAAAGCTGCCATTTTGAAATTAACCGAAATTCCGTCCAAAAAAGTCGTGACACGAATAATTCGACCATCTCTTTTGCGCCATTCAAGTTTGGTCGATTTTTAGCTTTTTTGCAGCACTAATGGGCTTGCCAAACGTTTACCATCACTAACCTATCCATCGACAAAAACAACGTACGTCTGCACAGCAGTAAAATTAACGAAGATTTTTTTCCGTACTGATAAAAGGTACTTTCCTCGCCACTTCTCTGACTCACAAACATAGTGTAAACTTCAGGGAAATGTGAAACGAAAGCGGGGTAAATTCAAACAATGGCAATCGTGAAACGGGATGTTTTCTTCAGGTTGACAAACGTTTGTAGCGCAGTATACAAAAAAAGTAAATATCATTAAGACGAGGCAATACACAAATGCGCAGTTTGCTTGCAATTATTCCGGCTGTGTGTGAGTGTTAGCAATTGCGTTTTTCTTCCAAGGAACTTGTGCAAAATATACTTAACTCCTGTGTGTGTACGTGCAAACAGTGGCGGGACAAAGGAGCCTACTCCCTTTTACAGTGGTGTCAAAAAGGATCTGCCTTCTTCCTATCACAGTGATGGCAGAAAGGACCGTTACAGTGGTGCCACTAATGTATACTCAAAAATCTTCAAAAAATATTAATCTGCAAGGCGTTTAAACACTATAAAATGCACCCATAAACGGGTGGTCACTTGTGTTAAAAACATTACCAAGTTAAAGAATGCCTTTATTTATATTTGTATTACTTAAGCATGATATCATTTTTAATGTAAAATAGAAAAAATAGTTTCCAGACCGGGCTCAAATACCACTGCTGTGCAATGAATATTTATATGTTTTGATCTTGATAAATACAGTCTTTATATTAAAAGGTATCAAATTAAAATGTGTGAATGTTTTTTTATATGTATTCTTGTATTCTTATTTTGTCTATGTACTTAAAAAACTGATACACACTTTCCTTTTCCCATTAAGAGCGATAAGATAATCTTTAAATATTTGCGGAGAACAGCCCTTTATGTAAAAAAAGAAAAACAACCGGAACCAGTACCTATTGTGCCACTCTGTGACTTTGTGATTTGTGAAACTTTGTGTTGGAATTGCGATAAGCAGCCTCATTTCTTTCCATTCTGTGTTGTTATCTTTTAAAAAGCAATTCATTTGTCTTGAAACCACTGACATGACCATTTTTAATGTCCCCACTGTTTGTATTCAAGGCAAGGTGGGCGTGGGCGTCTTTCAGGGTTAAGTTACCAAGCTACCAAGTCTTTGGCCAAATCCATTGATGTGAATGAATGTGAATCAGCAATACCAAATAACATTTACTATTTCCAATACCATGAAATAACAACCAATCAACAACCAAGAAAACTAGCTGGCTAATGACGTCATCGATAGAGTACTGGCACTGCTGCTTTTGGCTAATTTATTCTCACATTTCAGCCGCATATATTCTACATGCCAATAATCGAGCCCAACGACTGAGCCACGTCCTGCGTCACCGCGAGAATTCCAATCACATCGAACGGACAGCACCTGAAAGCACCCGACATTCACATACCCACCCGCCATGGACGCCCATTCGCGTTTCGCGCCGAGATTTCCAGGTAAGTCCGCCGGCCGATCGGCCAAGTCTTGCTTTTCGATCCGAATATACCTAGTTTTGATCTTTGGTTTTGTAACTGCTTAGCATTTTGAGCGCAATAACAATCGATTTGCTTGTTTGGGCGGAGAGAAAGAATTCCCAAAACATTGATCAAACACAGAAATACAAGTGAAATTCCCAAATACTTGTCTTTGTCAAGAAGTAGCTTTTAGATTAATAAACTTTGTTTTTTTTAAGATACATTAAATTTTTGCGAAAGGGGAAATTTCAAATGTTCATAATTTCAAAATTATACTTTGCTTATTAACAAAGAATTAATGTATTTACATCATTACAATAATAATAAGTATTTAATTTACTAAAAACCCTTTGCTCATTTTCATATTAAGCTAAGACCAGATTTAAAATTGCAAGATTTCACATCTTTGTTTAATTAGCCCTTAGCTTACCATCAAGTTGATAAAAACAGGCCTAAAATATATAAAAAGAAACCTGACTTGGACAAGTTTAACTTTTTTTAATGCCTCTAATCTGTGTTTCAAGTTTTGGGAGTCATTTCATTGCGCTGCTTTGTTTTCTTTTTATTACCGTATCGTAGTTTCTTTGAAGGGAGAAGTGCCCTCGTTTGAGAACTAACAATAATAGCCAGCAATTACGACTAATTTTGTGCCCCGCCCCCGCCTTGTCTAACCCACAATCGCCCCCTATCCAACCTCTTTGTTTTTGGTATCAAGTTGCGCTACTAACCCCATTTCAAACTGTAAAACCCAGCCTATGTGGGCAGCTCACCAACTCTGTACATACATATATTGCATTTTTAACTATCCAACGTGTTTGCTTGGTTTGTTGTGGATCCTATTTGTTTTCTACTTTTCGCTAGCTGTGTTGTTGCCAATGTTTGTTACCGAGGTTTGTGTGATCGTGTATTTGCCCTAGCTTTACTAGCCCTAACCTTAGCCCTTAGTCCTAGCTTAGAGTTCCCTAATCGTCTCTGTTCTGTTCTGTTCAGTAATCGTCTGCCAATAATATCGAAACAGTAAGATACTTGATTATCCAATCAGATGCCAACGTACTCATCAAATTAAATTTTTCTGATTCATGTCTATTCACTTACTCAAACTCAATCCGAACTAAACTTGTTGCCTCAGGCCGTCAAAATACTTAACTGAAAGCATTACTTGTAAGATTACGTTTTTGGAATACCAGTCCGCGCCAGGGAAACCTATGAGATTTATCAATGCCTTCCCTCTCGCACCCCAAGGTCCAGCCATCAATCCGATCGTCGACAACTCGGACGAGCCACAGCCCAGTCTCTCCGATCTGCACGACTTCGAGCCGAAGCTAGAGTTTGACGATACCGAGCTGCTGGCCCCATCGCCCCTAGAAAGTAAGTTATATTTGTGTAACTTCCCTGAAATAATACATTAACTTATTTATTTTGTCTTTTTCTCCCCAGAAGATGTTATGGTCGGCGACTTTGTCCTGCCGGATGGTGAGTAGGCGAATCCTTTCCTGTTAACCAATGCATTATGTATCATAAATCGTTTAGAGTCAGCACTAGAACCCGAGGAAGATGTAAACCCACTGGAGGACGATTTTGAGGACCAACTCAGGGAACAATCTGAGAACTTTCAGGCACCCAGAAACAAATGCGATTTCCTGGGGACCGACAAGCAAGGCCGTCACATTTTTGGCATTTATGCATCTCGATTTCCCGAAAAATCCCAACTGGAAGGCTTCGTGCGGTAAAATACATTTTTGATTCTTTAAATTTAATATTCAATATATTTTAATTGCTTAATATAACTTCCTATTTACTTACCGAACAGTGAAATCATCAAAGAGATTGAACCATTTGTGGAAAACGACTATATCTTGGTATATTTCCATCAAGGCCTCAAGGAGGACAACAAACCATCCGCACAATTCCTTTGGAACTCGTACAAGGAGCTCGATCGTAACTTCCGCAAGAACCTGAAGACGCTGTATGTGGTGCATCCCACGTGGTTTATACGGGTCATCTGGAACTTCTTCAGCCCCTTCATCAGCGATAAGTTCCGCAAGAAGCTAGTCTACATCTCCAGCCTGGAGGAGCTGCGCCAGGCGCTCGGTCTGAACAAGCTGAAGCTGCCGGACAACATTTGCGACCTGGACGACAAGCTTAACCCAAGTCGGAAGCCATCGACTCCACCACCCAGCAGCAGCAGCATAAATGCATCCCGGCAGCAGCAGCACAAAATGGCGACGACGCATCAATTCGGTGTGCCCCTTAAGTTTATCGTGATGAACAGTCCATGCCTGAACTCCATTCCGCCTATTGTGCGCAAATGCGTTGACTCTCTGTCCATAACTGGCGTAATCGATACGGAGGGCATCTTCCGGCGATCCGGAAACCACAATGAGATCATGGCGCTTAAAGAGCGCGTCAACCGAGGCGAGGATGTGGATCTGAAGAGTGTGAGTGTACACGTGATCGCCGGCCTGCTGAAGAGTTTCCTGCGTGATCTCTCCGAGCCGCTGCTCACCTTCGAGCTGTACGAGGACGTGACCCGATTCCTGGACTGGCCCAAGGAGGAGCGTTCCAGGAATGTTACCCAACTGATACGCGAAAAACTGCCCGAGGAAAATTATGAACTGTTCAAATATATCGTAGAGTTCCTGGTCAGGGTAATGGACTGCGAGGACCTCAACAAGATGACCTCCTCCAACCTGGCCATCGTGTTCGGTCCCAATTTCCTGTGGTCGCGCAGCACCAGCACCTCCCTGGAGGAGATTGCCCCCATCAACGCTTTTGTCGACTTTGTGCTGCAGAACCACAAGGACATCTATTTGATCGACGTCAATCAGCGCACTGTGACCGTCGATTAACGACTGGCCCCCCACAAACAAGTCCGTAATTGTAAATTGTTTGATTTTAATGTTAGTCCTAAGTGAACCAATGGTTAGCTAAAAAGAGAACACACAAACTAGAGCAGATGGCAGTTTCGTGTATAAAGTGTACTTTAATCTTAAGTGAATTTAAACTGTGTGTAAGTGTGTGGAACTGCTTGTAGCCCCAACTCCACGCCAACTTCCCCTAAATCACAATTATTTAGCCCCACCCCCCACTAAGCGCTTAGTACGATTGATTTACCAAAGAAATTTGCTTGTGTTCGTACGGCGACGAACAAGAGAGAAATTTGAAATGAGATGTTATAATTATAATATGTATTAACGCACATTCCCCATACCCGGAAACGAATCTTGGTTGCGTTGCTGAATGCACCTGCCACGCGTAAGTGGAGTTGTGGCAAACTCAAAAATCGTATAATGTGTAGAATTTTGAATTTCCTTATAGTCATACAAACAATTTTTATAAAATAACGGTATTGTTAAAAATAAAGCAAATGTTAAAACCATGAACTGAAGTAGATCTTTTATATTTTTCGGTTTCAAAAATTAGTTTTTGTATTTAAATCATGGAGAAACTAGTAAGTAAACCTCTAAAATGTTACTGATATCTCATTGACTTACTCGGTTGGGTTTTTTTTTGTGGCAAAAATTTATCAATTATTCTGTTGGCAGGAAATTTAATCAGCATTATTAGCTGGCAGGCTTTGAATTCATTCATGGAAATTTATTTAATTCTATTATCGAAGCGAAACCGCAATTATTTGAAAAACATATTTGAGGACCAAACTTGCGCATAATCGCAAGCGATTTTTTATTGATATCAAAACAAATCGGTCCAGTTTGGAATATTAAATAGATCATTAAGGGTCACAAGGCGTCGACTTAAATGGCTTAAATGTTGATGTTCTTCAGTTTGCGATTCAGATCGTTAAACTTAAGGATTTTACGCACAAAGAAGTCACCATAGCGATGAGAAACCTTGGTGTCAGCTATGTGGATCATGTCGTCGTCGATGTAGAAGTCCAGCTGGAATATTAAACAACGATTTAATATCCATTTTCAGAATCTTACTGCGTAAAACTCACCTCAGAGCCCGACTTGAAAGTTCCCTCCAGGCCACTGGGTCCCTTACTCCATACCAGGTTGCGCATTTTGTGCTTGAAGCATAGCAAACGGATCAGTAGCTTCGACACGTCGTCCTCGCTGGCATTGGGGTCGATGAACGAGGCCAGTTTGGTCAGCGGCAGGGTGGTGTACAGTTTCAGATAGGAGCGCGTTGTGGGCAGATCCTTTTGCTGGCGCACCTCGTCCATGAACACTAGCAACTGGTGCTCCATGGGGTCTTTGACGTAGTCCTCCATGGGTGCATCGGCTGCCGGCGGGCACGGGCTCACAAATCGCGGGCATGCGAACACAAAGAACGATTTGAAGACCTCCAGGTCACCGCACTGCATCTTGAACATGGCATCGTGGTAGTTCTTCTCGCGCAGCACCTGCTGGATGGACTCGTCGATGCACTGGGGATGCAGTACCAGGCAGATGGCCAGCAGGTGGTACATCTGCTCCGCCTGCTTGTTGATCTGATCGTTCTGGTACGAGCGCGTGCTGTACAGCTGCTTGGTGCGCTGGATGTACAGCAAAATGTCGGAGAAAGTGCGGATGGCATCGGCATAGCGGCGCATCATCATGTAAGCGAAGCCCACGTAGTAGGACGTGGAGATCTGGCAGGCGGGGATGTGCGAGTAGGCAGACTTCTTGTGGATCTCAATGGGCTCCAGAACCTTGATGGCCTGGTAGTAGTCACCCAGCAGCGAGTGCACGCGCAGCAGGCCGACGAGGGAGAAGTAGCCCAGCATCTTGTAGAAAGACAGCTTGCCAAAGTCTCCGGCAACGGTCTGGGGATCCACGCCCTGCGAGATGGCCTCCAGCTGCTTCTTGATGTTCGAGATGTCCACCAGAGAGTGCAGCACGTTGAGGATGCAGAGAATGCTCCACACATTGCTGTGGTTCACGCACAGCTGCTGAATCTCGTCTTGAGATTTGTCCGTCAGGCGGGCACTGCAAGAGATAGTGTATTAGGTTAATCAAAGTCACATGGAGTATGAATGTTTATACCCACCGATACTGCGCAAAGTTCTGGAACTGATACACAAACTCATCCACCAACTCCCACAGCCAGATGTCGGGCAGCTCCAGCATCACCGGATTCTGGGCCGAGATGATCAGATTGAAGAAATCGCAGTAGTTGAAGAACGAGTTGATCCTCTGCTCTAACTTAGGGCCGCCGGGAATGCGGGCATGGATGTGGCGGTAGTACAGCTCCTTGTATAGGATCAAGAACACCTTGTCGTTGTCCACGATGGCGGCCACCTCCTGCTCCTCGGGCCAGGCCGTCTTGTCGAAGTGGTGGTCGCTGATCTGCGGGAAGGTGTTCTCGTACATGTTCTGGATGTCGTACAGGTTGCCTTCCTTGATCGCCTGGCAGAAGTTGATCAGGAAGTACTTGACATTGTCCGGCATCCGGGCGGCGAAGTAGTTCCTCTCGTACTCCATGTCCAACTGGGGATCGCCGGTGTGTGCGAAGTCATCGTAGTACTCCTGAAATCCCCAAAAACCCAATGAGTTTCGATTTGTGTGTGGGGTACAAAAGTTGGGTTATGTTGGCGACGGAGTCTCCGATTTGGGTTTCCCATAGGGGACCACTTCGAAGTTCCTGCACTCACCGAATTGCTTGGGTATTCGTCTCCGCCGTACATTGTCGCTGTTTTTATCTTTTCCGGTTCTAAACAAGTCGTAAAGCCTACAAAAACGATGGGGAATTTGACAACACGCCAACAAATTTTTGGCGAAAAGAGTGTGACCGACTATCGATAGCACCGGGATGACAAACTATCGATGTTTTCGCGCCCCTATCGATTGGGGTGTTCTGAAGGCAATTACAAATTTGTGAATAAATATTTTTGAAATAAAACGAAAATGAGATCTTTTCAAAAATATTTGTTTTGCTATCGATTCGGAATCGCAACTTTTTTTTTTATCACACGAGTCATATCGTTTTCAGCTTGATATACATATAAATTGCTTATTGTATTAAATAAAAAAATTAAAATCAACTGAGTTTTTTTATTTTTTAAAAATGTGGTTTGTAACCAAAAATAGATTTAATATCTTATCGCGAAATCTTTGCGAAAGTGAAAATCAGAACATAGCGATAGTATCTGGTATACTTTTATTGGACTCATGGTATTTTCTTCGAAGCCCCTCGGTATCTTGCCACGTTTTAGCCACGGTCACACTGGCAGCGAGACGGAGTGGAGTGTTCGTGTGTCATCCGCGTTAATTATTTTCTTAATTCAAACGAAACTCATTCGAAGTGGGCGTGATCTGCAGGAGACGCAGTGCAACAGAGGCGTCACTATAAATTAATTGAAACCGATTAGAAACAAACGCGAAAAGTGTTGGAGTATAATTCCGGACTCCGCGGAGGCGTTGCAATAAATCATCAGCTTTTCACGGTGGTTTTTACAACTGAAAAGTGCATTTAGTGAAAGATTTTTCGGAAATCGGATTTAAATGTGTTTCTAAGTCGATTCCGCGGAAGTTTTGATCAACAGTCTCCAAGATGAGGCCGCCCAGGAGCAATACGAAAACAGCATTTTCTTCGCTTCAGTTTGGATTATTATGCCTCCTATTGCTGGCCAATAATGGCATTATATCGGTGCAAGCAGGTAAAAACAGTGTTTCTTATTGAATAACCCAAGAATTGGAATGGGTTCTGTTAGATTTTGTTAAGAAATGTGACATAAAACGTCGATTGTTTGTAAGCCAACATTTTGGGCGTGTTCCCCAAAGCTGAAGACTCACTCTTCCATTTTCCTTTGCTCCATGCTTCGCTTTTTAACTCGCTCTTTTCGATCGTGTGGAAAAGAGAGAAAGAGAGCGCCGGAGAGCGATCAAAACGTTGCTTACGAACAGCGGTGGCAAAACAAAAACGTCGATTAACAACGCCCGTTTTTTACTCGCTCTTTTTTGAAATTGACTTTATTTTTTAGATTTCTGTTTTTTTACGAAGCTTTCCCAGGGGAACAAATTCAAAGTTTTGCCGGCCGCATCCCTGCCTATCCTTAGTTTTCCGGCTTTTTTAATGCGCATGCGGCGAATAAAGCATCTGCTGATTGATGATGCTGGCCAGGGAACACGTGCTTTTTTTCATTATCCTTCCATATGTCAACAGACTCCAGTTGTTGTTCCCCCTGATTTTCCCCGTTTCATGGAAAGAAAAACAATCCAAACATTTTTATGACTAAAAATAAACAATGCCAAGAAATTAATTTGCCACTTTCACGCCTTGAAGCGTCGAAAGCAGACAGCCGACATATATCCTCAGTCTTTGGTCGATTTTCATAATTTATTTGGGTTCTTATTGCCCCGAAAATAGAATCATTCGCACTTCAAGTTTCTGCAGATCGGCGGAAATCGCCTATCATAGACCTCGTCATTGTTTTATTGAGAACATTAGCCAGATTTCTTTGAATTGTGCAATTATGTAGCGGAAAAGTAGTTCAAACTTGCTGCCTGCTCCCAAAAGTATTGATTATTTACCGAGATAATGTCGTGCGTGTTTCGCTCTGTTTCTTGCCAGGCTTATCAGGTTGATTTTACCCACTCCATACAAGGCTCAAAGTCAGCTTAAAGTGCTCACGAACTCTGGATGACCTCGCAAGGGTTGTTTTCCCCCACTGCGATAAGGAGGAAATGCCAGTGTGTTTGCCTAGGAGCTCCTGCTGCACCCATTATAAAACATTCTTCTTGGGGGTTGCAACAGACAGGGGCAATTGTCTGGATTTCCGTCACGACCTGCCCCCCATATCCGCTCATTTTTCGTCATGGATCCTATGGGCCGAAGGACTCTCGTCACCAACAAATATTATGGTGAAAATATGAGACAAGAATCTGCACTTGCCGGCACAGTAGAACCTCAATAGATCTTTTAATTTTCTGGGGAATGTAATAAAAATGTATTCCTGTTCTGAGACAATAAGTCTTACTAATAGGAATAGCAATTTACGTTAATAGAATAGTGAAGGAAAATTCACAAAATTGCTTCTTTAAATTCTAGTGAAATCTTTAATTCAATCACACAAATTTAATAGTGTAAATACTATTTATATGATATTTATTCATTACGAGCGATTATGTATAAAACATTCCTCCTAGAAAGCAGAGAATAAAGGATTCTAACTGTTTGCCAAATATTTACCCTTCAGTTTGAACTTAGTTTGTTTACGTATTCCTTATTGATGTGGCTTTTTTATGGCCCCATAAAAAGAGGCCACTGGAATGATTATTGCCCGAGTGAAGTGCTTAAAATTATTGGCCGCCATCCAAACAGATTCTTCATATCTCAATTTTAATTACGCCCGTGACAGTTTACGTTCACTTTTTCCCCCGTCAACGAACAATTGAATATGGGTCACGGATATTTTGATATTTATAGATTTTTTTTGTTTTCTTCCAGATGCCTTAACTGACTATTTCTCCGACTATGAGTGTAACCAGCCGCTCCTGGAAAGAGCTGTCCTCACGGCAACATCATCCTTAACACAAAGAGGTCCCGACAAAGCACGTTTAAACGGTGAGTAATATTTTTATTTCAAATGATTTGATCCTTGTATGAGTTACCCCCGTTGCCTTTTATTTGATACATTAGCAATTATTATTTTTAAATGCTGGCCCCAAACCCATAGAGATTTTATTTGATTAAATAGATTAATTATTGCCTTTATTTTTGAGTCGTGCCCTGACATTTTAATTTAAGCATTGCTTTTTTATTGAGTTGATAAACAATATATAAAATAAATTGGCTCTTAATATTGTCATGAAGTTGCCTATTATTACTTTCTGAGCTGTTTAATTATTTTTTTTTTTCGTAATTTCATAAATATAAGACATAATAATGTATAAGTTTTATTATTGCTAAAAGAAGGTGTATTAAAACCGTGTGTCTTTGTTTCTTGAAATTATATATTTAAAAGTTAAATTGTTATACATTAAAATTTACAAAATATGTTATAATTTTTCTGAAAAGGGGCAACAAAAACAGTTTTAAGACTTGTGATTTTAATTTAATTTGTAAGTACTTGATTAAAGCCTTTTACTTAAAATACATTTTTGTTTTCTTTACTTACGAAGCTAATAATTTTAAATACATTTTAAAGAGTTTGTTAAACAATTAAAATATTAAGTCTAAAAATCGTATCAATCAAAATTACATCAAAATCTGAATTATAAACGGGAACACGCTAAGTTTTGTAGCGCAGTATTTTTGCAGTATATTTATTAAGCGTAATCAATGGGGGATTTGTACCCTATCCACTTCTGGCCATACTGCCATACAAAAGCGAATTAGCAAAAACATTGCAAAGCGAAAACGCCCCAAAAACAATGACTGTGAAGGCAATTAGATAGTTTTAAAACTTACCAAGATGAGCAAACACATCTGCACCCGCTGGGCCTTTGACCTGGGCAGCTGGAAGCCCACACTTCCTCAACTGAGTCAAGCGGTGGCCTCAATTCAGCCGGAGGAACGTGTCCGTCTCATGAAGTTCCACTTCATTGATGACTTTCTGTCCTCGCTAATTGGCCGTCTATTGATGCGAAAATATGTGAGCACATGCAGCGGATTGCCGCACCACCAAGTCAAGTTCGCCCGGGATGTGAGAGGAAAACCCTACTGGGTGAGGGAGGATTATGCCGGGCCACCTCTCAGCTTTAATGTCTCACATCAGGGCAGCTTAGTGCTCCTGGCGGGGATTACGGGAGATAGCAGTGATTCCGACTTTGGCCTCGGCACGGATGTCATGAAGATCGAGTACAGTGGTGGCAAATCCCTGGCGGAATTCTTTCGCCTGATGAAGAGCAAGTTTTCGGCCCAGGAATGGAGCTATATTGCCAGACCCCTGCTTGATGAACGGGAGCAAGTGAAGGCCTTCATGCGACACTGGTGCCTGAAGGAGGCCTACGTCAAGGAGCTGGGCGTAGGCATCACGGTGGATCTGGAAAAGATCAGCTTTTCCGTGGACACCACTCACTCCCTGGAGGCGGAGGTTTCCCCTTTAGTCGGCACCAGCCTGCGTTGCCACGACAAACCCATGGATAACTGGCGCTTCGAGGAGCATTTACTACAGGAAGAATACTGTGCGGCCATTGCTTTCCGGAATTGTTTGCCACAGGACCATGGAAGATTTAAGGTCCTTCAAGTTGAGGAACTGCTTGTTAAGAGTCCGGAATCAGAGCTGGAGGAAGTGCTGAGCTACTGCCAAAAGGCTCTACTTAAGCCATATAAGCGAACCTAAAATAATGCTTTTTGAGGAATTTCTTGTAAAAAGGGAATGTGGTGGCCCTAGGTTCTAATTGAGCCATCCATCCTATATCCAATAATTGATTTGTTATCCTTAGAATAAACATGCATTTATATTTTTTCAATAGTTGTGCCAAATAGGAGTAATTTGTAATCCTTGTGTTGTCATGCTGCGCACACCCCACCAAAAAATGGCTTGTTTGCCTGGCACTGGATAAACAAACTATACGAAACGAAGCCGGAAATATGCTTAAAAGGCCATAAACCCAAATTTAGGAACCCGTAATGGGACTCAGACAGGGGCCAGACATTGGTTTGGTTCAATTTATGCGCCAACAGGATAGCTATCCGTAAGGGTAGCTCTGCTTGGCTCGTTTATTTGAATTATTTTTGGCATTCCCGAAAGTTTTATCGATGGGAACGATGGCTGGCTGATATGCACGTTGCCAACGGCTGACAAAGGAAACTTTAATGCGGAAAAAAAATAATAGGGAATGGGTTTGCCATGAGAAATCCCTGCAGTCTGGTCTTTCTCACACTATTTTGTCACACCTGCTTGCAATTTGGCGCGGATTGCAATTAAAACAAAGGCACACGGCCGCGATTGTTTATGCTTAACCATTTAAGAGCTCTCTCATTTTGTGTTGACACCAACTCAACCCCCGGGATTACAAAATCCTTTTTTTTTGGCAGGGGTTGAACCCCGCTTTGAAGGACTCGACCACTTGCAGCTGTCAATCGAAATCGCCCCTAAATTATGGTTTATTAATTGAAAACACCCCCCGGAATTTGGGCAATTTTAAACATTCAGTTGTAACCAATTAAATAGGACAGATATCCCTCTCCCCACTTTAAGTGCATTTTATTTTGCTTTTGTTTTGGTTTAAAATGTATTATTTTTGTTTTATTGCCCATCATCCCATGACCATTTGCGAACACCAGCTGGCACCTCGTGGTCCGCCAAGAACTCGGACTTCGACCAGCGTCTGATTGTTGACCTGGGCGTGGTGCGGAACGTGACGCACATCGCCCTGCAAGGACGACCCCATAGCAATGAGTACGTCACCGAGTACACCATTAGCTATGGCATAACCGATCTAGAGTTTGCCGACTATAAAGAGCCGGGCGGCAATGTCAAGGTAAACAATCGATCTCGAATATAATTGCGAGTGTGTCCTTAATCCAAACTGGAAGAATATTCTTTTGGTGGTGGCTTACTGCACGGAAAAAACTGCATTATCGATTCGATTTCTTTACTAAAAATCATTATCATAAAAATGAAAATAAGTGATCATTAAAAATCCGTAAGAATGGATATTATTCATAATAACATTTCTTAAAGAATTATAAAATTATAAATTTTTATAAAAATATTTGATCTCTATAAAAAATATCTGGTTATCAAATTTTCAAATATTAAAATATTAATAATATATTTTTTAATCATCAAAGAATATAATATTTAAACTGTTTTAAAAATCTTAAAATACAAAAATATACATAATTTTTTATTATTTTTATTTTAAGCTTAAATTTTTATTTTCTGTGTAAAAAACAAAAAACCTTGGTGCCTGGGAAAATTGTTTAATCTGCGAAAGCCGATTATTATTTCATAAATACATTTCGCTTGCTTGTCTTTGCAATTTGTTATTATATCAATTCTTTATTTCACCCCGCATGCATCTGTTATATGTTTGGTTACTAGTCCTGTAGTTCACTTCCTATAAAACACACCCCTACCATTTTCTACACTCTGACACTGCAACTAACTAGATTGGTAAATGCACCTTGTGCAGGTAACGCTGCTTGGACACCGGTCGAGAATACCTATAACCACTTTCTAACACTCGACCTGGGGGATCCCCGCATGGTGCGCAAGATCGCCACCATGGGACGCATGCACACGGATGAGTTTGTGACGGAGTACATTGTCCAGTACTCGGATGATGGCGAGTTCTGGCGCTCGTACGTGAATCCGACAAGCGAGCCGCAGGTACTGTGACTAATGCTAGTTTAAGATACAGACACATCTAATCCGGGCTTGAAGGTTGGCGGAGGATTAATGCTTTTGGCTTTGGTTGCGCACTACTAACTAATAATCTTATGTATGTAATTAAATATCAATATGTTATCCATCACAGATGTTCAAGGGAAACTCTGATGGGGACTCTATTCACTACAACGTCTTTGAGGTACCGATTATCGCACAGTGGGTTAGGATTAATCCCACCCGGTGGCACGATCGAATTTCCATGCGAGTTGAACTCTACGGCTGCGACTACAGTAAGTTATTTAAAATCCCTGGGACATTTCTACCTTAAAACAAGTCCAACTGCTTATTTAAAACATATTCCTTGCAGTCTCTGAGAACCTGTACTTCAATGGCACTGGTTTGGTGCGTTACGATCTGAAACGGGAGCCCATTGCGTCGTTGAAGGAGTCGATACGATTCCGCTTCAAAACAGCCTTTGCCAATGGAGTGTTGATGTATTCGCGTGGCACCCAGGGCGATTACTATGCCCTGCAGCTGAAGGACAACAAGATGGTGCTGAATCTGGATTTGGGATGGCGGGTAATGACGTCCTTGTCGGTGGGCAGTCTGTTGGATGACAATGTGTGGCATGACGTGGTGATATCACGGAACCAGCGGGACATAATCTTCTCGGTCGATCGTGTTATCGTACGGGGACGCATCAAGGGCGAGTTCAATAGGCTGAATCTTAATCGGGAGCTGTATCTTGGTGGTGTGCCCAATGTTCAGGAGGGTTTAATTGTCCAGCAGAATTTTTCCGGATGTCTGGAGAACATCTACTTCAATTCAACCAACTTCATTCGAGGAATGAAGGACAGCTACGAACTGGGAGAGGCATATCTTTTCCAGAAGGTGAACACTATCTATGCGTGCCCTTCGCCTCCAATTTATCCGGTTACATTCACCACCCGCTCATCGTTCGTTCGTCTGAAGGGCTATGAAAACTCCCAACGTCTAAATGTATCGTTCTATTTCCGAACGTACGAGGAAACTGGAGTAATGCTGCACCATGACTTCTATTCCGGTGGTTACATAAAGGTCTTCCTGGAGTTTGGCAAAGTAAAGATTGATCTGCAGGCCAAAGGAGCAGCGCGTATTATCCTGGACAACTACGACGATCAGTTTAATGATGGCAAGTGGCATTCATTCGTGATCTCTATCGACCGGAATCGTTTGGTTCTGAACATTGACCAGCGACCGATGACCACAACAAAGAGCCTGCAGATTGCCACAGGAGCACAATACTACATAGCTGGTGGAAAGGGCAAAGACGGATTTGTTGGATGTATGCGGTTAATTTCGGTGGACGGAAACTACAAATTACCTCAGGACTGGGTGAAGGGCGAGGAGGTTTGCTGCGACGATGAAGTCGTCGTGGATGCCTGCCAGATGATCGATCGCTGCAACCCAAATCCCTGCCAGCACAAGGGCCTTTGTCACCAGAACTCCAGGGAGTTCTTCTGTGACTGCGCACACACAGGCTATGCCGGCGCAGTTTGTCATACATGTGAGTGCACATAAATTACTTACTCAACATTCTTTTGACTTATTTGTTTTCATGTTGTGTCTAGCCAACAATCCATTATCCTGCCTGGCTCTAAAGAATGTGCAGCATGTACAACAGCGTGTCAACCTGAACCTCGATGTCGATGGCAGTGGTCCTCTAGAGCCTTTCCCAGTCACCTGCGAATTCTACTGTAAGTCGATTCTGTTCTTTACAATTAAATACAATTTAATTCAAAATTTCAACGTAAAACTCTACATGAAAAGCTTTATAATTTTTAACTCTTCAGTTTTTCTTTTAAGATGTATCAAAGTGCCAATTGTGTTTAATATAAAACAAACTTTGCCTTTAAAAGAAATGCTATCAATCAAATTCTGATGGCATTATAAAGGGGCAGCATTATTAAATTCCTTATCAAAATGTAGTCTCCACAGAATATTAAAATTTGTAAAGGCCTTAAACATGACTTGAGTTAGAGTTGTTAGTATGTAATTTTGCGTTTCTTTTGACATTGATTGATTGATATATTGTTTCTGTAGCGGATGGACGTGTGATCACCACCCTCAGTCACAGCCAAGAGCACACCACAACTGTTGATGGTTTCCAGGAGCCGGGTTCTTTTGAACAGTCCATTATGTACGATGCCAATCAACTGCAAATCGAAGCTCTGCTAAATCGCTCTCATAGCTGCTGGCAGCGCCTTAGCTACTCCTGCCGGTCCTCCCGACTCTTCAACTCGCCATGTGAGTAGTTTCGGCTATCTTCTTATTAAATGATTATAATAATGCAATATTCCCAAAAAGCTGAAGCAGGAAACTTCCGTCCGTTTTCCTGGTGGATCTCTCGCCACAATCAACCCATGGACTATTGGGCTGGAGCTCTTCCTGGTTCTCGTAAGTGCGAGTGTGGAATACTGGGCAAGTGCCATGATCCCACAAAGTGGTGCAACTGCGATACGAACAGCCTGGAATGGATGGAGGACGGTGGCGATATCCGGGAGAAGGAGTACCTTCCTGTGCGGGCTGTGAAATTTGGTGATACAGGAACTCCGTTGGACGAGAAAATGGGTCGCTATACCTTGGGACCACTGCGCTGCGAGGGTGATGATCTGTTCAGCAATGTGGTGACCTTCCGCATTGCCGATGCCTCCATCAACTTGCCACCATTCGATATGGGTCACTCTGGAGATATTTACCTGGAATTCCGCACAACTCAGGAGAACTCTGTGTTGTTCCATGCCACTGGACCCACGGATTACATAAAGCTAAGTTTAATTGGCGGTAACAAGCTGCAATTCCAGTATCAGGCGGGCAGTGGTCCACTGGGCGTGAATGTAGGCACCAGCTATCACCTGAACGACAACAACTGGCACACAGTGAGTGTGGAGCGTAACAGGAAGGAGGCTCGTCTGGTGGTGGATGGTTCTATCAAGGCCGAGGTCCGAGAGCCGCCAGGTCCAGTGCGTGCTCTTCATTTAACCTCGGATCTGGTGATTGGAGCCACAACAGAGTACCGTGATGGTTTTGTGGGCTGTATTCGAGCTTTGTTGCTTAACGGAAAGATGGTTGACCTGAAGGATTACTCGAAGCGTGGATTATACGGCATCAGCACCGGATGTGTTGGCCGCTGTGAGTCAAGTCCTTGCCTTAATAATGGAACCTGCATTGAGCGATACGATGGCTACAGCTGTGACTGCCGTTGGAGCGCGTTCAAGGGACCCATTTGCGCAGATGGTAGGTTATTCGATGCAGCCGACATAGCGTCTCATTTAATTTTCATTAACTTATTGCAGAGATTGGTGTCAACTTACGTTCCAGTTCGATTATTCGCTACGAGTTCGAGGGCTCCTTCCGCTCGTCGATTGCCGAGAACATTCGTGTCGGATTCACAACCACCATTCCCAAGGGTTTCCTGCTTGGCTTCTCTTCTAACTTAACTGGCGAATATCTGACCATACAGATATCGAATTCTGGTAAATAGCTTTAAATACAATTGCATTTAATGCGCACCGCTTAATTCATAAACACATTTTCTTTTAGGTCATTTGCGTTGCGTATTTGACTTTGGCTTTGAGCGACAGGAAATCATATTCCCCAAAAAACATTTTGGGCTTGGTCAGTACCACGACATGCACTTTATGCGTAAAAACGGTGGATCTACAGTGGTTTTGACGGTTGACAACTATGAGCCTGTGGAGTATCATTTTGATATAAAGGCCTCAGCAGATGCTCAATTCAATAACATTCAGTATATGTACATTGGCAAAAATGAGTCTATGGCAGATGGTTTCGTGGGTTGTGTTTCGCGAGTTCAGTTCGATGATATCTACCCCCTGAAGCTGATGTTCCAGCAGAATCCACCGAAGAATGTTAAGTCTTTGGGCAGTAAGTATTGAAATTTAGCAAGACTGGAAAATAAATATCTAACCAACTTTTACGTTGCAGCCCAATTGACAGAAGACTTCTGCGGAGTCGAGCCAGTGACGCATCCGCCCATTGAAATTGAAACTAGGCCGCCACCTTTGGTGGATGAGGACAAGTTGCGTAAGGCATACAATGAAGTGAACTCTGTGCTGCTGGCATGTAAGTGGTGTTAATTTTCTATAGCTAAATCAAATTGATAATTTATTGATGCACTTTAGGTCTGCTAGTAATTCTCTTCCTACTGCTGATCGTTATGTTCTTCCTTATCGGTCGCTACTTGCACCGGCACAAAGGCGACTATTTGACGCACGAGGATCAAGGCGCCGATGGAGCCGACGATCCGGATGACGCTGTCCTGCACTCAACTACTGGCCATCAAGTTAGGAAGCGAACAGAGATCTTCATTTAAACCTGTCGCAAAAGTATGCACACAAATCGTTTTTAAATCGCCTTAGACACGCAAAAGCGACGAATTAGACTCACTAAAAAAAGATACAAACAAAATCAAATGAACACGGAAAATCTCACAACATATTACAGACAGAGAATCTTGTTTCACTTTTCCACGCACTGCCAATTGTTTTGCGCAAGTGATTGCTAACTATTTAATTTAATATTGGTTGGCTGAATTCTCAAAGGATTTTTTTATTTTTTGGTTCTGTCTGACGGCATTTCACCTTATTTTACTTTTGAAATCCCTCAAAAGTCATTAAATACCGTCCATTTTTAGTTAATTTTATAAACATATTTTGTTTGCGAAATTAAGTTAAAAACTTATATATTTGGTTGCTACCCGCGCAGCTGAACGTAGCCAGCTAATTATTTGTATTTTTTTACGAACATTCCATTATTATTAATGTCGCTCGTTAAATAAAAAAGTCTTCTACTTTACACACAAAAGAACACGAGAATCATTTTGTGGCTAAACAAACTCGGCTACTTTAGTAACAACAGATTGTATTTTTGGAAAATACATTTTGAACGTCTTGACTTGAAATTTGCAAATATACATTAGCATGTGTATATAGATATATAGCTATATATAAATATATATAATTACGAAAAAAGAGACAATGAAAACATTAATATTTTTATCTTTCAATAAAAGAAAACTACGAATAATTTAAATACTTGTGTTGCACTCACCGTTTTGGAACTCTAAGGAAACTATGGGATATTCAGTCTCTTAAAGTTTATTCAATATAATTTTGTATACTAAAATATATATATGTGTATAAGTATAGGCTATTCCAAATATTAATATCTGCATGTTTTTGATTTCCTTGATGTAAAGTTAATCGTAACAATATAGTATAACGCTATTTTGATTACTACGGTTTTGGTTTTTTGTTATTTGTTAATTTGTTTGTGGTTTGTCTACTAGATGTACTGGAATATATTGATTTGCATTAATGAACATGTATAATATTGTTATTATCTAACAACAGTCTAAGTCACATGTAACTTGTTAAGGTAGTATAACACTGGGTGGGTTTCCACTTCCACTATCCATAATCCATAATCCATAATCAATATTAAGTATTCGCATCGTTGTTCCATAACTTATCAAAACATGTGTGCATGTCTATGATAACTGTTAATCGTTGTATCTATCGGGGCTATACCCTCTACTCGTATGATTTAGGGACTTTCAGGACTGGATTTCACTACATTATACCTAGGTTCAACTATGGGTTATGATAATGCACTTAACATCGGTCAACGGTTCTAAATGGAAGATTACAGTTTTGTTGTATTAATTATGTACCATGGTTAGCTGATAATTACGCTTATCGATATGGTCATCTTCAGGCCACTTCATCTTAACAAAAAAACTATCACAAAAGGTAAATGAAAATACAGAAATTCTACAGGAATTCAGGATATTCCGCACTTACTGCCGGTAAGTGCCGCTATTGTCCACCCACAATCCGTTCAGTATCAAAAGCAATCTCCATTAATTGTGCACATTTCCGCTGGCCAGCATCCGGTAGCGATTCAGCAGCTGCACCGCCGCATCCTGCATGGGCACGATCTTTCCGTGTCGCTCCTCGTAGACCTCCAACATGATCCGCTCTCACAAAACCGTGCAAATGACAAAGAGCAGCGATACAAGGCACAACATAGCCACAATATCCCGGTGAAGTTTCCGATCTCGGTGAAAAGGTCGCGTGGTGTAACTCTCCCGACGCGCCTGTCTTAGCAGCCAAACTGGAACAAAAAGCTGGAGAAGATCGGGAATCATGAATCCGATGTCCCGGACTATCTGGTGGGCATAACCCTCGCCGCGAACCACATTCATGAAGAACTGGTCGAAGCTGCTGGCCAGGATGTGAAGTAGGGCGATGCCCACAATACAGAATACTTTCTTTGGAGTAACCACATTGGTTGTGTTGGCCAGGTGCATCACCAGGACCGTGGAGAACAACTCGGTTATCTGCAGGAGTGAGGTAGTTAATAAAAAAGATAGTTATACTTATACATCTCTAAAATATAATTTATTTAAAAATTACTACTAATCTGTAATCTAAATGTAATTGCTTAAAATTGAAGAAAAAAGGGCATCATTTTTCTAAAACCTTGTAAAACCTTGTAAATTTATCAGAAAGAAAGAACATTTTTAATTAGAGTTTAAGTTAAGTTTTGGTTATAAAAGCCACAATTTAGTGAAATTAAAAATGTTGGCACACCATAGGAGCACTTGCTAGCTATAAGTAGCTATCGGCTCCTGTTCATTTTCCACTTTTTATATTCCCACTAGGTATTTTCACCGGCATGGCGATTTGCTCATTAGCAAGGCTAAACTTTTGAGTTTAAACTTTGGTTGGATGAATGGATTTTCTCTTGAAACTTATTACTCTGCCATACTTCTATTTCCATGAACACGGGCTATCTGCTGAGCTGGCCAGGATCTAGATGATGGGCGGTCTAGTGCGGAACAAGTGCGAGAATTGAGCGGGAAAGTGTTCGAATTGGAGCGCATATTGTGCAAGTTTGGAGCGCACTCGCGCAGGACGAACTTTGCCAATAAATTATGGATGGCCGGTAACTGGCTTAGGGCACATATGACGGCACGTACCTGCTGTATTTGACATTGACTTGTAAGTTGCAAGTTTCATGTTGAATTATGCACATAACAAAATTAAAACAATGTCTATGTCAAATCATTTTCTATTAAAACCTCAGATTAAAAATATCAAAGGATTGATCTTTAAATGGCCTTTTTTCAAATGTGAGACAAATTTAAACAAAAATTTGATAGTTTTTAAGTTTCATTGCACAACAAAATTTTAATAATCTAAAATAACTTTTTTATTATAACCATTTTAAATGATATGCTTATATTTGTATGATTAAGTTAATATTAATATGTTTTGAAATATTAACATGACCATAGGTAATTTATGGGTATTTATTTTTAAAATCCCTTTTGTGCATTCTTAAATATGAATCCCCAGATTACATTTTTTTCAGTGTGCCAGTTCAGAACTCACCGTGAAGAATAGCTGGTGGTTCCACTGGTTGTAGTAGTCGTCGTTGTAGTAGTTGATGTACGCCCACCAGGCGTAGTAGTGCGAGAATATGGACAGCAGGAAGAGCAGGAGCATCGAGTACCGCACGCGCTGCTGGAGGATCAGGGCGATTAGCCTTTTGATGCACTCGTAGAGTGCAATCACGGCGAACACGGTCAGAATCCACATCTTGAAGCTGTTGGGCGTGGCATTGAAGTACATGTGCTTGTAGGCGGCCACCCCCGACTCGTAGGGTCCCTTGAAGACGGTGTCCCAGCAGGAGCAGGTGCAGAAGTGCCTGTCCACGTAGCGGGCGTAGTTCTCCCAGAAGTACCACAGGATGACGATGTGGGCCGGCGGGATGAGGGCCGGAGCCAGCGATCCGCAGGCGGTGGGCAGCCAGGTGATGTCAAACATTTTGCAAATACTTATAAAAGTTAACCGGCTAATGATATGTCGTTTCGTTTGCTGGCTCCGTTTTCTACCCTTTTTTAAATTTCTCTGGTCATTTCTTTCCAGTCTGAAGAGCAAACAAGTTGATTAAATTACAGTTTTTTAATACAAATATTTTTTGTTAATATTTAAAGAAAAAAAATATTATATATACTTATAAAAAAATGTTATTTTTGGATAAAATATTTACAGATAAAAATAAAAATCTACAGAATACACAGTTATAGGAAATTTATATAAAGCCATTAGAGCAAAGATCACCTCAATAGAAAAGCCATGAATTGGCTTTTGCACATTTTAACCAATGACAACTATATAATAAGTGAGGTCTAATAAAACTAGGTTCTGTTTATTTATTCCTCAGACATTTGACAAGATATTATTTTTAAATGTTTTTTTCTTTGTGGCACAAAATTTGTTATGTGAACATTACAAAGAAACAAAATTATCTCATACAAATGTAAATATATCTCAATTAAATGTCGTTATTAGTCAAGACAATTAATTCTGTTCGTTGCACCCTTAACACCTATTATAGAAAAATAAATTGGAGGGGGTTTACAATTCATTGTTCCAGTAATATATTCACCATTGACATACATGTGATTTCAGTATCAATTAATCAAATTGCACCAAGTCATATAATTTTAAATCATCTTTTATTGAATGTGTTTACGCTTCCGTTTTCATTAAAATTATTCAAATTTTGTTATGGAAACTGCCAACATTTTGTAATTACTTGTTTGAATAATTATCACATGTGCCCGATGAAATGTTGAAAGGTGAAGAAAGTATTTTGCATAAAAGAACATTAAACTTAAGTTTACTTTGAAACTAAGAGGTTTCCGAATCCAAGAAATCTGTGTGCAATTGGTATTCGAGTGTTTGTGAGCATTTCAATATTTGGCTTTCGACCAGTGTGTTATTTCTGTTTTTGCATAGTTTTGAAAATAAACAAAAAGGGGCGCCCTGAAAATATATTCCGCCCTCCTGGCAGTGCATTGCATCGGCGTGTTTTTAAAACAATCCCAGAGAAGGCCTGCCAGTTTGACGCATTGCTATGGCTCTTCGTGGATTCACATGCAAATTTGCGTGCAACTGCGAATGCAACTGCAGCCAAGTGACCAACTGAATGTCATCCGCACGTACTTGTGTGTCCAAAAATGATGCAATTATAAATTCATGTGCTGCAGGGGCGGGCAAAAGGGGCAAGGGATGGCCATACATACGTATACGCACGGTGAATGGCATTCCAAGCGGTGGCACGGCTGCCAAAAAATCAAAAAGCAACGCGAGTGGTCATTAGTGCGGACACGAAGCCAGCCCCTCAATGGGAATCTGAATGGGAACGGGAGTGGAAAAGCCAGCAACTGCAATTGAGACAACAGCGAGAGGTGCAACCAAAAAAGTTATAGTTCGGAACCGAAGCTTTGAATACCCTTGCCTAACGATTCCCTTGAAGATTGTGGATTAAAGTAGTCCTCTTCCACATATTTCGATTCCCAAATTAAAATACAATAAGTCGTTGGAACTTAAAATATAATATATGCTTCTTTAAAAAACGTTCTTTAAGAAAGGGATCAGAAAAGTTAGGTTGTCATAGAAAATATTGGGTGTAGCTTATCACCAGATAGGCAATATATATTGTTGCAATACATGTAAATATAATTTTATCATTTAAAAGTGTTACTTAAATAATACATTTTAGCCGTAAATTAATTGCCATTAGGCAGTATTTTCTGTATTATTATTATTCTGTAAATTAATTAATGGGAAATTTGTGAGCTTTAGTAAATATTGAAAAAGGCTTACAAGTTGAAAGTCTTGTCATCATTTCATATGATATCGAGTTACTTGGAAAATGGTTTTATTCATTTGGAAAGCCATTCTTGCAAGCATTCTATACAATTTTCAGTAATTAAAAAAAAAAACATTTGAAGTACTATCTTTAATTACATTTTGGAAAGTCCCTTTTTTCCGTCTAGTAAGCCTTAGCCAAAAATAATAGCCCCGGGTAGAGTAGAAAAAGTAAAAATGAACCTCGAGTACTGGGCGCCGCTGTTCCTCAACTTAATTAATACAACGCCCTGCGATGCGCAGCTGCCAGTGAAAAACTATTTCGATTTGTTTTGATTGCCGCTGCTGTTTCGGCTCCTGACTTGCTTTTGTTGCGCCACATCGCCCTATAAAAACCAGGCAAGCCAAGCCAAAAGAAAAAACATCCCCAAATGGAAGCAATCGTTTACAATTGACGTCACGGCGGAAATCAGGAGCATTGTATTGAAAACTTAGCTGAGCATAAGAGTGAAATCAGTGCAGCATACGATATGAATTTTAAATTGAGAACGGAACATTGTAAACATCGTATGAACTCTACCCGTAACTTTCTGCAGCTGGAAAAGAATTTATGCTACTTCTCCTGAACTGACCCCAAATTGTGTCCGAAAAATGAATAAATGTGTGTGAGGAAGACCCTTAATTTGTCAAAGGTATGAACTCATGCGGAAGGAGTCAACTTTCATTTCCTATTATATCAATTTCGGGGCATTTGGGTCAGGAACGGACCAGACTCAAAATTTAATGTATTCAGTGGCAAAATAAATTCAGTATTTGATTTGCCATAATTTAAGTAAACATTTTTTTTTGTATATTGTTTGTTCAGATGTTACAATTTGTAAAAAAAAGGTATTTTATTTGTATGTTTTAAAATTCATTTTATTGGAATTTAATTGAATTCAGAGGGGAAATGCATTGGGTGCTTGAATTTATGACATTTTTATTGACCCTTTAAGTTTACATTTCTGCCATTTTACGAGCAAAAACTTGAAGTCCAATTTGAAAAAAACAGCCTTTAAATATGAATGAGATTTCTTGGAATTTAATGGCTTTTTTGTGCAATATTTTTACATTGCACATGACATTAATTTTGTTGTATAAAAGGGGTATTTGTTTAAACTGAAGTGTGGTTATCTATAAGAGTTCTGAAAGTAATGTGGTGAATTTAAGTTGGCAAAATGTAGGAAAGTTTTAAAATTATTAAAAGGATTGTAAGTCGTTTTCTTTCCAAATATCCTTTGAACTTTTGAACTACTTTCCCATTCAAAGTTAATTTTTTGTTTGGAATAGGGATTCGTTTCTTAAACAACATAAGCTGAAAACGTTAAAGAAAATAAAGTACTGTGATTTACCTTCCAAATTACATTGGATAAGCTCTTTAAAATGTTGTTTCTAAGACAAAACTTTGGGCCACCCGCATCTGAGGGTATAAAATCAAACACTTGCCATTCCGACTGACTATTATCCCGTATATTTGCCCCCTTTTGAATCGCGTGCACAAATTCACATTTCTCTCAAAGGCTGTGTGTAAACAACACCTCGGGCTATGGAAAAAAACAACCATTTCAACTATAACTTGGTGTGAGTGGCGGCAAAGCTGTCAACAGTCGTCGCGTCATCACTTGAGCTGCATTGTTGTACAAGTATTTGTCGCACAGGCAACGCGTCGTATGAGTAATGTGGGAGCGAGGAAAATGGGGTCGGGAAATCCCACACCGGGAGGCAAGTCTATGTAGTCGAGTGGCGTTCTTCGCATGCTCATTTGTGTCCCTTTCAATTGTCATTCGGGCTGCTGTTGATGTTTTCGTTGTTGGCGTTTGTCGGAGTACGCCAGACACTTTGTCTACAAGTCGTGCGAGTTGTAAGAGGTATGGAAATGTGGCTCCTCCCAAACTTGAGAATAAATTTCAGGCACACGACCCTAATAGTCGTTGCAATAGCAGGTGATAAACGAACTAGCGATGAGCATGCAAGGAAGCCGAATGTTGTAAACACGCAAACACTCGAACTCGAATCGCTGCTCGTATCTAGGTGGATACATAAACACATGAGCTTGGACGAGCATTTTAATAGTGTTTACATGGAGAGAAAGTAGTTTTATAAACAATTTTGGAAAGAGAGAATAAATAGACTAAGATATCATTGCACTTGTTTTGTATTTGCATCAAAAGAAAATGTTATTCTGTCATAAGATCTCTATGTTATCTAATTTATTTCATAAAATTCAAATTAATTAAATGTCGTTTAATACGTTACTTTACTTCTGATAAGATTAAGTATTTCAGGTTATTACTCATTTTACTAAATAAGACTGAATCGAGTTCTTGTAGATGGTTTCCATTTTTTAACTGATAAGATTAAGTATTCCACTTTAATTCTCACTGAATTGAGGTCTTGTAGATGGTTTCCATGTTTTAATTGAATAGTTGACTATCATTTATATATTGAATTTTTGATTATTATTGTTTAACTATAAAAACGTTAAGCTTCAGATCTTATTTCCATCTCTAAATAAATCATTTCCGGGTAAAAATTGTCATATTGTTAATATTGTTATAGATTTCCCTTAGTGTATTACAGTCTGGCAGAGTTCATGCCTCTAGGCCCCCCTGTAAACGATGTGGGCGGCTGGCTTTGCACTGAGATAAATCGCAAGCAATAACATTGCCTGCATGCCGTTTGTTTAGTCAATAATTATTTGGGCATTAAGCAGAGCACACACATACACACACTCGGAATTAAGCCAAATTATATCGAACCATTCGAAATGCAATTGCACACAGATTAAAGACGATGGCCAATGGAGCAAAAAAGGGATTTTCCGGTCCGTTGAAAAAGCGAAAAATCGAAATACAATTAGGCAAAGCACTAGAATGGGTACATAAAAGCGAACCGAACCTAATGCGCGGCAGTTCAGAGTTCCTTGGGCTGGGTTCACTGGGATGCTGGCTCTCGGTATCCCTTTATTCCGCCCGGCTTTTCCGATTTTCTCACTTTTGCGTTATATACAATATTGTTTAAACAAATCCGTTTGGTGAATTTTTTGGAGGAAAAAAGAGGAATTTTTGTTGAAACAACAACCGCGGGCAGGTCGTGAAAAACGCGACTGAAATTATTGTTATGCTGCGTGTGAAATTTTGCTCTTGTCTTTGCAGCCGGCGCCGGCGTCGTTGTCTGGCCAATGTTTCCCAACAACAAAATAGGGGGAAAGCTCTCAGCTGATGAGAGTTTTCCATGGTTGCTATGTTTATGTATGAATGACGCGCACTGTAGCCGGCTCTCTCACAAGTTCTCAGCTGCGCTCTCATTTGACCAAAAGTTGCGCTGAAAATAGGGGGAAATGCATGCGGCTTCCTTCGTCGCACATTAAGTATACGCGGCGTGGACGCTCATTGCAATATCATCAGCCACCAAAAGGCAACGGACTCACGTGGATCCTTCATTCATACAAACCCATGTTTACCATCTATACTTACCCCGCTATAACTATTTTCTTTTGCACCTGTTGGCTGGTGGGCTTCCCTTGATTTACTTCCACTCCTTAAAACACTTTTCTTTGGTATTTTAAAGTTTTTACACATTTATTTCGAGTTGCTTGGCTTTTGAACATTACCACCATAACAAAAACATAAGTACTTGTCAAACAATTACTGAGTTAAACTAATTTAAATACAAGCTGCTTAAGTAAAGCACACACAATGCACACAGAAAATTGCTGTCAAAGTGCATTTTAAATATGCTAATTAAATGGTTTTCTCCCGCATTCTCATTGTTTTTCCCTTCTACCTGTTTAAGTATTTTTCTTCAATTTCATTTTGAGCACAGTTAGAAACTGCAGTGTCCATTGTTCGTATAAGTTTGTCGCAACAATGGCTTAAATTTGTGTTCTAGTAATTAAAATGCTGGCCGAGACTTATTCATCTGGCGTTACCATTGTTCTCTGGCCCATTGTGGCCGGAAATTCTATCCCCGGTATACATGTACATATATAAAATGATACGGCTAAGTAAGTATCAAGAGTATAAATTCGATATATATTTGGCCTCGCTCCATCGTATTATCCTTACAGGTACAAGTACTCGATGACTTTATTAAAGTCGTTTGCTTAGTTAGGTGTAACAGTAGACATTGTATACAATCTATAATATCTATACATAGAACCACCGGATTAGACATTGAGACATAAACGCAATTAATTTAATTTATCGAGAACTATACAATTGAAACACAAGCAGTCCGCAATCTGTTTTGATTGTGTTTTACCCAATATTAAACTACAATGCAAACATGCTGCAAATCCGCTTGTTAGCATTTAATACCCGCGGCGGAATCATGGTTCTGAGTGACTTTCCCTGAAATTCTGCATAATTTAGCTATCGAATTACCATGCCGTCCTCCAAATCCCGCACCCCACCCTTTCTTTGTACTAATTTCGACCTTGCCCTGGTCCTCTCACAATATGCCTCCTATTCATTCGCTGTCTCGTATATTGACTGGGTGTCCATTCTATATGTCATCCTGTCGGCTCCTTTCTTCCCCTGTCTAAACATCACAAAAGCTCATTAAATATGTTTACTATCACCAGTGTGTTTGCTTCTGTCGTTGTTCCTTGTCCACTTCCCACTGCTCGCCGGAATTCCCTGCTTCATTTCTATTTATTATTTTCATTTCAATTGTAGGTCCATCAATGACATTGCATTCAGCCTACTGAATAGTGCCATTGATATCCATTATTGCAGAGAGAAATTACTTTTCGTATGCCCTGCCTATTATTTCCACATACAACTTAGTTAAATTAGTCCAACAATGAAGTCTCTACGGATTTGGAAAATGACTTGATTCATTTCAATTCATGATTAGGCATCTCAATCAGACTGAATTATTATTGCGGGTTTCCCATTAGATTAATTCAATTTTTATATGCTTTGGATGTGAAGTACAACTTATTCAGATAAGGAAACTATTTATATATTTATGATAGGATTAAATTGAGTTTAGTTTTAAACGAATATCTACTTGTCATTATGGTAAAGGAAGTTCAGTTTCAGACAATATATATTAAGTTCCTGATATGTGTGCAAAAGTAAATGCTAACTAAAATATACTTTTTAAAAACTAACTAAAAGGAATGCAACTATTTGTTTTGAGTTTTTTGGTCTTTGCAATACAGAGCTTAAATGGATTTCTCGGTTTATTGTTTTTTTAGATCTGTTTATTTTTTAGTGTCGTTTCAGAACTTACTCTGTTCCATGACACTGCTCACCGAATTGTTGATCTCGGCCACCACTATGATCTCCTCGTTCTCCTCCGTTTCCTCGGGCACCATCATGAGGTTGTTGTTCATCAGGTAGCCCTCCATTCGATGATCCCCCATTCCTCCCTCCCCAGTGTTGCTGTTGCGCAATCTGTGGGTGAACGAGGATCGGGATCGGGTCATGTACGAAGATCTGGTGGTGGAGACCCTCCTCAGGACCCCGCGACCGTAGATCAGCATGCGCACCTCGACGCGAAACCGCGGATGGGTGGCCGCGTATAGATAGGGATCCACGCAGGCAGCTGTCTTGCAGAAGAGCGCCGGAATCATCGAGCCCAGTGGTGTGATGTGCCGCTCCAGGCCGAAGACTCCCATCATGGCCACCACGGCGTAGGGCGACCAGGCCAGGAACCACAATCCAATAATGGCCGCCACAATGAAGGCCAGCTTCTGCTCCGTCTTAGCCTTGTCCTTGTTCGACTGAATGCGACTGGCTGTGAAGACCACCTTCAGGATGTAGAAGTAGGAGTACACAATGGCGGTCAGCGGGATGCAGTAGGCCGCCACGAAGAACAAGGCCATGAAGATGCGGGCGGGGGTCTCTTTGTTCAGGTAGTCGAAGCTGCAGGTGGTCAGGAATCCCTCAGGCACATACACAGAGAGTCCAATGTCCAGGGCCGGCATCACCGCAAACAAGAAGCTATAGCACCAGATCAGAAGGATAATCAGATAGGAGCGCAGGCGGGAGCAGCGTCTCAGTGGCTGCAGTGGATGCACCACCACATTGTACCGATCCAGAGCGATCGCAGTGAGGGTTCCGATGGCGCAGGTGCCACTTAGACCGCCCACAAATCCGTAGATGCGACAGGCTGTGGGTGGAAAAATAGTGAGTTTTTTGAAAAAATCCTTAAAAAACAAATAAACAACCAGCACCAATTTTTTGTGCATGGGACTGCCCCTAAAAAAATCGGAGTACATTCCTTAAATATCTAAAGGACAACAAAGTTGTATTGTCATAAAGAAAAATCAAGTGCTTGTAAATCTCTTGAAAGGTTTTAAGAAATAAGCGTTAAACTTATATACAACCAAACATATTTAATTACTGTGATTAAAAAAAAACTTCACTAAAATCTTTCATGAAATATAGTAATATAGGTCAGATTAAAATTTAATTGCTCAAATAGTCAATTCGATTTCTATCAAGGTGGCCAATTAACGTACAAAAAAAAGAAAAACAAAACAGGTGACTAAAATATAAAGTCTCAGATTTTAAACTTGCTATGATTAATACTTGAATTATAAAAGCACCGAGACTTTTCCCAGGAAATGTTAAAAAGAAAAATCTTTTAGAAAATCGTACAAATTGGCAGCACTGATTGGATATCCAAAATAATGAGTGGTTTTTGTTGATTTCTTAGAAATTGTTTTTTAGTTATAAAGAGCTTAAAAAACCAACCGCGTTTGTTTTTTTGTAGGCTTCTAAGCTACTTACTTACCAACGTCTCCCAAAGCCGGTCCCTCTTTGATGTTGTTGTAAATGGCAATTGGACACTTGACGAGCATCAGGAAATCGCAGATGGCCAGGTTCATCACCAAAATGTTGGCCGGCGTTCGCAGCGATTTGCGGTTGGCGAACATGAAGATTACAAAAGCATTGCCCACACATCCCACCACCGAAATCACGAAATACAAGGTGGCCATCACGAGGAAGGTACTCGATTTAGGAGGTTCGAACTGCAGCCAGAAGGGATTAACTTTCGCGATGTAGCTCAGATCGTATTTGTCCCGGTAGTGAATGTAGCTGGGGTATGACGTGTAATTACTGGAATCATAAAACGAACATTATTGAACTGAAGAACAAATTCAAACGGGGCGTATACTTAATTTTGGAAATATATTGGAAACGGGGCGTATACTTTTTTTTAAAAATATGTTATTACCTTTTTTGCTGTTCTATGATTTAAATGCCTTAAAATTTAAAACTCATTAAATTTAATTTTTTATATTTACACTTAAGCTGCTTCAGATTAATTTAATTGGTTTTCATTAAAAGTACTGATAATTAAATATTTCAATAAGAGTAATTTAAGAAGAAGTAGCTTACTAGATTGTACTCTTCTTTACAGTTGCCCTATTGAAATGATAGTCAATGGAATTCTAAGAATATTTGTTGAATCGCGATGCCTTCTTTTGTATAGAAATTATACGTTTTCTATTATTACCAGTGTTTAAATTGTAAGTGATTGTCAGTAAGGTAATTGATGGTTCCACAAGCATTCATAAAATTTAGAACCAGCTTACATTAAGTAGCTTTTACCTAATTGTCCCTCCCTAAATATAAGTAATCTGATTATTCTCCCCTTTGCAGAGATATCTAGCTTCTTATATGTTATTCAATGCATGCGGGTCCTAGAGAGTTAGGCCGAGCTTATCGCGATGTCTTGTTGAGCTGGTCGTGAGCATGAATATGTGGATTGTTCGTGAAAGTGGGTACGCGTTTACCCCTTACCTTAGTGATGTGGAAACGCTGTCATTCACGTGCTTGTCATGGTCCTTGCCCACATTCACCGCCGAGGATGCCGCCGCCGGATTCCCTGCCGCCGAGGATGTGCCGCCAGTTGGGCCGTGGCTCGAGTTGGCCAAAATCTCGGAGAGCGAGAGGGCTCCGGTAAGCCAAAAGCTGCTGTCAGCCGCATCCGTTGTCAGTGTGGGCAGGGTCGTCATCATGATGGCCTCCATGTCTGGTTGGCCTCACCCAGAAATTTACTAGCTTCTCCAAACTGGATCCGGAACGTGCTCGCAAAGGTGGACGCGAAAGTGGCGCTTATTTACTTGCCGGTGCCTCAACTGCCGCATTTGGCAAGGATGTCGTGTGTCGCCGCCACGGGATTGCCTTCAGTGGAGCGGTTGGTGGTGTTAGTGGTGGTGGTGCAATGTGGTTGCTGCGGTCACGAACCATTTTCCGTTTGCCAAACGCCAATGGGGTTAGCTGCAATTAGCTATCCGCCGGTGACCCTAAACGGGGGACATATAAAAAAACAGTTGGCTTAATCGACGCTCTTATTTAATTAACCGCATCGGGCTTAAAATGTCTTACAGTACTTATCCCAATCTCATCTTCAGGATATAAAGTTAGTCTTTAAACTCGCCTCTGCTGAGGACCTTTCCCTGGTAAAATTCAGTCCCAACTTAAATCTATAACCATTACAAAAGTTGGTAATGGCAGGTGCTCTCAATAAAGTTGAATTTTTTTGTTGAAATGCCAAGAATGTAGTACTTATTTGAAGCAGGGTAAAATTAATGAACTCGTGCTAACTTTTTTTCAGACCACTAGACCAAATACCGTAGGTGGGCTTCCAGCGATGAAGTTATTAAAAGCAGCAGGAAACCAATAACATTGTGTTAACTATTCAGCTTCAGGTTAACACAATGCCGAACATAATATTTCTTCTCCTCTTTACTGATTACGAAAGTTTTTAATGCATTTTGCCAGCCCAACTGAGCTTAAACGCAACTTGAACTTAACTCAATTGCTTTTAAATGCTTTAAAGTGCAGGGCACAATTTTTGTTTGAAACCCTTGTAAAGTTTTAGTATACCAATGCACATTGAAGAAATTTGCAATTATATCTTATATTCTAGGGTAAAGAAATTGCTGGCATAGTTTAAGGCAGTAAAAAAAGTATCTTCTGTATCAAAAATTATAAATGGATATTCATGATAAACATAGGGTTTTGATTTAAAAATATTTTTATTTTGGTTACTAATCATAGACATAATGTAAAAAAATCAATATACTCTATTACATTAAAAATAAATTTAAAATTTGGTCAAGGATCAAAGAAAAAGTTATTTGCTGTTTTCTTTTAAGACCGGAAGAAGGTAGATTCTTATATACATTTTAAATCAAATGTTGAACTTATTTTTTATTTCTTCCTCCTAAGAAGGTGAACATTTCGGTCTTAAATAAAAACAATGCCGTTAAAGGTTAAGGCGGATCTCGTTTTACCTTTGTGTTTCTTGCCACTTGTGGCACAAAATAAGACCAACCGAGTTTTCCTGTTCCGGTATTTTAACTAGCCATCCCCTTGGCTTATATTTGAATTAGTTCCCGGTAAATGCTTTATTAATAGCCAACCAACCAACTAACAACCAAAACACAATTAAGTTTCGGAAATGTATACTTATTGTAATCGGACGTGGCAAATCAATTAACATCTATTTGAGGAGGTTGTTGGGGGCGATTACTTATTATGTAAATCTCTCAGAAAATGTATTTAATTAGCGAACTTAATTGCTTATTAAATAACTTGCAGGCGGCCACGTGATCCCGGAAGGCTTTCAGAATTTGAGGTCCTGCCGCAAGTGATTCTCAACTGAAACTCAAACACGAACTTCTGCCAAAGGAACCCGAGCATAAACAGCACTTGGCCAAAGACAAACTTTTGCCAACAGCAACAACTGCAGCTGCACAGGAACAACTACAAGTGACCTATGTCCCGGGAATTGCCGCTCAAGCGTTTGCTTATTATATTTACAACAGCATCTGAACATCTGAGCATCTGAACAGCAAAACAGAGTCGACGACTCTGCCTTTTGTGTAATATCCGCTGGAAAATGTATAGTACGGCTTTCAAAATAGCGCACTTTCCCATTTAAATATCGCTAATTGGCCAATTGAAATTTGTCTTTGCCCTCAGGGCATTCACAAAGGGTACTGGGTTTTGTTTTGAAACTCGTTCTCAATGCCATCAAAATTTCGTTGAAAATCTGATGCATTTCCATGGGAGGCAAGCTGTGGCACTGGCAATTAATCATTCAAATAGGATGTGGAAGTAGGTTCCTCTCCGTAATATTTGCCTATTTGTTAGCAGTCAACCAGCTTACACTGTTATGTATGTCAGCTGAATTGAGACGTGCACAGGCTGCTTTTGAATGCTCTTAAAAATGTACGAGTTTATGACTTTTTAAAGTTGTATCATTATATCAGTGATTTTTAAGAAAAAATGAAAACAAAGGAATCTTTTTTGTAAAATGGTGCTCGAATAATTGGTCACAATTTACACGGTAATTATTTAATTACAAGTAATCACATGATTTGTCTGTTTCTATACCCTTGCAAAAGGTATTATAATTTTAGTCAAGATCACATTTCCGACCCATCTTTTATTAAGTTCTTCTAAGCCCATATCTTTTCTTACAGACATCCAATTATAAAGTGACATACCTCTAAATGATTTTAGTTTAATTTTCTAAAAATCTGTATCCTCAACTTGGTTTGTATTTTCTTGTCGATTTTGCATCATTTTTATGAGCTAACCCCTTTCCAAATTTTCAAAAAATGGCTTTCCTGAAAAGTCACCTAAAACCTGCACTTCTAAGCCTATAACTTTTCTTACAGACATCCGATTTTAAAGTGGCATACCTCTAAATGATTGTGGTTTAATTCCCTAGAAATCTGTGTACTCATATCGTTTTTTATTTTTGGGTCGATTTTTCGTCATTTTTATGAGCTAACCCCTTTCCAAATTTTCAAAAAATGGCTTTCCTGAAAAGTCACCTAAAACCTGTACTTCTAAGCCTATAACTTTTCTTACAGACATCCGATTATAAAGTGACATACCTCTAAATGATTGTGGTTTAATTCCCTAAAAATCTGTGTACTCATCTCGTTTTTTATTTTTGGGTCGATTTTTCGTCATTTTTATGAGCTAACCCCTTTCCAAATTTTCAAAAAATGGCTTTAATGAAAAGTCACCTAACACCTGCACTTTTATGCCCATAACTTTTCTTACAGACATCCGATTATAAAGTGACATACCTCTAAATGATTGTGGTTTAATTCCCTAAAAATCTGTGTACTCATCTCGTTTTTTATTTTTGGGTCGATTTTTCGTCATTTTCAAAAAATGGCTTTCCTAAAAAGTCACCTAAAACCTGCACTTCTAAGACTATAACTTTTCTTACAGACATCCGATTATAAAGTGGCATACCTCTAAATGATTGTGGTTTAATTCCCTAAAAATCTGTGTACTCATCTCGTTTTTTATTTTTGGGTCTATTTTTCGTCATTTTTATGAGCTAAACCCTTTCCAAATTTTCCGAAAATGGCTTTGCTGAAAAGTGACCAAAAAGCTGAACTTCTAAGCCCATAACTTTTTTTACAGAAATCCGATTTTAAAGTGACATACCTCTAAATGATTGTGGTTAAATCATCTAAAAATCTGTATCTTCCTATTGATTTGTATTTTTGGGTCGATTTTTCTTCATTTTTATGAGCTAACCCCTTTTGTTTGACTTTAAAACTAAACCCGTTCATATTAAAATGCACTTTGTATCTTAAAAAGTAAATTGCTCCTAGCCATTTAAAAGTCAATCATGTGCACTTTAATTGAGTTTTTGTTTACAGCATCTTAAATTATACAATGGATTGATTAAGGTCCCAGGGCAATTGAACATAACCTGTTGAATGTCAAGTTTATGTCCGCCTGTTTACCCATGTCAAGTCGATTGAAATTGTTGGACTTGAAACTGACAGTTTTAAGCTTTAAAAACATTTTGGGTATTACGAGATTGTCTTTTATGTATATACAAAAAAAACCTCCTCAATGGAGGCTTCTTGGAACCCGATTAGCCAATTGAGAGGCATTCAGGATCATCAAAGGACGCAACTAAGCAGAGAGCTATAAAGAAACCTCTCATTCCTCTAGAAAAAACGCAAGCAGGCGTGACAAGTTTGGACCCATTCGACATTCATTCGATTAGACCAAGTTCTTTTAACGGTCAGGGCCATACTTTTGCAAATTATCCACTCCTATCAGCCGCTTTTTGTGCGGCAAGGACAAAAAACAAACGGAACCCTCACTTAGGCGCAGATTTTTACATGGCGGATATGCGCAGTTTTGTTGGATGCACAAACGTACCACAATGCATTTAGTCCTTTAGTTTTCCGCCACAAATTCATCTGCTCTCAAAATTTAATTACGAGTGGAAATGGTTTAAAGTGAACAATTCTGTTCTGCTCGGCTTGTCCTGCAGCAACTGGGACCGCGGGATGATTGCGCGGAAACAATTATCCAGCCACTTGCTGAAAAAGCGGGAAATCGCTAACGGTTGCAAAAGAGCAAGAAAATAATTTATTTAAATTAAGCTTTAATTTTTGCTGGTTTCGGATTCGCTGGTCGCGTGTAAAAGAAACTATCAAAATAATTGCAATGCAAATGTCCTAAGTGACAATGCAAAAAACTGGAAGTACTTTATTAATATAAAAAATAATATGATTATGGTTCACCTCTTAAAATTTATTCAATTAGTCTGTTGGTTTTTTGGGTAATATATACAAATGAATTCAGATATATTGCTCATCATATGACATCACATTACAGATTACACTTTAATGGCCTGAAATACAATACTCACTTAAGGTCCTTTTTTTAACAAGTAAATATTTTGAACTAAGGAAAGGGATAAATTTGTACGCCTAGATAAGGCTTTCCCAATTTAAATGGCGCACAGTCATGAAATCACATTCATCCACAAGCGAGCTAAGTCACATTTTTATAAAATCAAATTTTTGCCAGAGTTAACACAAGCTTAGCCACGCAAGCAATCACATGTTTCCGGATCGGACGTGTAATGTGCCATGTATCCTGTATTCAAGGGGTAACATCAGCTGGGGGACACATTTCAAAGCTAATTCATAAACATGCAAACTAGGCGATGTATAGACTTTAAGAGAAGGTAAATCTGAGTCGGGGACAATTTTTATTTTTGCTTTGGGAGCCCATGACCCCCTGGGTATATTGATTTATGCTCGCGCAAGTTTTCATTTCACAATTTTCACTTATGTATGCCAGTTTATTGCAGTCCTCATCTGCACTCAGCCTTTTCCCCCTGCCCTTCCTCCAATCCCCTTGTCGTGTCCACTGCACGTGGTCTGGTTGGTCTGGTTTTCCCACCAAATGGATGGAAAGCGATCCAAGGCTATGAAAAAACACAGATTTTCATGCCGCTATCATCAACAAACGCCTAAAAATGCATAGGAAAAATATTCCTAAAATAACTTAAGGTTTACAAAAGTAGAGAAAGCAGTTAGAGTTTTAAATTTCAATCATAACCAGCATAACCCCAGCATATTATTACTCAATTTAGAATTATAATATTTTTTTATACATTTTTTTATTCTATTTTTTTTTTTTAATGGAAGGGTATCTAACATTATTTATTTATAAAAACATTATTTTCTGCCTTGTTGTTGAGACTTGACATATAAATACATATATTTTACCCCTAAAATATACAACAGTGAAAAATGGAAAAGTTTGATTAACTGTCATTTCCGGAATCAAATTTATGCGCATCATGTGTGTAAATGTACATGTCAGATAAGTGAACATAAAATATAATTTTGTTTGGAAGATTTGCAGATTTCTAGACCATAAGTAAGAAATAAACAGTTCAAAATAAATTACTTATATATTGAAAAAAAATTGAGAAAATTAGGAAAATATAATATTGACATGCTACTGTAATTCATTTTAATTTTATGTTAAACAATGTTAATTATTTTGAAGTGCATAATATTTTCTGTCAGCGTAAAACATAGTATACTTTGCTATAGTGTAGCGGCAATGAATGCTAATGCTGATGGCTTAGGCGACTTAGATAGGGGACAAACTGAGATATGCACTGCATTAGAGCATGTCAAGTATTCAATCTGGCCTGAATTAAGGCAAGGCGCCTTTAAGATGCGAATTGCCATTGTGACCGGCCGGCGAACCATCAGTTGGTGCAGTGGCCGGAATGTAGGGAAAACAGTCAAGTGCACTCACTGCACTCGTTGCATATGCGAAATGTGGGCTAGGGAAATGAAATGGAAAGGCTGAGCTGCGTATCTCCAAGACATCCAAAGAGTCTTCTCCGAGGCCAACAGCTCGAGATGCGCCCCCAAGAAATGCGACAGACGTCCGCTGAAGACCACTTCAGGGGGCTTACAGTTCGACCAAACCCCTTTCTGGGATGCCAGGTCCTATTTGCCCGGCAAGTGCTGCACAGAACACCGCCACTCAGGTGTGTCAGTGGACTCACAAAGAAGGCCCCGAAACCAGAAAGGAATCAGCCGAAAGGACTCGGATTGCCAGAAAGTGAGCAGCCTGCACTTGGCCATTAATTCTTAGGCAATCCACTTTTTCCCATTAGGAAAAGCCGCTTATTGCCAGCTGGCTGCCTGAAGTGTTTTGTTTGAATATATATATTTTTTGCTAATAAATAGAGGCCCTCACCAAGTAGACCTCAATCAAATTAATCCCAAATTAAGCAAACAAAATCCTCTTTTATGTAGCTAATCTGAAAAACAAACAATAAAAGAATTTAAGGTATTTAGTTATTAAATGAAATGGATATACATTAATATAGGGCAAATTCCGGGTCTCGAAATTAATTTCGGTAGAATACCTTGTCAAAGGAAATTCGAAATTATTTTTTTGCACTTCCCTTTTAATTTAATATTTGATTTCCATCGTTTGCAGCTCAGTTTAATGGCCAACAAGGGCAAACTAATTCAATTCGAGAAAATAGCTCCTGGAAAAAGGTTCATTCACAGAATAATATTTCGTATTTGCTCTGCGTTTGATATGAAATCATGATTGTGCTGCGTTAAGCATTTAAATACTATAAATACAAATGCGGGTCAAATTGACAGGACATTTAATTTGCGATTCGCTTCAAATCGATTCAAAGAGTTGGCAAATACTTTTGTATAGAACGAATCAGAAAGTAAATATTCGACCAGTTCTGATTGATAATATTCTGCGACAAGAATCAATGAAAATAAATTGTCTTTTTGTTTGCAAGTAAATAAAGTTCAACTCATTCCAAGACAAACAAGTGTCATCAGGATTTCGTGAGGCTTCAATAATAAATTGTTGTAGTATGGTTCTTAAGGACCAAACATTCTATTAATTTTATGGTTATTTTATCCCCAAAGCCCACTGACTATGATCAAAGAGTACGAGCTGATTGCATAAATATGTAAAAATGATTACAGGAATTGGCTGTGCTTACCTGCCGTGATTATTGAGTTATTTTGTTTTCGCAAACTTAAAGGTCACTCTACTTATTTTTGTTTGTGCCTTGCATTGCAACTATTTTTCAACAAATTTGTGTCCTTTTGAGTTCTAAATTTTATTATTTTTTTTTATGGAAAGAGCTGAGTCTTTAGAAAGTTCACTTTTCAGTTTATCATCGGTCAGGTCCAAAACTTGGTCAGCACCAATGGCCAAGTGGCGCCAACCGGACACAAAACTTTAACTCAATTTCCGTCGATTATCCGGAAAAGTTATTTTCGTAAAATTTTAAATAGCTTTTAAGCCGTTCCTTTGACAACTTAGCGGCTTTCAGTGTGTTGGCAAAGCCATTACTTGTTGACACGCGACGTATACGCAATTTATAATTAAACCGCCAATGGCTTAGAGATTACCAGCATCCGAATAGTCCCCAGAGCTGCAAACTGACTAGACTGAGGACTCGCGTGCGACTGAGTCCCAGGACACAGCAGCTGGTGGTTTTATCAATGAAAATTGTTGCTTGTCGGCATCCTTTTTCCGAACGGAGGATGGTGAAGAGAGATTCCACGAGCGAATAGGCGCGAAAGAGAAAGTGCTTTCTCCGCTCTTAAATGCAGGATGTGCTTCTATCTGCCCTGGCATAAGTTGGCTTGTTGGTCCATATTTGCCAAGGCTATTCACTTTTCATTACTACCACTTGTGTTTTGTTCTTCAACTCGACAGACGAAGAAGCCTCTAAGGAAATGGGTGTTTTTCAGCACACTCTATTTTTGTGTTGGTCAGTCATTGGCTTCTCCACTTCGTGTGGTTAAAACTGTTTGATTTGGGTGGCTAAGTGTGTCACCATCGAGTGGGTGTTCATTGATAAGCGCTGCTCTGCTCTTTTCAAATACCGGTGTGCGTGCCAAAAGAGCCGCAATCCTGCAGTGCGGCTTTTGAAGTAATACAGTCGCATATTATCATGATTATGCGGTGTTTTAAAGCGGTATTTGAATCGGAGTGCGGCAGCAAAACTCGCATTTACTTACGACTCACTACTTTATGTTGATAAATAAATTGGTAATTTGTTTATGTTATTATATGAATAAATGAATGATTTGGTAATAAATCATTTCCAAAAGTCATCTGAGGTTTTCTATTTTTTTTACTTTACCAAAAATTTTAAGAAATTAATAACTAAAGGTTTTCTATTGTACATTTTATGGAAAGGAATTTAACATTTTGTATTTATTTTATTTTTTTATTTTATTTGTATAAAAAGTTAACTAAAACGGGCAATAGAAACTATTAAAATCTCACACCTAAGTTCAACATTGGATTGCAATTGAGATTTACGTGGTTCAGTTGGCACATAAATCAAATAAATAATTACACAGTATTAAACAGCTCATAAACACCTTGGTATATTATTTTTCGAGGAATTTATGCGGTTGACTGCGGTACGAAATAGTAGAGTTCGAGCGGCGATGACAAACTGGCGGCGTTTTTCTGGTTTAGCATCGTCATGAACCATTTGAGAGCCCGTAAATTGAGTAAAGCCAGCCGCAGCCAGTCGGCAGTTGCACTTTAATTAAAAATAAATACGGATAAAGGCCGCTTCCCTATGTTACCCCTCCCCCTCCCTCCTGCCCCCTCCCCCATTACCCCCCTTAGCAAATGCCAACGAGTCTAATTCTAATGATTATTGATGTGGCTGCTGATGGCTTGACTGTTTACTGCCGCCTTTATTTCTGATCTAGCTCTCTGACCTGTCCAACAATGATTGCAATGCAGGAAACCTGGCCACAATCACGGTTAATGCTCCGAGTTACCTTTGCACGCCCAAAACTCTTTACATTTGTGCCCATTTATTCATTTGTACCCATTTTACTTTTCGTAATTCCCTGTTGTGTTTCTGTGTTAGCTGTTGGCAAGTGCTCTTGGTTTAACTTGGCCAAAGTGAGGGCTTGTAATCAGTGAAAATAAAAAACATTTAGCTCTAATGGTTGTTTACTTACTTGCCAATGTGATACTTTAATACCCTTTCTTGTGAAAAAAATAACCTGAAAAATGCGATGAGCTACAGCAGTAGTTTTTGTCAATAATCTATTTATATCTTACATTCCAAAATGTTTTTTATTTCATTCTTTAAAAAAAACGAGCACAATCCACAGTTTATTCTTTTATTTATACAAATTTAGATATACCAAATTTAAGACATAATATTCTAAACGAAAAATGTTAAATATTTTACATTCTAATATTAGATTTTAAGAACTCAAGAGAAATGAATGGCGCTCGTTAAAAGTCCGTTTTATTATAAGAAATATATATATTCATGTAAAATTATGAATAACTTGTAATTCATTTATTACTTCTAAGCTAAATCAATTTTAAAAATTTTAAGTTCCCCTCGAAAGGGTATTACAAAAATTGTCGTGTTACAAAAATACATATTTATTTGTGCAGGATACACATACCTTCAAATTTTTGTAGGTTATCTTCCCGGGTTGGATATTAAAAGTTTTGCTTTGTGGCACTAAATTATACGACGTTTACGCATTCGCCGCCGGTTGGTAGTATATTTTGCTTTCAGTTTGTAATTCAAAGCACGAAAAAAGCACTTACTCTCTCTGTTTATGTCGCTGTCCCTGTCTCGATGTGTACTTCTGGTTCCGCCGCCATTCCCCCACCCATTTCCTATCCCAAAAACCCGAGCAGAGTAATTAGTGACTTGTACAAAAAATAAGAATACAAAAAGCGTCTATGTATTATAAAGCGGGCATAAGCGTAAGTGTTCTCTGCGCAACTTTTCCAGATTGTAGACTTTGTGCTCGGGGAACCAGACATTTATGTTCCCGCTTGACATATCACGGAGGTCGTTTTAATACACGCCTCACTCATCTTGCCCCGCTGAACGACAATGCAAAATGCCTCACAGCTCCCGTAAAAATTTCCATTGCTAAAGCCCAACTTCGCGGGATGAGTCAGTCGGTCAGGTAGGTGGGCTTAAAAAGTACCCGCGAAGTGTAAAAAATACATTCCAACTGTGTCTAAAAACCATTGGGATTAACTGATTCCTAGTTTTTGTGAATCAAAAACATTAATTAATTAACCTTAATTTCCACTTTGTTGTAGAAAGTTGAATTGGAATCTTATCCATTTTTTAAATCGTATACGAATATATTCATGCTGTTTTTATAGGATTGGTAACAAAATTTTCCGTTTGAAAAAATAAATACCTTTAAAACCATCGGGCTATACAACATAAATACTGTCTTGAAATCTGAGAAATAGAGCTTAATTTATTCAGCTATCTGGTTTGGACTATTTTGACCATTTAATACGTTTAGATTTATTAAAACGTATTATAACTACATGCTCAAAAGCCTGAAATGTGTATAAATTAAGGGCTCGCATTAAAATTTCCACAAAACAAATTAATATAATGAAAAGTATTGATCGGTTCGGATGACAGTGAAAAGCTATCGATGTCAGGGGAAATGGTTACGCAGTGCAAAGCAAACAAGCTGCACAATGCGATTAGCATGCAATAGTAATGCCATTTAATGTGCCCAGTGCATTTACATTTCACTACGATTTGTGGCTGCGACATGTGATGCAAAGATAAACAACAAAGCAATCTGCCTAAGTATCGCACAGATATAGAGATAAGCCCTTCATGCCCACACATTTCAGCAGCCGCATTTTAACAATACACTTGGCTGTCGATCATTGAAAAACTGCGGTTTTGTAACCCCCTCGACTCAAGTCCCCCTATCTCTTTCGAGTGCTTTCAACGGTCGCTTGAACAATCAAAAATTTGACTTTTCAGTCTGCTCTTCCGGTCTTTCCCCGGCTTGGGTTATTATCTTCATCGTAGTCATCCAATTCGGCAGTTACTCATCGACGGCTTAGTCCAGCACGCACGCAATTAGTCATTCGGCTATGAATTAATCGGGGTTTTGGCCCCTCGAATCGTTCATACCCTTTGCTACCTTGGACTCCTCGGCATATTGAAGCTATCAAAGAGACACAGTGATATAGGGTAGAACTAAACTAACGGAAAACTTCAAAAGCTTTGGGTGATAGTGTAAAGATATACCCATGACTGTCACATTAGGAACGCTTTTTCAAAATTAGAACAAAACTTCTAGTTCGTATTGCATTTATGGGTTTCAATATGTTTCAGTTATTTCAAATATTTTTAGCTATTAAAAACATTGTTGTATTTTTGATTTTTTTTAAATTAGCAACAGCTGTTTTTTAAATGTGTCTAAGGCCGTAAAAATTGTTTACGTGGTAAAAAATATAATTTTATAGTTTAAGTGAAGCAATTCAAAGCTTTTTTAGGAGACCAATACCAATGTTAATTAAACATTTAAGTAACAAACTGTTTATTATGAGATTTGCGTAATAAACACTTGTGTTTAGGGGATATTTTAAGGTCGTTACCATGTTTTAATAGCTTCGTGTAATAAAGAAACGCCAAAACTTTACCGTTTATAGAATCAATTTGAGTAAAATAGCTTATTCAATGGCAAGGTTAGGGCAACATAAAGTCATTGGAATGGTTAACCTCTTAAATTTCCTGGCATTTGGAGTCTTGGGCATGGGCTTGGGCCGTGAATTGGTCGCTTCTTCAGCACTCGAGTGGGCACATGGGAAAGTTTCCGACCCCTGGGCCATCCAACCCAACTCGATTGGCCAGCAAACAGCTGAGGCAATCGGCGGCGGACACAAAACAGAAACCTCCGACGAGCCGATATAAGTTGCGGGTTCGTCGAGGCCCTCACCGCAGTTGTGTGACCGCGTTCGGCGGGCGAGCACGGAAAATAAGACAGTGGGACTACAAAAAAGCCACTAGATTTGTGCATTGCCTCAAATAAATACAGTTCGTAAATTAGTCGCGACTGGTGACAGTGCCTCGATAGCCTGATAAGGCAAGTGTTCCGGGAAAGTGATACCAGGGCGAAGTGAAATCATGAGGAGGTGTCGCAACACCCCGCTTGCAATTGTCATTGCCCCGATCTTGATTTGTGGTGAGCTATATAGTAGCAAAACAAAGGTGTAATTTGATAATGGGACATTGTTGGCAGAAGTGCGTTAACTAAGATACGAGGCCTGCAATTAAGCTGTATATGCTACACAGTGTTTTCGTAACTAAAGCTGCAAATATTTAAACAATTGTCAGGACTGTAATAGCCCTTGCCACACGCAGAAAAAATTAATCATTTTAGTTTTTATATATTTCTATGTTTTTCGGTTAAATGTTTTGCTTAAGCTGTACTACAATTTGGAATTGGGTTTGAGAAAAAAATTGCCTTGTATTCTTAAAGATTAATGTGTCATTCCTTATTATTATTATTTTTATGTAGATTGTCGATTAAAAGTTGTTTAACTAAAAAGGGAAAAGTAAATAAATCATTATCGTTTTATAACTGAGCGATTATCTTGGTTTTAAATCAACTAACAGCTGAAAGAAATCACAGTGTGAATTTTTTATGATCATGTCATTAGAGGTCTAGTCTAGAACACTTTTGCGATAGATCTTTTTATTATTTATAGCCCCTTACGAATCGGTCACCTGATTGATCTTCGACCTTCTACCTGCCATTCGGGTTTCTTGATTATACGTCATCACGATTGTCCACCATGATCATCAATATGAGACATGACCAAACCACATGATACTTGTCATAAAAAAATCCCAATGGGTTGAAAGAGAATTTTTTTATTACGAGATTGTTTTTTACTGTATTTTTTTTAATTATCTTAATAAACTTTTTTTTAATAACGATGTGAGCCAATTTGGGAAGCAGAATACTAAACATGCGGCTAATAGAAATTAGTCGATAATTTACACAAATTTGTCATAAATAAGGCAACTTGTTAATGAGAGATAATTTGACTGAGGGGCTTGGCTAATTTCGTTAGAATTTTTTGTGGCCCACTAATTTTTTCCTTTGCGTATACAAATTCAAAACCATTTCACATCATATTTACAACTGACAACTGCACTTTTTTGTGGGAAAATAGTGTACGAAAATTCCACGCTAACTGAAATAAACTTTACACGGTTAATGCTGCTCGATTAATGCTAATTGAGTGGGCAATTACGGGTGTCTTGATTGTCGAACTGCCCGAACTGATTTCCAATGACGACAGGCACCGCATTAATAGAATGTGCAAAATTAATAGTACACATATATCGCATATTTATAGCTTTCGCTGCGACCAAAAATAGTTGATAGCTTGGTTAAACAGGTATTACTGATTACACACCCACTCGATGTCACGAAATGTCACCGATTATTATCTTTCAATTAGCACCTGGAGGAGCTCGATTAACTGTCTCTGTTTGTTTTCTCTCAAAAAACAAGAGAGAACGCTATAGTCGGGTGCCCCGACTATCAGATACCCGTTACTCAGGTAAAGGGAGTGCGAGGGAGATGGAGATAGAAACTTTGATCACGCATAACTTTTTAACGAATGGTCCGATTTGAAAAATTTCTTCTACATTTCGATAGGTATTGATAAACACAACAAAACTGCATTTTTACTTTTCCGAAATATTTAAATTTTTAAAATCGTATATAAGCGATTGTGGGCGTTAAAGGGGGCGTGGCACCTTTTTGAAACAAACTTGCGCTGCGTAGGAACTCCTAGAATCTGCATGCAAAATGCCAATCTTCTAGCTTTTATAGTTTCCGAGATCTCAGCGTTCATACGGACAGACAGACAGACAGACGGACAGACAGACGGACAGACGGACAGACGGACAGACGGACAGACGGACAGACGGACATGGCTATATCGACTCGGCTAGTGACCCTGATCAAGAATATATATACTTTATAGGGTCGGAAACGCTTCCTTCTAGCTGTTACATACTTTTGCACGAATACAATATACCCTTTTACTCTACGAGTAACGGGTATAATAAACTCATATCATGTTAGACTTAATGTCGCAAAGATCAATAATATTGATATTTAAGTTATCCATGTCATTTTGTTCGTTTACTTATTAGGCTAAGCTGTTTGAATATCGTATTTCAATTTATTAATATGTTTAAATATGTTTTCTACACGATTAGCTTCGGTTGTCTTGGCCCAGGATTTTGGATATGAGGGCAGATATGGACCCGAGCACTGGGGTGAGGATTATGCCCGGTGTAGTGGAAAGCACCAGAGTCCCATAAATCTCGACAAGGTTAATGCCGTGGAGAAGAGGTTTCCCAAGCTGGACTTTTATAATTTCAACGTGGTGCCCAAGGCATTTCAAATGTCGAATAATGGTCACACGGTGCTGGTGAAGATGTCTTTCGACGAGGACACAATGCCAACTGTGCGAGGAGGTCCTTTGGCTGAGAAAACTCCTTTGGGCTACCAGTTCGAGCAGTTCCACTTTCATTGGGGCGAGAACGATACGATCGGCAGCGAGGATCTAATCGATAACCGTGCGTATCCCGCCGAGCTCCATGTGGTCCTGCGAAACCTGGAATATCCTGATTTTGTTAGTGCTCTGGACAAGGATCATGGCATCGCCGTTATGGCCTTCTTCTTTCAGGTGAGAGCTTAACTTTATCTTTGGAGAATTGTCAGCTTTAATTGGGTATCTTTATTTTTTAGATTAGCAACAATTCCACTGGTGGCTATGAGGGCTTCACCAACTTGCTCTCCCAGATTGACCGAAAAGGCAAAACCGTGAACATGACCAATCCACTTCCGCTGGGTCAGTACATCTCGAAATCTTTGGAAAGCTACTACAGCTACACTGGTTCTCTGACAACTCCGCCTTGCAGCGAGGAAGTTACCTGGATCGATTTCACAGTTCCCATCGACATTACGGAGAAGCAGGTAATTAATTTGCCAGAATGACGTAACTTTAGGGCCAAAAGAAAATAGCTAAATTTATTCAGTTGTTAAAGAAGAAGAAGTAACGTTGGGAGACATGTTATGTAAATGTTATGTTGAAAGAATGACTGGTCCCAAGAAAATGTTGCCTCTTGAGCAGCGTCAATTTAATTTTAAAACCATTATCGGTGGAACTAATTTAAAAGCCTAAAAACTTTTTATATTTTAGTATTTCCCTAATAAAATAAAGCACAAGAAGGCATTATGATTTTAAATATCATAGTATAATGCTTGATTAGCTATGCCTGTAACATTAATCGAACTAAGCATAATATGAAGAAGTTAATTGAGTCAAAGCTAGAATAAATAAATAACAATTATATTAAAAAAATATATTTCCAAAAATTCTTATCTAAGCTTTAAAATATGAAATTTATTTTTCGTTATTAATTTTAAATTTATTTTCCCCCTAGTTGAGCGCCTTCCGCCTTCTGACCGCCAACGATGATCACCTGAAGAACAATTTCCGGCCCATCCAGCCACTGAACGATCGCACCTTGTACAAGAACTATATTGATACACCGATACACAACATGGGCTCGGTTCCGTTTGTGAATGCCGAGAATGCGGCTGGCAATTGCAGGTGGAGGCCCCTTTCCCTGGCTGTCCTGCTACCCAGTTTCGTCCTCGTGGCTCTGTTAAGGACCTCCGTTTTCAGTGGTTTTTAATTAGAATTCTGCGGCGGGGAATCGAAGGTTAAATCGTTAAATGCCTAGCATGCGCTTAGGCGTCCAATTAAGCGCTGTAATTTACATTTTCCGCTCTTGTTCGCCGTCGCTGTTTGTTGTTCAAACACGAGTGCCGGTAATTTCCTCGGCACGGGTTCCTGCCGGCAGGACAACCATATATATATATCTACGGACAAACAATCAGGCGGTGGCACAGAGAAATTATTAAGCCCAAACGGGCGGAGCTTCAGCTGGCACGATACCCTTACTTATCAATTATGCAGCACCTCGCACAGAGACTGTCACATTCAACAGTATCGCATCCGTATTCGTATTCGTATTCGTATCCGTATCCGTCCATCGTCCAAGGAAGCCTGTCAGTGCGAAGGAAACCCACTTGGAATTGCACATTGTGATTTTTAATGCTTGGCACAAGCAAAGCTTTTTATTCGTGTACTTTAGGTTTAAGTTTTGTAAACATAAAACCGTAATAAAATGTATTTTTTGTTAAATTATATTTGCTTGTGTTATGGAATAGCAAACAGCTTATTATAGAGGACTTAACAGGAGTCATTTTTTTAATAGAACTACAGAATTCATTAGTTAATGTGTTTATTTGTTTTTTATAAATTCATATTCATACTTTTTTAATAAACTTTTTGTATACTAGCATTAAGCTTTAAAGGTCAGCTAATAATATGAAGTATAATATCAGTTATCTATGAGTTAAACTTTTTTTTTAATTGGTCTGGTAAAACCTTTTTATTAATGACTTTTAATATTTTTGCTTTAACTTTACATTCAAAATGAACAACTTGATTCAGTCATAAAGTAATGTATACTTTTCGGCGAACATCAAATTGTGTATTACCATTAAAGTGCTAGTTCCTTTTTTTTTGGATAAATACATATTTTCCCACGTATAACATATCCTGCCTTTTTCTAGATTGCTTGTATTTTTGATTTATTTGACGGATGATAACGTAATCTTATCAGGACGAGAGTATTGTGCTGGCAGGGGAGAGTACTTTTTTGATGACCCGATGACCCCGGCTGTCAGCTGAAGCCAAATGAATTATTGCAAGCATGTGCACAAATCTATCAGCGGAATATCAACTTTTGAAATAAAGTCGAAGAGTTCGTCTGGCGAAAGTCGAGCTCACCAACATGATTTATTGATAATTACTTGAGGCCGTAGTAAAACGGTAGAGCCTTCCTACAGCAGACTGCAATCACATATATGGTATAATAGAGAAACGCAGGATGCTGTAGCCAGAGGACTCTGTATTTTTGAAAACGGATTGATCATTGTTGTTTGTCATTTGGCTCCATTCTGCGTCTAATAGCCTTGTCCTTCTGACCTCTCGAACTTTACGTATGAACCCCAGCCTAATTATAGAACCATTTATAGCATTTTAATTAGCTTATCATGGTTGTTTATTAATGTGATCGATCTGGCTGATATAGACTGTAAAACATGGCGACTTCGACCTAGAACTTGGGTGCCATGCTCCGAAGTGGGAAATCAAAATGCTATCTAGATAGGCAGTGAAAATAGCAATACTATAAATAAAAACATTTAAGAGTCTCACCCGTTTCCGTTTGCGTTTATTGACTTTCAACTCTCTCCGTCCGCAATTGCATTCGCCGGCACGTTTATTATTTAATTGATGACACCAGCATCGACATCGACATCGGCATGGGTGTGAAATAAAAATATTATGAAACTTTTCCATTGCCGCCCAGCTTCCCCAATACCCGTACTCTGTGCGAAACGATTCCCTAATAGGTGATAAGGTTTATTGACAACGATCGTTACAAGCTGACCTCTGGATGGTGACGATCGGCGATATTGCGACTCGGGAAACTTGGAACAAGCCCCTCCGGCCCAGATCTATATAGATCGCCATCCAATTCTAAGTATCGCTAAGTATAGCGATCAGTCCGCCCCTTCGTGGGCAGTGTGAAATCTCAACTTGTAGTTCGCACTTGCGACGGGTGTGAGTCGGGATTGGGATCGGAATCGGAATCAGAATCGGATCGACGTCATGTTTGTAGACGACTGATAACTTTTCTTTAGGCAATCCCCCCCTTGATGGCACATTAAGCTTCAGCTTGATGACTGTGTACCCAGATTGCGGGCCGTTGTTGCTACTTTTAGACGTTCGGATGATCGCTGGATCTGAAATTTGGAGCGTTGGCTTCTGGCTATGAAGCCGCTGCTCCTCTGGCGGTTGTTCAAGGTTGGCCCGAGATCTATTGTTGGAATTTTTTGGGGGCTTAAGGCGTGACATTTGATCCAGGGAAAAATTGTTTGCCTGATCCCGAAGGCGGGACATCCGGCGAAGTCATGGTACTAACCCGATATTCAAGCAGCCATTAAAATATTAAATACCATTCTGGTTAGAGAGTCACAAAAAGTCTATGTTATTAGGATCTATACTCTATTAATATTCCGATAAGTTTTCTTGGACTGACAATATTACTTTGAATTTAACAAATTTGTTGTAATTTCCTTATTATTATACAATTGTTTTGGTTTTCATTGCATTTCTACCAAAAACAATGGTCATGTGACTTCGTCACATTTTATTTGATTTCAATATTGTAATACATTTGAATTGGTTCCTATTGGCATTTTAACAAACAGAAATCCCATTACTTTTTTTTTTGGAATTTATATATCCTGGGCTTAGGAATCAAAGCCCAATTATATAGAAGTCATATTAAATTACTTCTGGTATAATGAAGATCATGATTTTGTTGTAAGTTGGGTGTCTAATTTAAAAACTAATGATTGAAAAAGCCATTGATATATTCCCATTAAATAGAGTGAACTCTTATCAGGCGTGTTCTTACAACCCCATACATTGAATCGTAATCCAATGCCATGGCCTTGCACTTGATCCAGATATGTATATGTGGAACGCAGTCATTATGTATTTTTATGGCCTGTATTCCGATGTTATCAGTCAAGTGCAACTTCCAGTTTTATGACTTAGTGGAGCAAAAAAAAGTAATGCAGCTACAGATAAGTCGAGCCAACTTTGTGTAGGCGCCCCGGACTCTTGATAAGGCATTATAAAACCAAATGTAATGTGATAGAAAGGCCCTGCGATTCTCCTTATAAATACATGGTAATAGAAATGTTTGGGCCGGGCCTTAGGCGTAATATTGATAGTGATTGGGGAGAGGCCGGACGGGAAGCGGCGCAGGCGACTCTCGTGTTTTGAAAAATAACAAACATACTATAAATCATTTTCGAGTACACTCGGAATAGAAGAGAGTGTACTATACTAAATGGAATGTGATTGTGAATTTCGTTTAATTTCCAATGGTCGGCAGACTATAAAAGTGTGCGATCTGAGCGCCCAGCGATTCAAAACTGTTTTGCTTGCTCAAGTGCGCGGTTCTACCCAAAAATTTAATTCAAGTTTTTCTATACTACTTAACTTTAAATATTCTTCAAAATGCGAATCCTTGCAGAGGTAAAGATTTTAGTTCTCAAAGTGATTTTAAGTATCTTATTCGATTGTGAATTCTATTGATAGAACCATGTCCACCTTCTGGATCCTTCGGAGCTGATGCGCCCGGAGCCCACGTTTGCTGACAAGAATCCCTCCAAATTCCGGGACTACAGTGTGGACACCACCGATCCCTTGAAGGAACGTGTGCGCCAGACCTATCGACAGATGCACTTGAACCAGACCGTGGACTTCGTCAAAAGTAAGTTACAATATCAGGCGTAATTTAAAAGGAATATCAGGCGTAGGGATCAATACATTTTTAAATTAATGGACTTTGTATATAACAACCAAAAAAATATTGATCATTGTGGATGGAAGAAATATAACTTAAAATCTTTTCTTTTAAATTCATTCCGTTGAATTTAAATACGTGCTGTAAATTTAAAAAAAAATTTAAAAAAAAAAACCGTTTTAAAAAATCCAATTCTCCGTGGAGGCTTTCTAGTTAGTAAAACTTGGTTGTATGCTGTGAATATTATATTCCATATATATATGAATAAAACTATATTTTATAGATCCAAGGCTGGACTGCCATTAAAAAAGATTATTGAAAAATTATTTTCTTACAATTTAATATTTAATATTAACAATTTCTTTATCCTTTTTAGGTCGCAGAAATCGCTGGCTGAAGTTCGACACGATTAAGATGACTGTGCGTGAGGCTCTGGAGAAGCTGAACGATCTGGTGGACGAGTCCGATCCCGACCTGGATCTGCCCAACATAATTCACGCCTTCCAGGCGGCCGAACGGGCACGTGCCGAGTTCCCGGAGCACGATTGGCTGCATCTGACGGCCCTCATCCACGATCTGGGCAAGATCATGGCCTTCTACGATGAGCCACAGTGGGCGGTGGTGGGGGACACCTTTGCGGTGGGTTGCCGTTGGGGCGACAGCATCGTTTACCGGGAGGAGAGCTTCGAGGGAAATCCCGATGGTGATAATCCAGCTTATAACACCGAATTGGGCATTTACAAGCCCAACTGTGGCGTGGACAACCTGCTGATGTCCTGGGGACACGATGAATACATGTATTCAGTGCTGAAGCACAACAAGACTAAGTTGCCCCATGTGGCATGCAACATCATTCGCTTCCACTCGTTCTATCCGTGGCACAACGGTGGCGATTATAAGCACTTGGAGGCACCCGAGGACGCGGAGACCAAGAAGTGGGTGCTGATCTTCAAGTAAGTTTATATTTTAGTTGGTTTTTACTTCAGTTTAATAATTATCTTTCCCCACAGTCGCTACGATTTGTACACCAAGAGCGAGGTGGTTCCGGATATCGAGGCTTTGTGGCCGTATTACCAGACCTTGATCGACAAATATTTGCCCGGAGAGCTGGAGTTCTAAGCGAATGCTTTTATTTTATAAACCTTATTCTACCAATAATCGTTAGTTTTCCATACGATTTTATCCTATCTCTTAGATATATATATATACTTGTAATATGTGTACTCCTTGTATAGCAGATAATAAAATATTAAACAAGTAAAAAAAACACTGGTTTTAATTTATTGAATATTTTAATTTTAAGAACAGTTGGTTACTTCAATTGAAATTTAAATTGCTATTAGAGATGCCGTATTAATTATTTATAATGTCGAAGAGCAGAAAAAACTTATAAAACGTACTCGACATTCTATTCGACTAAAAATTTACATACTTTTCGGCGGCGCAATTTCTGAAACATTAATTAAGTAGCTAAAGCTTCGCGATCAGCAATCAAGATCGATTCCCAAAGAAATACGTAAAACTTTGCAGAAATAGGATTAATTATTGATTAATAGCCAGAGACCTGAGCTATATTCATTCAACATTCTATATGATCTAATCCCTGAATAGGGCATATTAAGACAAAATTAATTTGTTGCATTAACCAAGTCATTCTCTTGAGACAATGTTTTTGCTCTTCATTTATTTGAAGCTTTCTTATCAGTACTTGTTAATCTAGCTTGGAAGGTAGCAAATTAGAATTTTAAAGCTCTGCTTAAATACAATGAACACAAATAAAGGGGTCTTGAGATAAAAACATAACTTCGGAATTTAAACTATTATTAATTACCATTTTATCATAATTTGTAGGAATATTTGCTTTTCATCTCATCAAAAATGTAAGACTATAATGACCAATATGTGTGACAACGTTGTTTTGAAACAAAGATAATTGTTCCTCGATTAAGAAACCCTGTATAAATTCTTCTATATATGGTATGTAATCTCCAACTGTATTAGACAGCCTAAGCGATTTTAAAATGTTTTCGTTTAATAGTGCTTTATCAGTGCCATCTGTACAAATATATTTACAAAAATACCATAAGCAATTAAAGTAATTAATCAAGTTGACTTGAGTGGGGTTGTATAATAAATATATCACCCCAAGTGGGATTGGCAATTTCGATTGAGATGCATGTCTAAAAATAAATTAAGTTAGGTTAAAATGTAACAATCCTAATTTGTATACGGCTATCGTACAGATGTCCAACCAAGAGTTATGCGTGCACACAGCTCAATTGAGACTGAGACTGGTTGTTCAGGTGGCCGGGAGGCTCGATGGCGATAAGCTTACCGATCCAATAAAAGCGGCCACAGTTTCCACTTCTCAAGATAGTTGCGGTCTGAGTTCAACGGAGTGAGCAACATGAACTGCGTGCGATTGTGCTTTGTGCTGAGCTGCCTGTGGCTCAGTTCGTCGGCGGCTGATCCGGATGATCCCCTCTTAGTGGAGCTGCCCCAGGGCAAGCTTCGTGGCCGCGATAATGGAAACTACTACAGCTACGAATCGATTCCCTATGCCGAACCCCCCATCGGTGACCTGCGATTTGAGGCACCGCAGGCGTACGCTCAAAAGTGGACGGATACCTTCGATGCTACTCAGCCGCCAGTGGTGTGCCTGCAGTGGGATCAGTTCACCCAGGGGGATAACAAGTTGGCCGGCGAGGAGGACTGCCTGACCGTCAGCATCTACAGGCCCAAGAACAGCAGCCGGAAGAGCTTTCCCGTGGTGGCCCACATCCACGGCGGTGCCTTCATGTTCGGAGCAGCCGCGCAAAATGGACACGAGAATGTGATGCGTGAGGGCAAGTTCATACTGGTGAAGATAAGCTATCGCCTGGGTCCATTGGGTTTTGCGAGCACTGGGGATGCCGATTTGCCCGGAAACTACGGACTGAAAGACCAACGTTTGGCTCTGCAATGGATCAAGCAGCACATAGCATGTTTTGGTGGCGAACCGGAGAACATCCTGCTCGTGGGTCACTCCGCTGGAGGAGCATCGGTTCATCTGCAGATGCTACGCGAAGATTTCAGCCAGTTGGCCAAGGCGGCGATCTCCTTCAGCGGCAATGCCCTCGATCCTTGGGTTGTCCTGCAGGGTGGACGAGGACGTGCCTTTGAGCTGGGACGAATCGTGGGATGTGGACTGGCTGCGGACTCGGCAGCCCTCAAAAAGTGTCTCAAATCTAAGACGGCCAGTGAAATAGTCACCGCCGTGCGAAGTTTCCTCATATTTTCCTACGTGCCCTTTGCCCCATTTGGACCCGTGGTGGAACCGCTGGATGCTCCCGAACCCTTCCTCACCCAAGATCCCCGGGATGTTATCAAGAGCGGAAAGTTTGGACAAGTCCCGTGGGCCGTGACCTATGTCACTGAAGATGGTGGCTACAATGCCGCCTTGCTCCTGGAAGATGCGAACAAATCGGGAAAGACATTGCTCGAGGAACTCAACGATCGCTGGTTTGACTGGGCCCCGTATTTACTATTCTACCGGGACTCGAAGAAGACTATCAAGGAAATGGACGATTACTCCCGGAAAATTAGACAGGAGTATGTGGGTGATCTACCATTTAGCACACAAAACTACTGGGAATTGCAGCAGCTGTTCACGGATATCCTTTTTAAGAACAGCACACAGGATGCCTTAGATCTTCATCGCACATATGGAAGTAGTCCTGCCTATGCGTTTGTTTATGACAATCCAGCCGACAGAGGAATCGCCCAATTCCTGACCAAGCGAAGGGATATTAATTTCGGTATGTGAATCGAAGTTATTAAATCAACTTTTAACTCATTAATTGTTATTTTTTAGGGACTGTGCACGGAGACGACTACTTTTTGATATTCGAAAACGTTGTACGAGATGCGCAGTTGCGTCCGGATGAGGAAAGGATTTCGAGAAATTTCATCAATATGCTAGCGGACTTTGCCCTTAGTGACAAAGGCACTCTGACCTTTGGCGAATGCGTTTTCCAGGATAATGTGGGCAGTGAGAAATTTAATTTGTTAGCCATAGATAGGAATGGATGCGAAAATAAACAGTATGCTGAATTTCCCTAGGGTTCTTGGACGAAATAAAACTGTAATTGAATAAAAAGAACTTTTAAAATATATATAAAATTGGAATTCGATTGAATGCGAGGAATGCCATTAATTTTCAGATTGGCCTAAATGGAATATTTTTAATTATTATGTGTATTAATTCAATGAATACACCTAACCAAATTTATTTTATTAGAACTAAAACTTGTATATATATTTTATATTTTAAAAGAAACAGTCATCTTTTTATCTTTGATGAAAATTTGTTCTGTGTAGTATTTCATGAATTCCTCGTTTGCTAATTCACGACTAACTTCTCTTAATCTCGTCACCCCATAAAAAATCTTAAAACGCGTTTAATTTAGATTGTTCTTTTGGGGAAGACTCGTTTTTTGCAGCTATAAAGCAATATGCAGTCTCTGTTTGTTCGTAGTCGCGTTTAAAATTTGTGTGACTTAGGAACATGTTTTTATTCAAGTGGTTGATGTGCTTGATTTTGCTCTGGGCAAAGTTAAAATGTACTGAAGCAGTCCTCTCACCAGATCCTTTGATTGTTGAGATCCCGAATGGAAAACTCCGGGGAAGGGATAACGGCCACTACTATAGCTATGAATCGATTCCCTATGCTAAACCCCCAACTGGTGACCTTCGATTTGAAGCTCCTCAACCGTATAGTAATCAGTGGACGGATGTTTTCGATGCAACGAAACCAGCAGCAGACTGCCTACAATGGAACCAGTTCAGAGCCGAAAAGCTGCAGGGAGAGGAGGATTGCCTAACCATGAGCATATTTAAGCCTAAGAACCAAATTAGGAGCTACCCTGTCGTGGTCCTCCTTCATGGTGGTGGCTTCATGTTCGGTGGCCAAACTTCCAATGGGCACGAATACATAATGCGCGAGGGAAGAATGCTTTTGGTCAAAATAAGCTATCGAGTTGGACCTTTGGGATTCGCAAGCACCGGTGATAAGGATTTACCGGGAAACAACGGACTGAAAGATCAGCGCCTGGCTCTGCGATGGATCAAGCAAAACATTGCGAACTTTGGCGGTTTGGCGGAGAATATTGTGCTCATTGGTCACTCTGCAGGCGGTGCTTCAGTTCATTTGCAGCTCCTCCAAGAGGACTTCGGCCAGTTGGCAAGGGCAGCGATCTCCGTGAGTGGCAATGCTCTAGATCCTTGGGTTGTCCAGAAGGGAGGAAGTGGAAGAGCTTTTGAATTGGGACGCATTGTTGGATGTGGACACACAACAGACTCTGCAGAACTTAAGAATTGTTTGAAGTCCAAACCGGCCAGGGAAATAGTGTCGGCCGTTAATAGCTTCCTAGTCTTTTCATACGTGCCCTTTACTCCTTTCGGACCTGTTGTGGAGCCGGCAGATGCTCCAGATGCCTTTCTCACCCAAGATCCTAGAGATCTGATCAAAAGCGGAAAGTTTGCACAAGTTCCTTGGGCGGTGACATACACCACTGAGGATGGAGGCTATAATGCTGCTCTACTGTTGGAAAAGAATAAAAACACTGGTGAGACCTGGATGGAAAAACTCAACGATCGATGGTTTGACTGGGCTCCCTACTTGCTTTTCTACCGGGACTCAAAGGACACCGTTAAGGAGATGGATGAGTTCTCCAGGAATCTGAGGCAGCAGTACCTAGGAGATCGACGTTTTAGCGAGGAAAGCTATTGGGACTTGCAGCGAATGTTTACGGACATTCTTTTCAAGAACAGCGTACCAAATGCAATAGATCTTCATCGGAAATATGGCCACAGTCCTGTTTATTCTTTTGTTTACGACAACCCAGCTGAATCTGGAGTGGGTCAATTGCTTTCCAATCGATCTGATGTATTTTTTGGTATGTATAAAGTTTTTTTTAAATACTTACAGTCATTAATATTTTATTTTAAAAGGTACTGTCCACGGAGATGATTTTTTTTTGATTTTCGATCTTGGCTCATTACGACCAGTCATTCGTCCTGATGAAGAAGTTATTTCAAAAAAGTTTTTAAGAATGCTAGAGGATTTTTCACTAAGCGAAAAGGGTGTACTTACATTTGGAGAATGCATTTTCCAAAACAATGTCAATAGCAAAGAATATCAAGTGCTCCGAATAACGGGAAATGGTTGTAAGAATGAGCAATATTATCAGTTTTTCTAATAAATATTAGTGTCGAAAAAATCGACTTGAGTTTCGGTTTTTTTAAATCAAATCCCATTAAAATAATGGTCAAATTTTAAAAACCAAAACTTTATGAATAAAAAATGATAAAACTTGAGCTTAAAACCATAAAATAAATGTGGACGTTGCTTGATTTCTATTGATAAAAATAAGTTTATCCTTCACATCTGGGTTTGGTGCAGCGTTCATCCTCACTGAAAGTCGCTTCACATGTATTTGGAAGCTTCCTCCATTTGTAAAAATTCAAATACCTTTCCTCCATCACCACTCTTATATCCTTTTTTCCCATATATATTCCACGTTTCCGTTACTTTTTTTATATGGCAAAAACATCGATAGTCGCCATAGAACATTGACTGTTTCAAAAATTTTAAAAACATCGATTCAATTATGTTTTTCCACCTCTATATAGATTCAAAACTAAGAGATAAGTCGAACTCTGGGCTTTAGTTCAACACGAGTTTTTGAACTGTCCAGGGCAATGGGACAGTCTTACATCACATCTTCATATATCTACAGTGAATAATAATGTAATTCGTCAAACAGTAAAACAAATACACAAGTGAAGTTAAACAAACTTGAAAAACTTATTCGTCTCGACATAACCTCAACCCGTGTCGTCATTTGGAATCGTTTTGGCGGCCGAACAAAAACAAATAGTGAAACCACATGCCCAATTCAAGTTATGGGTTTTCGACTGTAGGCAATAGGTCTAATATATTCCTCACCCCCTTTTTATACCCGTTACTCGTAGAGTAAAAGGGTATATTGTATTCGTGCAAAAGTATGTAACAGCTAGAAGGAAGCGTTTCCGACCCTATAAAGTATATATATTCTTGATCAGGGTCACTAGCCGAGTCGATATAGCCATGTCCGTCTGTCCGTCTGTCTGTCCGTCTGTCTGTCCGTCTGTCTGTCCGTCTGTCTGTCCGTCCGTATGAACGCTGAGATCTCGGAAACTATAAAAGCTAGAAGATTGGCATTTTGCATCCAGATTCTAGGAGTTCCTACGCAGCGCAAGTTTATTTCAAAAAGGTGCCACGCCCCCTTTAACGCCTACAATCGCTTATATACGATTTTAAAAATTTAAATATTTCGGAAAAGTAAAAATGCAGTTTTATTGTGTTTATCAATACCTATCGAAATGTAGAAGAAATTTTTCAAATCGGACCATTCGTTAAAAAGTTATCCGTGATCAAAGTTTCTATCTCCATCTCCCTCGCACTCCCTAAACCTGAGTAACGGGTATCTGATAGTCGGGTCACCCGACTATAGCGTTCTCTCTTGTTAATTGTATCTTTAATAAACTTTGATCTGTGCCAAATTTAAATATTTCCTCATTCGCTAATTCGCGACTGACTTTTTTATAAATCGTTACCCATAAAATAATTCTCAAAACGCGCTTAATTAATTTTTTTTTTTTGAGGAAGATTCGTTTTTTGCGGCTATAAAGCAATAAGCTAACCTTTGTTTTTCGTAGTCGCGTTTGTAATCCGTATGATTTCGGAACATGTACTTATTCAAGTGGTTTATGTGCTTGATTTTGCTCTGGGCAAAGTTAAAATGTACTAAAGCCGACCTCTCACCAGATCCTTTGATTGTTGAGATCCCCAATGGAAAACTCCGGGGAAAAGATAACGGCCACTACCACAGCTACGAATCGATTCCCTATGCTAAGCCCCCAACTGGTGACCTTCGATTCGAAGCTCCTCAACCATATAGTCATCAGTGGACGGATGTTTTCGATGCAACGAAACCAGCAGCAGACTGCCTACAATGGAACCAGTTCAGACAAAATCTTCAGGGGGAGGAGGATTGCTTGACCGTCAGCATCTTTAAACCAAATCAGCAGATTGGAAGCAGCTTTCCTGTCGTGGTCCTTCTTCATGGTGGGGCCTTTATGTTCGGTGGAGTAGTTTCAAACGGGCATGACTACTTTATGCGCAAGGGAAAGATGCTTTTGGTGAAAATAAGCTATCGCTTGGGTCCTTTGGGTTTCGCAAGCAGCGGTGATAAGGATTTGCCGGGAAACTACGGACTTAAAGATCAGCGCCTGGCTCTGCGATGGATAAAACAAAACATAGCGAACTTCGGGGGAATGCCGGAGAATATTGTGCTCATTGGTCATTCTGCAGGCGGTGCTTCAACTCATTTGCAGCTCTTGAAAGAGGACTTCGGCAAGTTGGCCAAGGCAGCGATCTCCTTCAGCGGCAATGCTCTGGATCCTTGGGTTGTCCAGAAGGGAGGACGAGGAAGAGCTTTTGAACTGGGTCGCATTGTTGGCTGTGGACATACAACAGACTCTGCAGAACTTAAGAATTGTTTGAAGTCCAAACCGTCCACGGAAATAGTTTCCGCCGTTCGTAGCTTCTTTCTGTTTTCCAACGTTCCCTTTTCTCCTTTTGGACCTGTTGTTGAGCCGGCAGATGCTCCACAAGCCTTTCTCACCCAAGATCCTAAAGATCTGATCAAAAGCGGAAAGTTTGCGCAAGTCCCATGGGCCGTTTCATACACCACTGAGGAAGGAGGCTATAATGCAGCCATAATGTTGCAAAAGAATGAAACTACCGGTGAGACCAGGATAGAAAAACTTAACGATCGATGGTTTGACTGGGCTCCCTACTTGCTTTTCTACCGGGACTCAAAGGACACCGTTAAGGACATGGATGAGTTCTCTACGAAACTGAGGCAGGAGTACCTGGGAGATCGGCGATTTAGCGAGGAAAGCTATTGGGACTTACAGCGCATGTTTACTGACATTCTCTTCAAGAACAGCGTGCCAAATGCAGTAGATCTTCACCGGAGGTATGGCCACAGTCCTGTCTATTCGATTGCCTACGACAATCCACCTAATTCTGGAGTGGGTCAGGTGCTTTCCAATCGCACTGATGTATTTTTTGGTATTTGTTAACTTCTGTTTAAATATTAATACACGCTTATATTAAACTTGTTTAAGGTTCTGTTCACGGAGATGATTTTTTCTTGATGTTCACCGTTCCTGTACTAAAGAAGTCTAATCGACCTGATGAAGAAGTTATTTCAAAAAACTTAATAAGGATGATAAAGGACTTTGCACTTAGCGAAACAGGCACTCTGACATTTGGCGAATGCATTTTCCAAAATAATGTAAACAGCAAAGAGTATCAAGTGCTCCGAATAACACGAAACGGTTGTCAGAATGAGCAATATGATCAGTTTCTCTGAGAAATTTAAATAAATATTGATGGTTATAAAGTATATATAAGCAAAAATAGATTTATTTAACCTTTATCAAGCTGCTTCAACTATCAGCGGTTCCTCGATCAACTCATCGTCATCATCCTGATTTTCATCTTCACCCTGCACATTTCCGTAAAGATCAATCTTGCTGTCCAGGAAGCGAAAGTCCTTGAGGATATGCAGCTTGTTGCTAAATCCGGCAATGGACATTAGCTTAATTGGTGATGTTTGCCAGACAGCGGAGTAGCAGGCCGTGTGCTCCACGGGAATATTGGCTTGGAGAACTCCATTTAGAGTGTAGGACTGTACATGGTTGTGCTCTCCGCCAATTAAAACACAGTCGTCCACAAAGTCGCACAAATGCACGCGACCAGGAAAGTCAAAGACCCGGGTGCACTCCAGGGAGCGCAGGTGGTAAATGGATGCCTTGGGTCCACCGCCGCAAAGAAGCCAATCGTCGTTGACCGCCACTGCTCCTATCCACTTGCCCCAATCCGGTCGCAATAGGTTGGGATTCTTGTGGGGCTCCAGCAAGGCGGTCTGTTCCTGCTGCTTGGTGCTCCAAACTCGCACGGTACCATCTTCTGCGCCGGAGAAAATCTGGCCGTTGGCATTGCCCACAACGCTATGCACATAGTCCGTGTGACCACGGTACTCCCGCTGAATGCGTCCGTCCTCCAGACTCACTTGGTAGATGACACCATCGCCGCAGCCGGCAAACAATGTGTTGTCCACCTTGTTCAGCCACATGGAGTTTACATCGGGCACTTCGACGGCATCCACCTGCATGGGTATCTTCACCTCCCAGGAACGTTTGGTGGCGAGGGATTCCTCCTCCTCGTTCCATGCCAATCCGTAAATAAGACCCACTGCACCCACTATCAGAAAGTCACGATGGAAGGCTAGGTAATTGATGTCCACACCGCTGCCCTGCGGGAATATCTTCAGTTTGCCAGGAGGCTCCTCGGAACCCTTTTCCAGTTCGTTAATCCTTTAAACAGAAATGACTTCATATAAGGATAATTAACCATGTCGAGGATTCTCACCTGAGCACAAAAATATCCCCAAAAAGATTACCCGCAAATAGGTACTGCTTAGAGGTGGATATAGCCTGTGCCAAGACATTGTTATAAGCACGTTTCAGATCTTTTTCCTTCATCTTTTTTTTAGTAAATTTCACTAATTTATCAATTTTAGTTTGTTTATACCGGCGTTAGAGGTGGAAAATATCAAGATGGTAATATCGATGTCTTTCCACCTATACAAAGCAATACAATGGTGGGAACTTTAGCTAAGTGTGGTTCAAGTCCCCGCTAAGTATAAATTTATTTTCAAATAAGCAGTGCGCAGTTTTTCATATTTTCCAAGAAAGCAGTAAATATTGGTAGCAAGCTGTCCATTTTCGTAATACACTCACTACGTGCTTCCTTACGTTATACCGTTAGCCAACCTAATGATTATTTTGAATTTATTGAAGAACCTGTTTTTAATCATCCCAAAATTTGTTTGATTTTGAGGAAATACACCAAATTGTAATTGTAATTATTCGAACAAAATCGTTTGCCGGTGATCTCAATTTGCATTCCTTATAAATAATGATATTCGCCATGTGTGCCTTGAATTATCGACTGACAGATGCATTCTGAAGTAAGTGTACTTACCCTGAATGTTTATTTACGATTAATCTCATTAATTGTAAGCTGGAATTCCTTAGCGCTCTAAATCGGAATTTTGCCTTTAATCAGACAATAAGTTCGATGGCATCCCGCTAAGCCGATTTTTATTTGCACTGTCACAGTGAGAGAAGGCCTTTAAGAAAGTCTGAAACCTTTCAGACAGTCGAAATATTAGTTGACTAATCTCCTAAAAATATGAATTTGTAAACCAGCCATGACGTTTCATAATACCAACTTGGTTATTTGGATTCGCGTCGAAGTCAAGAGTGATTCATCAGATCGTGGAAAAGTCTTCGAATGACGACAAGTTTGGAGTGCTCTTTAGATTTGAAGAGCGTGCTCATATTCATGTTGACTGCTAAACAAAAGGAGATTGCCCACTTATGATCAGAAAACAATAATAGACGGCTTCATAATAAATTGCTATAAACATCTGGTTTCTGTTGTTTACCAATCAAACATGGCATAATTGCCTGAGCTTTTATTTACCAAATAAATTCTACGATGGGCTGATGGGTTTATCAAAATTCTATGTTGAAGATAAAGAAAGATAAATTAATGTTTTTATTTCCTATCTTTCAGTATTGGAAATTCAAATATAATTGAATATTATATTTCATACTTATAAGAGTTTAACTTTTAGACACCTGTGTTCTTAAGCTCAGAGCTTAAAAAACAAAAATTCCTTAAAAAATATAAAATAGCGTGGAGCACCTTCAATTAAATACTCTATTCTATTAAATTTCAAAATTAATTAATAGTTAGGACAATACAGAAGTCACGTATTAATTTAAAACTAACTCGATTGTGCGTTGTTGATCCACATTTTTCAGGCTGTTGTTCTCGACCGTTCTAATCGTTCTAATTTATATGCAAATTCATATGGCTTATTAATGTCGAGACGGTCGATTTATAATTAATTATTTCGGCGCCACCAAGTTGTTCTATCTGTCTCAGCATAATTCACATAGCCGACCTAACATATAAATTCCGAACATCGAAAATTCCCCCGATTCCCATTAAAGCCAAGAACTTCTCTTTTTGGGCGTGATCTTTACGAGTTTGAAAGGCGGTTTCCCAGCCAAATGAATTCCTTATCTGTGGGCAAAACATATCAAGTTTTATAAGCGGCTTCAGCTGCGCTTCATTTGGCCGCATATTAATGGCATGCAAATTTAATTTGACAACTTGACGTATTATGCGAATTCGAATCGAGATTCCAAGCCGATTTGTTTTTGACGACTTTCTTAGGTTTTTATTGAACCATTTGGATGGGCATTTTGCACGTGTTTTTCGGGAATTCCACAGTTGTCGGAACTGCAGCCTGGGGGAACTAGTTTTCAATGAAGATACCGTCTGGATAACTGGCGCCAAAAAAGTTTCTTTGCTTTTTGGCCAACGGCTATGAAGCGATCATCTTTCTTTCTCGCCTAATGATAAATGCTTTTGATGAATTTCAGCTAAATTTTGTTTGCTACACAGCGTCGTCATGGGAGTTTGTTTTTGTGGCCCAGTATTTTGTTATTTTTGGGAAATCCCCAAGCGCTATAAATTTCTTCTAAGCGGCTCTTTCTTCTTTCTTTTTTGTTTGGCTGTTTTCGCCGGATTCTCTCATCTTCTGGTCTTCATCGCGAAATGAGGTCCAACCGGATCTAGTTTGCCCAAAAACGCTGGCCGACAAACGTTTAAAGATCGAGCCCTCGGGAGGAGTGGAACTTTTACTGCCTGGCGAAAAGTGGTATGGCGACTACTGGTTCTACGCCGTTGCATATTAAAAGCTCATTCGCCGGCACATTAATTTATTTTTTGAGGCCCGCACCGTTCGAAACAAATGGTGTTAGCTGACGTCAACGGTCGATTTGATGTGGGGCCCATTTCGATACGCCGATACGCCGACTCGGGGATCTTGGTCAATGCACCCTGCATGCGCCTAATTGAATCGACAGATCGACATAGTCCAGCTTTCTAACTGATATTTCTCCGCTTCGGATCTCCAATTCCGAATTCCGTCAAGGTCAGCTACTTTCTCGGGCAAGGTAAGCAACATTTGTATGGCGCCAGAGACGAGAGCCGCTGAACTTTGTGGTCAAAAACAACGCTTTTTTTGGGTAGTCCCGGTCCCTCATTTGCATCAATTTACATCTCGGATTCCCGATCGCGTAATTTAAATATTAATTGTCGAATAAATCTCGCCGCTTCTCGGGGTAATTTATTCAAAGCAATCGGCGAAAAATGAAATATGCATTCAGTTTGTGGCACTAAAACTCAAAATTAGCCCCAAAAAAAGCAAGAAAGTAAAGTTTTATTTGGTCCCCAACCTGTTCTATAAAGTTTGACGATGTGCTGAAAACTAATTGGAAGATTAGCCTGTCCATCAATAAAAGACACCTCCCAAAACGGGAAGTTATAGTTTATGGGTCGCACACGTGCTGCCTTTAGTGTTTATGAGGATTTAGGACTTCCAACCCAGGAATACAGGAATCCAGAAATCCAGGGAGCTCATCGCTCACGTAGCAAGTCTTTCGCACCTTCATGTCCAATTAATTTTATTAGTGTTTGTATATTTATAAACTTGAACCCGCCAATGAGTAATGCAAACATTACGATCGTCGCAGTGCATTAGTACCCGAATCCGGGATGCTCTATCGGATTGAAAGGCACGTGTAATTGCCGGGATCACTTAGCATTACTCCTTTTTCCCTGCCTGAAGATTAACATTTAGATTTCGTTGACGTACTGGATTCACTGAAAAACAAACCCATTCGATGGGTGTTTTTACAATTCGGCTGCTAATTAAGTAAATAAATATTAAAGCGAATGCTAATCTCCATTGGTTTTTATTAACAACTCAAACGACTGGCGCCAATCCAATTAACTCCCATTTTTAAATGTTTGTTTTCATTTAGTTTTAGGAATTTTTGCGCAGATGGAAAGAAAACAGGAAAATCGAAAGAAAACAGTAGAACAAAAAACATATTGATTAAAAAATATTGAGTCAGCATTGTTGTGATTTTGATCTGGCGCGTAATCTACATATTAATATTTGTTTATAATAAACAGACAACAAACTTGATTCATCGCCGTTCCCCCGAAATTCGGACGAAAGTTTTGCTTGAAATTAGCAACATATTTGGACTTTGAGGCGTAAATGAATAACTTAATCGAGACCGAATTCTTATGGCGCCACTGAATCAGAAAAAATTCGGAGTCCCCGTTTGTTTACGGATCACGAAAATGCCATTGAAGATGCGCAAAAGCAACTTTCAAAAAATTCCATCTTTTCGCAGTTGAATGAAACATTTCCAACTGTCCGAATATTGGTGGGCCAAAAGAAAACGAGTTTTCTAATTAGAATTCCACTTTAGTTTATACATAATTAAAATCGTATTTGTCACTTAAAAATCCTACCCACCGAAAAGGGGCGGTGGTTTTTGATTCTTCTGTCCAACTCCATCTGGAATACCTGTTCCATTGTCTATCCGTCGTCCACTTCTATCTCGATTTTCTCTTGCCAAATTATGAAATTTGAGCGAATAAAATTCGTGGAATTCTCCGCTCAGCGTGTTGAAATCATCGAGCCCTAAATAATATGCGAAATATGATATTTCGGGAATAGACGCAATCACAATAACCTAATTTAACTTCCGTTTCCCATTTAAAAGTTTGAACTTTGCCTAGGCGCGCGCTAAATGAAAATCAGACGGATCGGCCGACTATCTGAGCGAGACTCCAGCGTTTTAAACGAGATTTTACGACTTGTTTGCTGTCATAACAACAGGCTACCGGAGAGGAGTCGATCTTCCAAGCCAAGTTGAGCGGAGAAGCCTCCACATGAGAGCCAGATGATAGCCGGCGAATTATTTAGCTGAGCGCGAGCGACGAGGTATAAAATATCACGGCTCCATCAGAATGGATTTAGATTGAAGCGAACGTTCAAAGCGCGCAGAACTCAGAAACGCAAAAAATATAATAAAACAAAGACTAAATTTAAATATCGGTAGAACGAGAAAGATCGGTGACAAGTGCAATCTACAGAACACGAAAATGATTACCAACAGAATGGCTCACCTGCTGGGTTGGGGAATAATGATCTTGCTGCTCGTTTGGGAGCCCACTCCCACGCACAGCTATGCGTTGGGTCACTCGAAGTTCGGACGGATCGAGAAGTTCCCCTACCAGGTGATGCTCATCGGCAAGCAGCTGTGGCGCAAACGCATCCTGTGCGGCGGAACCCTGCTCGATCGCCGTTGGGTCCTCACCGCCGGACATTGCACCATGGGAGTGACCCACTTCGATGTGTATCTGGGCACCAAGAGCGTGGAGGATACCCAGCAGTCGGGAGGATTGGTCCTGCGATCGAACAAGTTCATCGTCCATGAGCGATTCAGTCCCGAGACGGCGGCCAATGATATTGCCCTGGTGAAGCTGCCGCAGGATATTGGATTCACCTCGAGGATCCAACCCGCTTCGTTGCCCAACAGATTCCGGCATGATCAGTTCGCGGGGATGAGCGTGGTGGCCAGCGGATGGGGCGCCATGGTGGAGATGACCAACTCGGATTTGATGCAGTACACCGAACTGAAGGTGATCTCGAACGCGGAGTGCGCCCAGGAGTACGACGTGGTCACCGCCGGTGTGATCTGTGCCAAGGGACTGCGGGACGAGACCGTGTGCACCGGCGACTCTGGAGGACCGCTGGTGCTCAAGGACACCCAGGTGGTGGTGGGCATTACCAGTTTCGGACCCGCCGACGGGTGTGAGACCAATATTCCCGGCGGATTCACCCGGGTAACGCACTATCTGGACTGGATCGAGAGCAGGATTGGTGGTCACAGTGCAGCACCTCCACATCAGCAGTACCTGCGACCCCAGCATCCGCAACATCCACAACTCCACCATCAGTACAGTGATAACAATCTCATTTGAGATGGGTCTCCTTGCAGCTCGTCCGCCATCCGACTGAATCTTTATAGCTTTATGTTTAAAAGAAATTCTCCAATCTTGTGATATATCTCTCATTGAAATCTGTACATTGTTTTTAGCTTTAACTATTTAAACATCTATATTTATTTTAGTTGTAAGAGTGACAACGGCCACTGAGAAAATCAAAAAAACGAGATAAAAATCAAGCCGCAAAACAAAAAGAAAGCAACAAATGATGCAAAAATATAAAGAAATTGTATATGACAAAAATAAAAGATGAAACAAAAATAACAATAATAGCATGAAACCTGCTTCGGCTTTTCTGTCTGTTTAGTCATGCTGATTTTTGTGGAATTGGAATTCCCGCATTTGGGGATCTGATCTCGACCGGCGATAATCGCCCGATAAAAACTTTTACGTCGTCGCCAAGTGATAATTTTCTGATCGGTTAACTGTTTCGTTTTCTATCTTCATTGTTTTTTTTTCCCTCTGCGTTTTACATAACTTACGAAACGCACAATTATTAGGCATCTTTCGAAAACCCCTTATTTTACATAATATTTGTGTGTGTTGACTTTACCCTCGAGCCGCGATCTCCAAGAACTCAAACCCACTCCAGTTCAAAGGGGAGCTCCAGTGATGACGCTCGTCTGTCCCACTTGGAATTTAGTTCCGTGATGGATGGACGATTTTATTTCTACCAGTTTTCGAGTTTGGAGAGGAGTCGAAGATTTTCTTTTGGCCTTTTGTTGTTCGAATTGTGTCAGATCTATTTTGCTTTCAAACCGATCGTCATGACGCACTCGTTTGTTGGAAGATTCTTTCGATAGCAAATTTATCAAAAATTGATATCATCTAATGGCCCGAAATACTTCTGATTTAACTGGGCTCAGAAACAATTCCCCAACGGATTGGATTTGAAGCCATTTGAACAGCTCTCGAGGCAGTCGATCAATTAACTCGATGACTCGCTCTAATTTAAATTCGCTAGCAAAGCCATATAATTTATTATGACTGGATCAGTTTATCGGGTGCAACTTGTTAATGTGTCTTAGAGATATATTCAAAGATTTTGGAAAGTTCCTCATTAAAATTCCCATAGAGTTCAAGTTTGGCAGCAATTATGTAAAACGACCAGTCTTAAAAAGGCATTATTTATATTAATGTAGTGCGAAAAACGCGTTTAATTGAGATATTTGGAGAGGTATTTTGACAAGAGGTTAAATTTGTTCTACTTCACTCCCACAACATTTAAATGCTGATAGCAAACTGGTTCAGTGATCCAAATGAGCTTGTAGTTTTCGATAATAAATCACGTGGCTCTCACAGCCGCCATTCAAGGCAAATGTTTTCGAATGTTTTCCTTTCCAGCACACGTGCCCTTGGAGCTTTCAATTAGTTTATGAATAATTGGCCAGAGACTTGCTAAATAAAATCCCTAAATCGTGCCTAGTCGAGATTAGCATTTGAGAAAATGCAAGCTATTAAACTGCGGTCATTATTCAATTAATTATCAATGTTTATAAGTTCTCAGGCATTATAATCGAAGGGTACAAAAGTTAACGATATAATAATTCTAATACATCCAAACCTTACAAAGAGTGTATTCCATTTCATCTATGTGTAAATTTATTTAAAGCACTAGATCAATTATTGCTTGCAATCGATTGAAGGATAATGCCATTAAATATGGTAACATAATATAGATTTAGACTAATTTATTTGGTGTTTCGCTTTCATTTGTGCTCAGCTTTGAGATTGTGAGATTCGCGCTAAAAAGTGCATTAAAAATGTGGGTTGCGTAGCTAACTTTGGTACCGGTTTCCTAATGGTTGATGATTCGCGAATTACTAGCACTGGGCGGCGGCTTTCTGCTGCTTCTTCTTCAGCACACAGTCAATGGCCTGGATGACTTCCAAAAAGATATCGTCCACGTCACGTTCGGCATTGATCTGCGGTTTACGTAAAGCGTTTAATTAAATGGGGATTTTTTTTTGTGGATATTAATATTAAACTTGCCGTCAGGGTCTTGGCATCGTAGAGCTCCAGGATGGCGTTGGTGTTTTGCCTGAAGGTCTGGAGGCGAGCCCTAATCGTCTTCTCGTTGTCATCCTCGCGTTTCACAGCCGACGCTGCGGCACGCGCCATGATGCGCTGCACCATCGTGTCCTCAGAGCACTCGAAGTACAGTGCCAGATCGGCGGGAGCCACACGGATCTCGAACTCCACGCCCTGGTTCTTCTCCCGAGGATATCCGTCGATGAGGAATCCCTTCGAGACGCCCTTGGACCGGGTGATGGCGTCGTTGAGCAGCGACAGCACCTCGTCGTTGGACACTAAGCCACCGGTGGACATTATCTCCTGCAGTTTACGACCCTTGTCGGATCCAGAGGCCACCTATAAAACAGGTGAACATTAATATTGGGTCCAAACTAAAACAGTTGAGAGTTTCCCTAGTTTAACTTTATCTGAATAATGATATCAAAAGCAAAAGGGTTTAATGTGCCCTAACACTCATTTAGAACATTTTGAACATCGGTCTCCAATATTTTTGTTTGTATTTTCTTTCTGAATATAAACTAAATATTTTCAAGGAAAGACTTCTATAACAATGAAATTTAAATTCAAAGCGCGAAACACTTTATAACAAGGAAAGTTAACTAAAATACTAATATCAAAGCAAATATAAATGAAAATATTAAATGTAAAGTAATTTAAGTTTTTAAATCTTAGCTCAATAACTTTCTGCAGTCTTGACTGATTTTAGATGGCGATACAAATAGGTCTTTAATACTCAATATATTCGCGATATACTCAATAACAACAAACGGATATGGATAGATCTAATTATCTGTGTATACCGATCTAAAATTTGTTTTCTATAGCAAAAACAATATTCCCTTGCCATCTGCAAACAACAGATAGGAAATCTATTCCAGTATTTCTGGCCAAATTACCTCATTGCGAAGCAAATCTCCACTGCTCAGATGGGTGAATCCGTATTTTTCCACAATTTTGGCGCACTGAGTGCCCTTGCCGCAGCCGGGTCCACCCAAGATCCAGATGATGGGGATTTCAGACTGCAAAGACATGAATCTAGGTTAGTAGGCTCACAATACCGATGCAAAGAAACATCTACAATTAGCTTGGTTAGTGTTTGACTTGTACGCAAGCTTAGTTCGGTTAGGGGCGGGGTTTTGGGGAGTCTTTTCAATATTGTCAGGTATAAAATCATAGTTGTTGGTGAAGCGGTGGCCAGGCAGAACATGCCATATACATCAAGTAATCCTAGTAGTGGATATTTAGTGCCCATCGACTTGGCATCCGGATGGGCTACTTACAGCGGATTGTGCCCTGCGGAGCTCCTCGGCTTTGAGTTTCGCCACGGCCTCCTTCTTCATTGCCATTTGGTGACACATAAATAACTACACAATCGAGACAGTTGGTGGGGTTGGTTAGATATCTCACAGTTATAGTGCTATTGAACTATATATCTGAGATGTATTTGGCTTGGGTTAATATGTGGTTATTAGTATTTTGTTTTGGGCACCGTGCCAGCCACACATGTACCTCGAATGTTTGCCGACAATTAAGTTCACACGCTACACAGCCTTACAAAAGAACTTTGTATATACGATATAGATATTACATTGGATCATGACATTGATCTTGAACAGAAACCACTGCGTAACACATCATCGCAATTGGGGGGATAGGTAATTTAGAGCAATTGGCACCTCTTTTCCATTCGCACAAATGGCTCTGTTAATGGTTTGATTTCATCAAAAAAAATCCCAATTACTGTAAACAATTGAATCGTTGCCGTCGACGGCCCGTGACTATAGACAGATCAGCTTTTGATATAGTACATATTCGAGGCCCCCGCCGATTTTCGCCTGTTCCGCATTGTCGCACCCATCGAAAATATTGGGTGCAAAAAAATAAAACATAGAAAATGAATGAATTCTGGCAGCTTGATATTGCCCAGGTTGTTCGCTATCACCTTAGCTTTTTCCCCAGAGCATAAATTCAATGCTTTTTTTATTTTCTCTGACGTTTTGTTTTTTCTGGCTTTTCTCTTAGCACATTTTTGTACGCATTCAAATCGTTGCGTGTGAGAATTTATGATTTTGATGCTCATTTACGTAATTTGTTTGATATATATGTAAATATATATAAAGTAGTTCAGTGACTTTTCAATGTCATTTCCAAGGATTGGAAGTTTTTAATAATTCAGCTCACTAATCTAACAGTTGTTTAAGTTCCCAGGTAGTTAATTTTAATTATAGAACTATAGCACAAGCGTTCTGTTCAAACGGAACTGAAAAACTATCCAGCTAACTTAAAAGGAATTTTTATGGAAGCCAGCTCTTTTTATTTGCTCTTTCTTATTTCTTTTATAAGATTTTTTGTTTCTTTGTTTTGGCAATTTAAAAATGCGACGCGACTAAGGCTAAAACCGGCATGACTGTCTAGTTCGAGTAGCGCCAATAAACACATTTTAACTGCTTTTTGGCGACGAGGCTGGGGACTTGCTAATGAATCAAGCCCCGCCAGAAATTCCTGTGTAGCTGGCGGCAACTGGTCATAAATTTATGCAAATCGGGATTTTGACGTCAAAATTCGCCGAGGCTTGGAATGTGAAATTCGATTTTGTTTATGTGTGGCTCAAAGAGTTGCTAATTTGTTTGGTTGTTTGTGTGTTTTTTGGGGGAATTTCACAGATTCGTAATGAGTGGGATATTAGGAGAGGCTCTATTTATACTCGAGCTGGGTAAACAACGAGCAGCTGACTTGGGGAACTCTCGGCTTGAAAAGCTGAGCTGGTTGGCGTGAGCTGGTGCCCCCAAAGTTTCTTGATTGCATCGCTGGGCAAGGTCAAGTGCATGTGCAAGGTCGAGTGGCTTGTTCTAAATCTCTAATTTCAAAAACCTCTCGTTGGCCGTTAAAGTGCCAGAAGGGTTTTAAGTCAAAGTGAAACATTTCGTGTAGGTTACAAACAAATAAAAATAAATTGGGCATTAAGCAGGAACGAAAAGAATACAAAAAAAAAACACAAATCACAGCGGCACCCGCACACAAAACACTCACCATGATGATGTATAATATATATACACGACGTTGCTGCGGGCCTTTGGTTGAAGAAATCGCGAGATTTTCGGTGGTTTGAGAACCTATGCCTTGCTAGCCTTCCTCCTTTTGCCAGTTGTTGTGGTCGCTGCTCGCCAAGATTCGATTTCTCCGCCCGATGATTTTCCACCACCCTCGGTGCTGCGTGTGTTGAGAGTGACTAAATGGAATGGAAAGGCGATTCGGCTAACGGTTTCACTGCGCGTAGACATTCGGTCGTGCGAGCTTTCCTGCAAAGCTCTCCGATTCCCAGTGCTTTGGATTTAGCCGGTCCACCTACATATACTATAAACCGAACTTTTTCAATTCAAATTTTGAGTATTATATCTGAGGTATATTACCGTCTTTGAAGATAAGAAATTCAGCCATTACAATTCAGTTTTAATTTCAATTTTCGACCTGTGTGTTTAAGCTGCAGTCTTTTTATCAGCGATAAATTATCTCAGGAGTAGACTTTCCTATAATTTCTTCAAAGTTCTTAAGACATTTTAACTGAATTTGTTCCAATTTGCACATTGGTTGACCAACAACATCTATTAATCATTATTTTAATAGGTTTATATCTGCGACATTGGATTTCAACTGGTAGCATATTATTCTGTCGTGACTTGAAAGATTTTTAATCATATAAACTGCAACTTTTTCATAGTGAAATTGCTATTTCCGGGGTGCAGTTCAAAATTGTCTGACTTTTCACTGATTTCTTTATCAAACCAATCCATATAATTTCTCGGAATTTAAGAGTGTTTTTATGGAACACATCACAGGCAAAGAAATCGTCTGTCTAACGAGCTATTTCTATCTGGTCATTACGTTTTACCACCGTATCCATATTCTTTTGAATTTCCGTAAAAATATTTTCTGGTTCTTGTTCGGCATTAATTTTCAGAGTTATTTGGGCATAATGCTCCATCACAGCTTTCGAGCCATCAATATATATGTTTAGACTTGGGCGTGCTGTAGGGCCAGTTGAAATGGAAGTCCGTCCACTGCTTTTTTCCAATTCTAACGCAATGATCATACTGGGCGATCCAAACCCATTTTCCAATACTTGAGCCTCCACCATATCGGCAGGGTATCTGGGAGGAAATATATATTTTAGTTAATTCATATATCAACGATTCGTTTTCTTACCCATCAATGACGAATCCCTTGAGTGGGCCACGATGGCTCATCAATTGTTGTTCGATCAGAGGCACAATTTCCGGTAAGCGTATTGGATTCCCGTCCGCCTCGGATTTTTGAAATTTTTTCCCAATCGGTGTCTTGGCATTGATCTGTGTAGAGAATAGATAATACAAACTTATATTCCTTTACATGCTTATCAAAAATACCAAGTTATCTTACCTCTTCTTCAACCAATGCGACGGGATCAATATGCTTGAAGCCGTATTTTTCTACTATTTTCTGGGACTGTGTTCCTTTACCGCTGCCCGGTCCGCCCATTATCCAAATTTTTGGTACGTCCTGAATATATTAGCATTGGATTCGGGTTACTATTATAAACAAATTTGGAAAGTCAGCTTACCATTGTTGGTCACAAATTTAGTTAGAAAAAAGTTCTAAAGTTAAAATTAAAAAAATATTTTTTTTTTAAATAATTTCTAAAATTTTTGACAAATTTAGCTAGCTCACTCAGTATTTTTTTTCGGCACTCTCAATTAAGTATGGCCTTGTAAACAAAATACATGTTTGGAGCTTTGAAAATATTCTCACGTACAATTTATTGAGCTAGCATATCCGCAGTATTGGTATTCATCAACTTATAAAGTACAGAAAGGCCTGTATCTGTTTGGATTCGCTAACGGATACGACGAGCAGTGGTGCGGTGTGAAGATATTGATTTTGAATCTTGGAAATATCATCGTGAGTAGGAAAAGCCTCTTGAGATGTTAGAATGATAACATTAAAGTTGGGTGGATTTGGTGAACTCTTTTTATAACCCTCGTTGTGAAGATGCAGATCGAATGTTATCTTTAAAGAAGAAACCGTGAATTCATTTGTTGCATAATCTTGTCTTTCAAGTTGTACAATATCGAACTTTTCAAAGACCTCTTCGAATTTGGTATATGAAAATTCAGTTTTTAGGTGATCAACGAGACTTCGACCGGATGTGGAAAGCTTTTCTTTTTTACTTTCAGGTTCTTCGATTGGTTCATCATTTGCTTTACGCTTTTTTGAGTCAAATTGTAAATTTATGGATTCTTCTGTGTCTTCAGGCTCTTTTATCTTTTGAGATATAATGAGTTCCTTGTTATCTTCCATCTGTTTATCTACGACAGCGTAAAATGGCGAAGCTTTAATGCGATCTGGAACTAAATGATTTCCCACTATCTTTTTTAGCAGAGCCCAGATACAATCTGCCTTGGTTACTGATTCGGGAGTTGCTTCAGGGGGTTTATGTCTGACGACTATATAGCCAGCACGGGATAAAGCGGAGTAAACAAGGTAGTTTGTGTACTTTTCGCTTTCCAACTCGCCAAGTAGGAGCACATAAGCTTGCTCTATTGAAACCACTAAACCATAATATTCCAATTGTAAGCGACCCTGGAATTGGTAATTTCTTTAAATAAAAGCAATCTTTAAAATTGAAAAAGTATCGTACCAGTTCTAGCAAGAACAAAGCCTCATAATATTCCAGGTATAGCTTTCCCTGCTCACTGTGTCCAAAATTTTCGAATTTACCATCTTTGCGTAGGACTTCAGCCACTTGTTGCTCTTCATTCCAAGTGGCAAGAGCTCTTCCTCCAAGTCTTTCTATCCGCGGCACTGACAGCTGAGCTCGCAAATGATCTATCATTTAAAGAACATATATATATAACTTTTTTAATTTATATAAACCCAATTCTAACCTTGCGCTCGTTTAAGCTCCTCAAGTTCCGATGCAGTGCCTTCATTTTGAGTACGTTTTAGACCTCCACTTGGAACTTCAAACTCCTTGTGGCGATGAGCAATTAGCTCCTTAGGACTGTTGTTACTTGATTATTAGCTTTGTCAGTCAAATTTAATTCAGGAATTACCTTAAATATGAGTTTCTTGGATGAATCTCCACAAATTCCGTGTCCAATGTTTTCATTTCCATGTCAGTGTGACCGAAACTGTACCGTTAAAACATACCATCAAGTTTGGTCATGCAAGAACTTGAATAGTTATCGATGCATCGATGACCTTTTTGCGGTTTGTTATCGTGTTTGAAATTGTACTTGACCAACATTTCAGCACTTACTTACTTTATACCAAATTTGTAAAAGAATTTGGTAAACATAAATACAGCGAAAATTCAATTCATCGAAAGATCCAAGATAGGAATCCATTCCTTATAAATAAAATATAAGCCGGACTTCTCTATTTATAAATCTTTATTCTTTGTATAATTGTAGTTTTGTTAGTTTCGCATAACATACGCTTAACATTTTTGCTCTTTCATGCAATGGAGCTTGTCGAAATCTCGAACTCGTTTTAATTGATGTCATATAACATTTTACACCTTGAAAATACACTTAATGGTAGATTTATGAACATTTAATACACCACATTGTTGCTTTTAACTCTTACGCTGTTAACATATCTCATTCCCTCGACAATTTCAACTTTCACGTACATATATTTTGCAGGATATTTCTAGTTGGCTTTCTTTGTTTCTTCGGTTTCTTACTACACCGCAAAAGGTTTTAAACTCTGAACTGCGAAACGACACCTGCTGTTTCGGCTGTTGTAAAAACTTAAATACAAAAATTATACACTATAACTAACCGTACATTGTATATGTGTATCATTATGTATATGTACTTATAATTGATTTATATGTATGCGTCGTGTATTGTATAAACAGTTTCTCCATAGTACTGGTTTCATCTTTATTTTGTCCTCGTTAATGCCTTCGAATTGTTAACATTGTTCACCACATTTGTATTATACATATGCATACATATATCCGTAAATGCTTTAGTTATTATCATCTACATATATGCATAGATATATATTTATATCTGTTTTGAATGCGTAACGCGTTAAGGTAATATTTTATCTGCCTGCTGATAGGTCGTTTCTCTATTTCTCCCCCGGAACCACCGCATCACACATAGTTAGTCAAAATTAAAAGGCCCTACAGGTAAAAGCACGGACAAATTAATAATACTCTTCCCAGACTTTGACATGAATATCTACACTTATGTACAGGACAAAAAGGACCGCTCAGACTATGGCCACGTTCGAGGAGGAGGTGGCACTCGGTTTGCCCGACTTCACCAGGCACGACTGCGAATTGTTGCCCATGCTGGATCCATCCAGGCTGTCCAGATCCAGCGCCGTGTCTATCATCGTGGTGTCGTGCAGCATCCTCAGCCTCTCCGCCGACTTCACCTGCTCTGCTCCATCTCCCACCGACTTCCGCTGGGCATGACACGAGGCACTAACCGGATCATCCAGGTCGAGATCATCGCAGAGCAGGGTGGAGGATAGTACGTTATTGGCCTGCTGCTCCCTCTGCTGTTGCTGCTTGCGTTCATCGATGATGTTGGAGTACACATGCAGGTTGGCATCTGCCGGTGCACTTGGCGCCACTTGGGGCACATTGCTGTACATGTTCTCCGTTTTGCCCGTGATGGCAGCAGCTAATAGAGCTGCCCCAGCGGAGGGTTTCCCCGAACTCGTAGCGGCTCCTTCTGCTCTCACATGGTTGTCCGCCAGCGATGAGTTAACCAGGGCCGTCTCGAAGTCCGCATCGAATAGATTGCTATAGCTACCGCTGCGATTGCGCATTTCCCGCGCCTTATTGGAGGCAATAGCCGCCACGGCGGCCACCACTTCCGGACTGCCCACCACCAGCACATCCGGATCATCCAACTCATCCTCGCTGCTGGCCAAGTGATTCTCGTAGCTGATTGTGCCGCCATTGGAAATCTGGCGCTGTTTGTGATGCCGATGGCGGTACTGACGCGACTGTGTGGCCGTCTGATGGGTGTACGCCGGAATGTCCATCTGGGCCAGCGGAATCTCATTGTCCACCAACTGAGCTAGACTATTGGAATTACCTGCAAACGATACAGAGAAAGGGGAGAGGGCGTAAAGGAAGACCGTGATTAGTGAGTGGTATTTAATTTGTCTCTCTTGTATGTTTAATTAATGCATGTAAAATATTCAAATACTCATTACAACAAATTTGCCAACTAATTTAAAATTCGAATTTCAATTTGGAGCATTTTTATCTAGTGGTTTTATTGCTCTTTTGCTAGTGGTCGTTGATGGTTTGTTTTGATTCGGTTTGGTTTAGCTGTGGGAAAATAAAACAATTTGAATATGCAAATAATCATAAATGCTGAAAAGGGCGGCAAATTAAAATCGTAATTTAATTAAATAGGGTTTGTCTGTTAAAGCGAACAAATACACGTGTAATTGAATCGGGAAATTGCCAACTGGGCTGGTCCATCGACCGTCTCCATCCGGAGAAACTGGCCGAGAACTGGGACTGGGTGAAATCAACATAATTCAAAACTCATCAGTTGATAAGCTCTTAAACCAACAAACAAAGATAACTGAAAATGAAACGAAAAACGACCGAGAGTATGCGCAAATAAAAAGCGAAACTAGGCGCTAATTAATGGATAATGGATAATCAGTAGGTAAGTCGGTGCCAATTGAACAATTTAAAGCATGCTTTCAAAATGTTGTGAGTACAATTAGTGGGTGTATACAACTGGAGCTTGCCAATAAATTATCGCTAAATACCATATTAAACTTTGATTTTTGGATTGTGTTTGGGATGTTCTTGGGTGTGTGTTTTTATTTGGGGGTGGTGGTGATTCCTTTAGGTCTATTTGATGGATACGAATCGGCATGAGCAACTTAATAGAACGCCAAACGAATAGTATAGAGCAGCTATTTCGCACTGGCAGGTTAAGCAACAGGAAAATCAACTCAAAAATATGTATATATGGTATATGTATGCGGTGGTGTAGCTAATTTCAAACGAAACTCTAAAGCTTTGGTTAAATTTTCAGTTTTCGGTTATTTTGGTACATACAACAATTAAATGTTTTTGCATCAGGAGAGAACTCACCCAATTAAGGCTTTTAAATGCATTTTTACTCTAGTCTTAAGCGGCCCTCGACAACTTTCGCTCAATTGCAGTTTTTGTTTTGGTTATTACGGTTTGGTTAGTTTCACAAAATAGTTACAGATACAAATTTGTAAGTATTGTTTTTTTTCCCAGAGTCAAGTTGAAAGATACAGAAAGAGTTTGACATTAGTGTGCGATAAATCAAGAAGAAGGTTATAGCTTTTGGTGGATGTGTGCGCGCTTAGCCAGTCAAAACCAAAATCAGGTAACCTAAAGATAATGGAAAATGGAGGGGAGCGGAGAGGAGAGAGATCCGAACGGAAACTAAAAATCGGAAGCTTCAAGCCCAAGCCTCCAGTTCGTGTCTATGTGTGTGGGTGATTCGGGGGATATCTATATACGGTTCCAATAATCGATCAGGATCGTAAGTAGGTCTCACGCCCTTCCTGAAAGTTTGCGATACGCTTCAACACCGGGATTAGTACTTATATGTAGTTATAGATCTGCTGACGATCCGCTAACATTTCATTCGGATCAATTTTAAACATACGCTAGATACACTTTATTGCCCAACATTTAACCATACATATTGTGTATATATAAGTATATAAATTTACTTTTTCATCAGTTAACACTCGCTTTCACGCTGTGACTCAGCATGAACACACATATATATATATATATATAATATATATAACTTCCTACAACTTCAATTACCTCGCTAATGCGTATTACACTTGCAATTAATTATAAAAGGAACCCATAATATTGTTTATGCTCAAGATTTAAAGCCTTGGAGGCGGCGTGTGAGCCACAATTAATTCTTTAAGCTGGCTTATATACCTAATACGCTTCACGATTTTCACCTCCCCAAAAGTCCAGCAATTTCCTGCCCGAGAAATGTTTTGTAACTATTACAACTAGGTATAAATATTTTCAATTTCAATTTCAATATCAATTTTCATTTCAATTTCAACGCATTGTTCGGTATTCTGTTTATTGCTAATTATTTGCAGCAGTCACTTGGCAATGTTCCAATATTCAAGATTAAGACATATTCGATATTTGATATTCAATCCGTGTTTGCAACAATTTCTTTTTTGTATTCGACTAGTAGTTTAAAAATGACTCTTTCTTAACACTGATACATAGTTTATCAAATTCTTATTGAATTCCATTTTTAGTTTACGTTTACGTTTACATTTAATTTTAATTTTCATTGTAAAAATGAAAAAAGTCCTAACAAAATGTTGCTTCGATAAATGGCAGTTATTTTGGCTCATTAAGTGTTTTGCTAATTTCCCATTTTCTAATTGCAAGTTAAAGTTTTCATTCGCTTCTATGTTTGATTGAAACCTTCCAAATTATTCAAAAAATTCAACTTAAGGCCCAAGTGACTGCGATCATTGATAGGCTATTCAGCCGTGGGAATCTCACGAGGTTCCCAACAAAAATCAAAACTTAAGCATTTTACTAGGCGAACAAAGTCAAACATGCTTGGTTTGGGATGTTGGTTTACTGGTTTTTTGGTTAGTAGGTTGCTTGGTTGCTTTGGTTGGTTAGTTGGTGTCTTCACTATTGGAGGTGGCGGCGCTGGGACGTAGACCAAGGTGGATACATATACACGGGTGGCATTGTGGCCCCTGGCGCCGAAGCTCCTCTATTGCAATCGCATTTGCATCAGAAGAGATCCGACGCACCTAGCCTGGGAAGCAGGTGCTAAATAAACGCAAAAGTTTCTATGAACCAAGTTTTTTCGGGGCGGGGGGTGGTGGGCAAACAGGGAGTCTACAGCGGTTGGCAGGGGTTTTCACATACATTAAACAAAAATCATACAAGTTCGACTTCTACAAAGGGTGCAAACACAAATTCGGAATTCAGGCTGCAAAAGGGTAGCAGTTACAGTTGCTGCAACATCTAAGCGCACCATGGAAGCCAAGTGAGTCTCACAAAATGTGCCACAATCAGACTGTGATAGATTCCCTCAAAGTTAAAATCAAGGCTGCAAACTTTTAAATTTATTCGGTCCGTTGGTTCGAACATTCAGTTGAGGAAAATATTTACTTTGCATATGCAAGCTAGAGCAATTTGCTCTGATAAATTATCCATACAAAAAGGGTAAGTAGTTCAGTTTTAACAAAATACAAATTTAAAAGTCATTGGTTTTGAATGCAATTCATAATAATGATGCTGCTAGTTGTACTTTTTCAATAAAAGTGTTTAAATTTTTGTGTAGAAAAAATCTCCTATTTTCTGAACCAAATTTTTCGAATGGTATTAATGTTACTAATTTAGATGTTGTATTTTTAAATGATTACAGTCAAAATATACAAAAAGCCGAACCCTTCCGAAGCTGCTCGGTTAAAATATAGTTTGCAGCCTTGATTTAAATATGTACAATGCAAACTACTCAAAAAAAGTGTTTAAAGCCTAGATAAGCCCTTACATTAGATCCTAAATGAAGTTTTAATTAAACCAAAATCGGATAGCTGCCACGAGTCCAAAATGTTAGGGAAAAGTCGGGCGAATTCCGAAAACTGGACCCGAATTGGCCACCTTAGCAAAAGCGTGGAAGCATTAGGAATCGGGCTGGCCAGGGCCCGGCCGTATGTACAGCGCCCAACAACCGATCGAGGAGGATGACTAGGGGGCAGAACGGCCCACTGAGCCGGACAACGGATCGGGACAACAAGTGGGCGTCGGAGCAGCGGACTGCTGCTGCGTACTATGACGAGTCACTGCCCGCCGCATCCTCGATGATCGAGTTGAGATCGATGTTGAACGAGTACTCGTAGAGATTGGAGTAGCGGTCGCGCTCCTTCCACGGCGACCGGTGATTCATATAAAGATTTCGTTTACTAACACGAAAGATCTGGCTGTCCTTGATCGACTGATCGTCGTCGCAGGGTTCACCGCCACCGCCAAAGTCACATTCGCGGATGGTCAGCCGGTTCGTGGGCGACTTCAGTTCGAACATCACCTCCTGGTGCTTGTACGGCTTCCTCATGGGCAGCGGCTGATAGCCGGCGATGTTAACCTTCTGCGAGTCCACCGACATCGTCGATTGCCGACGCATCCCACGCGCCGCCTTCGGAAATGGATAGTTCCTCATCAGATTGGAGTCGGTGCTACGTTGTGGCGAGTAGTACTTGTAGTCCGTGGGCGCCGGCGGCTGTGGCGCCGTGGTGTGTATGGTGGTCAGGGTGCTGTTGCTGGCGGAGATTCCTGCGCTGGCCTGCAGCTGCAGCGTCGACGGTCGTCGTGGCGCCAGCGGCGGTGGAGCCGTGGCCAGGGACACGGACACCGAAGTGGGTGCGGTGGTGGTGGCAGAGGAGGAGGAACCACCCGTACCCGTACCCGTTCCGGTACCAGTGCCAGTACCAGTTCCTCCGCTGGCGCCGGAGGCCACCGCCGCCGCCGCTGCTGCCACGCTGCCAATGGCGGTGGTCTGCTGGGCGTGGACGTGGTGATGCAGCAGCGGGAGCGGCGAGTGGCGGACATCGTCGTACGACGGTGTCAGCGGCAGGTGCAGCGATCGCTTGAGGTTCAACCGGTAGGAGGAGGACGTGGCCGGCGAGCGCAGGAGCGAGGGGGAGTTGGGACCCGCACCCGAACTCACACCCACACCCTCGTGTTGCTGCAACTCGGCGGCCACCAGATGCTGCTTCAGCTGCTTGTGCTTATGCTTGCTGGCCTTGAATTGCTGCTGGGCACTGGCGGGCAGCAGGGTTTGCAGGGAGCAGCGCTGCTGGTGCTGCTTGCGGGACTTACCGTTTTGGACCAGGTCGTAGCTGGGCGGCGGATGGTCGAAGCCGTTCCCATGGCCATTCCCGTGGCCATTGATGGCACCTCCGTTGCCCTCCAGTGTCGAGGAGGAGGGATTGGACTGGTTTGTTGATTGGTTGGTTGGTTGGTTGGTTGGTCGTGTGATTGTGTCGATTGTGGTGTATGAATCGAGTAGAAGTAGTAGTTACCAAAAAAGAACATTGCATAGAACACAAAAAGAAGAAGTTGAAGTTGAATTACAGATTGTCAAAATGATGTGCACAAAAGTTCATCGTACGAGAGTTTTGATTTGATATATAAAGGATCAAGCAAGCAGAGTGCCCAGACATTTAGATATTTTTAGAGATTTTGGGTGGTGAAAGGGTGCGCTTGGGTGGGCTCAATGTGGCCGGTGGGTTGGCCGCTTACCTCGTCATAGAAGCGGGGCTTCAGCTCCGCCCCACCGATGCTGATCCCGCCGCCGGCACCACCGATCCCACTACCCCCGCCGCCCATCATGGGCTGCGAGGTGGTGACCATGTGCGAGGCACTCAGCACATCGCTGAGTGCGTGCCGCGGACTCGATTGGTGCTGCATCTGCTGGATGAACTCGTCGGTGGCGATGCCGCGTCTGCCAATTAATCCATTTAATACAGTTTGAGCCACTCTGCCGTGGTACTTACCTATCGATCAGCGAGGGCGTCATGGGTCCGCATAGGATGTGGCAACAATTCAGGCAGATGTTCCCCCGCGAATAGGGATTTTGGGTGCGCGGACCGCCTTTGGAGGAGAAGGATCCCTTGAGCTGTGGACGATACCAGTTTTAAATGTGATGCATTTAATTTAAGCATTTCATGTGTTAATAAATCACTTTTAAATTTCTTTAAATTCCTCCAAGATGATGCTTACTCTGTGGTTGAGTTTTTAATTTTATTCACATATTTATAAATATGAAGCAAAATTGTTTGTCATAAATCTAGTTATAAATAAACAATACGAAACCACAAATTCAAAAATAACCAAGTGTAAAAAAATTAAACATTTAGAAACAACCAATACAGCGCTTTTAAAAAATGCATTTTTTTATTTAATTTAATTTTATTTTATTTTAGTATCTTAATGAGAAAAGATGGAAATAAAATGTATGAGTTTTATTATTGAAAATATTCAAGGCCTTAATCCCTTTAAATTTATTTTTTATTCTCTCCTAATGTCACAATTTCCATAATATTTTTGAAAACATTTACTTATTTAATAATTTTCTATACTCACATCCTCGTTGGTTGTCTGATCGCTCGTCGTCAGATAGGTATGGAAGCCGGCCAGGCCGATCACCGACCATATCGAGAAGAAGCAAATGAACACAACAATCACAGTGAAGGGCGCCCTCTTGATTACTTTGAAGACCTCCAGCTCGGTTTTCATCACTGCAGGTGGTATAAAAACGCATATAATTCATCTACTTTATGGTGTATAGCATTCTTATGTACTCACATAAAACTAAATGCGTCACAGAGCACGAGAATATAAATACAGCTAAAAATGCCAATGAGACTAGAAACAAATAAAAGAACCGATAATTCCGCTTGCCCACGCAGTTTCCCACCTGTAAAGAGAACGTTAACAGGGTTATAAAGACACAACAGGCGAAAATAAAGTCGGTAACAAATCTTTGTTGAACCCCTAACATAATAAGGTTAATTGCATTTTCACGAGATGTGTGGCATTACCAAAATTACGACCAAGAAATGCCTTAATTTCAGCCAACAACATCCCACCCACCCAAAGATCCCTTTGAAACCGCGAAGCAAAACCCCCAAAAGGCTCGAGTCGACCTTCAAGCCGTCAGATGCGATTGTGTCGGTACTTTCTCTCCTTCGGGGTTTAAATTACGCCCGAGCCCAAGTAAATGAAAAGGGGCGATGGCAAAGGCATGACAGCAACACAAACTGGAGGAGATTTGATTTTTAAAAGGCAGAGGATTGTATACACTTTCTTTCTAAGTACATTTAATCTGATACACAATCAAAATAACTACATAGCCCAAATAGTTTAGGATTTTAAGATAAAATAACAAATAAGTAACTATAATTTTCACGACCTAAAAGGATTATGTTAAAGTCGGATTAATTAATATTTAAATATGTCTATGATTCAAGCTCTCCAACCTATTTGTAAGGATGACATTCCTTAGATAGAGTGGAATTGAAAGCTCATCATAGTGTAAATATTTGATGGCTTAACTGACCTTCCTCAAGTTAAATGGTTTGCAGGTCAATTTAAATTGATTGTGAATTGTGCAAGCTAAAATCAAGGTGAAAACAATTTTCCATTTAAAAGACAGTGGAAATCAATATTGCCGTGGGATATGAAACAAAAAGACAAAGCAATCAATTAGAGGAAAAACGTATAAATAGTTAAAGAGTTTTCTTTAACGAAATGAAGGAGAATTCCATTGATAGTAGACAAAACAGTCAATTAGTTAATATGAATAATTAAGAAACAGAGGTTTATTTGAAGAGAGCTTTGAAAGCGTTAATTGTTTTTAATCCGTGAGGGTATGTTCGATGATTTCAGTCCCAAGAGGATATTGGACCTTAAACAAATGCCTTCCTCCGTATTCAAATGTAAACTACACCCCCGAAAAAGATTACAAATATGAGTGCGGCTACTTAAGTTAGTGTGTGTGCGGATGGGTTTGTGCCAGTGCGGTTTGTTTGCTTGGTCCTGTGTCCAAACACACACACAGCCACATCTTGTTGCATCAGCGCGTCGCTGGCGGGGATATGAAAAAAAAAAAAAAAAATCCGGCAAAGGATTGGAGGGAGTCCGAGTGCGCTTTTTATATGTACGGTTCCAGCTTGAAAACGTGACGTGCGCTCTGCTGAAATTATTTTTACTAAAAAATTAGCAACCTCAGCGGTTGCCGCTGGAATTGGGTTAAAGTCAGAGACGACGAGAGGCTGTTGGTTTTGTGGCCCACTTTTCGCCAGCGCCTCTAATGCGGCGCTTGGCTCAATGTCAGGCGGTGGGTGGTTCTTTTGGGACAGGAGTGATTAAAATTGCGCCACCGCTAACGAGGTGCCGGGTGTCCTTGTCAAGGACCCACTCGGTGACTAACTACTACCACTACCACTACTCACCCAGGGACAGTGGTGATCGAAGCGGTCCACGCAGTTGTCGCACAGGCTGCAATGCGATGCCCTCGGCGGCCGGAAGATCTTGCAGGTGAAGCAGTATTTCAGCTTGACCGTCTGGCCCTTGACCAGGACCTCCTTGGTCCTCGGCGGCGGTCGATATGTGGGGCTGTTCAGCGAGTTTGGCACCTCTGTTTTGTTTGTAGGCGGTTGGATTTGGGTTATCCAAACACAACAGCACCAGGATTTATCCAGAGAGGCGGCACAGGAAATGCAGTAACAGCAGTGGCATCAGCAGCATCGACAGGAGAACATTGTTGACATGGAAGGGGAAAGAGCAAAAGTTTTCTCATTTTAAATATTTTATACAAAGGCAACAACAACAGCAACTCATTAGTGCAAAGGCAACGCAGCTTTCGCCTTTGATGATGATTTTTTATACGGAATATATTTTTTTTCCCATTTTTTGCCAAGCGCGTTTTATTTTTTCATTCTATGTCATGCTACGCTCATTACTTTTTACGTTACGTGCTTCCCCTTTCCTGCTCCCCACACACACACACATACAAACTTAATGAAGTGAAAACAAATATATACGCAAGTGTCTCTGTATGTGTTTGAGTGGGCGAGTGTTTGGCAAGGGGCGTGGCATGGCAGGAGCCGAAGGAGAAGGATATTCAGGCAACAGGCAGCCAACGACCTTGGCCACGTTTCCTTTTGGATGGACGCAAGGACTTCGACTGTGCCAGCGATTTGCGATTGCGACGGCGATTGCGATTGCTAGTGCGACAACGGTGCGGATGAGTAACGTACCAATTTGCTTTTCAATATAGGCGGCCTCATCGTTGGAGGCTCGCGGTATGACGCCCGGATCCGTGAAGGTTGTGCGCAGCAAGGAGCTCATCGTGAAGAAGTAAAGGACCGCTCCCACAATCGGAATGGCCGGATTGATGCTGTCCGCCAGAAAGGGACAGCTGGAAAAAGAAAACGAGAAATATATATCATTAATCTAATGGTGTTTCTGTCATTTTGTTTATGGCAACATCTTGATTTTGTTTTGATTGTTTCAGTTAATGGAGAAATAAACTAGAGGCACGTCAATAAAATATGATAAATTGTAGGTTTTCAGTAATTATGTTAATAAACTAGACAGAAGTTATTAAATATTATGAAATTATTTACCTTACAACTAAGAAAAGAGCTATGATACCTCTTAAAATGTTTTGAAACTGTATACATTTTTTTCTATCTATCTAAAGAGCAATTACCTAAACCTGTACCAGTAAGCAACGAACTTATTTAACTCTTTCAATGTTGATTAATCCGCTTTGATTGGACGAGGAAGTGAAGGGAACGTCATTCAAAGACTACTGAACATTGGATTCTATGTAATCTACGATTATGTCCTTTTTGGAAAAGCACCCATTGAAATTTGATTCCTTAAATCTCCGGCTTGCCATGCATCCTGCATGCACTGCATCGAAACGTCCAAATGCAGGCAGCGGTTGCCAATGGATTCACTACTGCAGCTTTCGGTGGGCGACGAGTGTGTCCTGCCCTGCTCAAAAATGAATGCAAATGTCCCCGGTAATTTGGCAATGCCCCAAATGTGGGAATCCGAACAAATATGCCCCCGAAATGGGGGACTGGGGCGTCATGAACGTGGACTCAAACCCATCGGGGATAGATGGATGCGGATCAGGAGCTGGGGGGATAGGACTACAATGCTCTGCCCGGCATTGTTACTTAATGCCCGATGCGTGCCAACGATTTGTGAATAGCAAAAGTCGCCGCATCCACCAGCAGCAACTTTCACTCGCTATCAACTCACAAAGGACCCAAGTGCTCAGTGACAATTATGTGTGACAAGTCCCAGATGTATCAGGGTGTAGGCTTCATTTCGGGGACAGGACAGTCAGCAGAACCAACCGAAAATTGTTAAATACATTTGTCATGACAACGCCGATTCCCTCCCCCTGCCCTGCAGTAGTAAAGCTTAAATAGGGGGAATGCATTCAAAAAATGCTTTTCTCGCATTCAGCTGGCAAATCGCTGACAATGCCATAGAAAATAGAAAATGGGGAATACGAAGGAGAGCCCCTTCTGCATTGTGTGCTACCTTTTAGCGATTTGCATTGCCGGAGAGCGTCGAACGAAACACAATTTGGGTTTGCCCACACATCCCCAGGCTGCCTACATACAAAAAAATATATTTTATTGTTCAATCTACCAATGATTTTAATCAAATTTCGATACATTTACTTTGTAGTTTCATCGTTTCATTTTATTAAAAACGAATTTGCATGTTGCCACTTTGATTTGAAAGCATTTCAAACTCTTTTTCTTCCCGTATATAAAATCAATTCAATTGTTTTTCGAGTACTATTATGCTTTAAGTAATTTTAATTCTGATGCAGAGAAGTTTGGTTTATAAAATTAAAATTAAAATTCAAACTTTTTATCTTTGCTAACATAAAAATGTAATTCTATGTGAAGTTGTGATACTTTCCGTAGGGTCATTAAATTAAATGCTGAAAATGTAATTCAGATATAGTAATAATCCTTAGGCATTTAGTATAAGACCCAAACACCAATCCTTAAGTAAAATCTATTTAAACAAAATTAGTTAGTTAGTAACACAGCGTAGAAAATAGAATACTTTTAGTTCTACATTTTTTTGTGTGCATACGGAGGATGTGTGCGAATATCTGCAGGAATAACTATGCGAGCACTCAAAGGCATTGCGGATATTGTAATGCCCATCCATACTGGGGCGCCTTCCACTCGACTGTGCGCTAATGTAAAGCAAGCAATGAAAATAAAATCGCGCTGTAGCCGCTTTTCAGCAGCGAATAAATTTGGATCGCGCAAGAGGAGCCAGATGTAGGTGGTTCACATGGTTTCTAGGCATGGGAATTTCAATTTCTTTGTGGAAACACCACCTCCGCACATGCAATTCCTTTTTTGTGGTGCTCAAATGATTTCGTGCAGAAAATGTTGAGCATAATTTTGTCTAATCGCGCTGTCAGTGGTGAATGGGATGCAGCTTTAACGTTGTGTTTCATTTGTATTTGCACTACGTGACGTATGCGTTATTTTGGCCAGTCTCCGGAAAAGGAGGACGGAAACGCCCACGTGCAACTAAATTGAATATAGTTAAACGTTTGTGGGCTGTGGCTTTTCCATATGTGCACGCCCCTTGGATATTTATTTAGTTTCAATACCGGCCAAAAGCAATCTATTGGACGGCGGTATTATTATTGGAGAAACGTGATAGTAACGACCAATACTGCAATACTGTTCAGGGAAATTCCTTATTTTCCGTTTACTTTGTGCTGTCCCAAATAAGCAATCCCTTTTCTTGTATTTTTTTCTTTTATTTCAGACAGTGTTTCCAATTGAAAGAGCTGCACTTTTCGTTTGCTACTATAATCTTCTTTCAGAAATATGCAAAATCGTTTGACTACTTATCATTACAAAGGAGGAACCCTTTGTTGAAGTGAACATTCTTACTAAGTGAATTGTTTAAACGTAGCATATACTTTGGGGCAATACTAGCCTAGGAGGAAACGGAAAAATAAGCTTCAATAAAAGAGTATGCAGAGGTCGGACTAACCGATATTTAAAAAGTACATTAATAATTTAAAAACTTTAATTTTCCACCATTAAACACCACCGTCAAAGCTTAATAGCGGAAAAGTTTAGCAACAGGAAATAGAAATGTGTCCCGGATGAACGAGTTTGGAATGGTAATTTTGTTTAAAAACTAAAACCGAGGGTGGGGACACTTTTCTGTGGTATGCCAGTGGGTTAAAGTAGCCTGAACATATTTGAATGCCGCACAACCATCGGACGACGGATTGACAAATCAAAAGCTGAAACTATTTGTCCACCCCCTTCGCAATCCTCACGGTTACCCGTAATTCAACGGATTCACCAGGGACAGAGACATCAAGCTGAAAAAGTAGCAGCAGCAGCAGTAGCAGTAGCAGCTTGGATCCCGATGTCCTTTGCCAGGCCAAGCATAACGCATACGCCACGTTGCACAGCAATAATTACATGCCATTGGATACGGAGACGGACGGCAGACGACAGTCGGGAACAGAGACCGGATGAGGGACCCGTTGAAACCGATGAAACCAGAGCAAGAGTCCAAAGTCAGAGACCATTAATGTGGGCGTAATTGGAAATCAAGCATGATCCGGGGGGGAAGTCGGGGGTCGGTGAATCGGGGATCCGGTGCCCCGGAAGGGTTACTGGGCAATGCTTAATTAGCAACGTATACATTTTGCACACAATGCAACTAAAGGGAGGCCAGCCTCAACCAGAAACACGGAAAGAAAAATGGCCTTCTAAACTCGAATACAAATTAACTTAGTATGTGTACTTATCTCAAAGATTTAATTATTGAAGCATACAATTATTCAAGACACGATTATTTACTATCTACCTACTAAATATAAGCTTCAATAGCAAATCAATCCAATTTGAGTACCTACATTCTTCACTGTTTTATTATTAATATCTAAAATATCTATGATAAGTGACTCTTGTTCTGAGTACTTGTTATACATTTAAATTATTAATTTTAGCTTGAGTACTGGTTTTAGGATGATAAATCTAGCTTAAGGTAGAATTTTATTTATAATCTGAAGAGCACTATAAATACAAATTCAATTTTGCTTATAATTTATATAATAATGACTTATAATTTATTTTAGCAATTGGGACAATATGTTAAGTATTATTTACTTAAAGCAAAATTGAATTTATATATTGTATGAATTTTCGTAAATGTTTTCTAACGTTTTTTTTTCTGTGCACACACAAATGGTTGAAATGAGCACGGGGCGTATACTCACTCGAAGGCAAAGAAGAGCGCACTGGTGCCGGTAATCAGGATGCACGTCAAGTAGAAGACGCCTGTGTGCGGTGCGGACATTAGCAATCCATCGCAGTAGAATTTATTGCGTCCGGCAAACAGTTCCCATTTGCGTGTGACGCGCTGGTTTGGTGCCATGTTACTGCAACAACAGCAGCACAGCAGATTCATCGGGGCGGTCCTGGGAAATGGGTTTTAAGTGGGATTGGGATTGCGATTCCTGTTCCTGTTTCAGTTCCCGTGCCTGATTTTGATTTTGATACTTTTCCTTGCTGACAACAGTTGCTGACTGTGACAGCGACGCCTTTGCCGTTGCCGTTGCCTTTTCTGCTGCTGCTGCCGCTGATGATGATGATGATGTGGGTTTTGGGTTGGGTTGGATCCTAGGGAATATGGTGGGTTATGCTCTGCCGCCGACAGTTCGCCCGTCTGCAGTTGACGAAATTATGCTGTTTTGCTGGGGTCCCGACTTCGCCTCCCTTCTCCACCTTCGCACCTCCTCCTGTCACAGGGACGTGTTCATGTGTGGCTGTTGCAATGCCTGCGGCACGCAAAACCGACGACTTCCACAAGATGCCTCCTGCTGCTGCTCCTGTTTGCCAACTCCAAGGAATCTCATGCACACCAGGCGGCTGGGCTGCTTGAAATATTCGCTTAAAATGTGCTGTGTTTTTAGGGCTAATATTTCACTCGGTCGGTTGTTGGTTGGCTAGTTGGTTGGTTTTGTTGTTTGAATGCGAATGTTCAGGTGAATTTAATCAAAATTAATGTCCTGTCCAGCTAATGCTGCTTCTCCTGCTGCTTCTACAACTACTACTACTATGTTCCCGTGCTGTTCCAAAAGCAATTTCGTCCACTTTGTTGCGTTGTCCACGGTCCGCGGCATCAGCCACATTGCGTTTCAATTTCCTCCGTTTTATTGCAGCGCACACTTTCGGGCCTCACGCCCACGCCCACGCCCCGGCTTTAATTAAAGCAGGACGCCTGTCATTTCCCTGCAGCCGCCTTCTTTGCAATGTGCCACGCCCCCTTCTCCGCCGGAATTGGGCGGTCTGAATGGGTGGGAATGGAAGGGGAATTGGGAGAACTTGGACCACGTTCCGTGCACACTATACAGCAATTATTTGCTCGGCTTTGTTGATCCTGAATTCGGGATCCTTTCGGTGGCCCGTCCGTGTCCTTTATGATTCAATTATTCGCTATTCGCTGCTGGCGCCACCAACAGTAGTTAAAATTGGCGTTGGCGTCGAATTGGTTTGGCTGGCTTCTGGGTTTGAGTTTGGGTTTGGGTTCGGTTTCCAGTCCGGTTTAGTCGCGTCGAGTTGAGTTTGAGTGGGCCGTCCTGAAAAGGAAGAGAAGAAAGAAGGAAATTTGTGAAAGGAGTGAGCAACTGTGGAATTGCAAGCAAATATAATCATTAAGTTATTTTGATTAAGAACTTTTGTGCGGGCGCCGACAAGCTGAAAGGAGAAGAGTTCTCTTCCCAGGGATTCATTTATGCCGTCTTTATTATCGAATTTTAATCGCATTGCCCGAGAATTGTCAGTTGGCCAAGAGCGAAAGCGTCCGCAATGGGCCAATTCATAAGATAAATTTTATCGCGTTTTTATGTAAACACAATCGAGTGGTTAACGATTGCTGATAAATTTTCATTCATAATAATTGTACAAGGCAAATTGAAAGGAGAAGTAAATTTTACTTTATTAACTTTTCAAAGGTTTATAACTACAAATTTGATTGGTTTTTGTTTTAATTCATAAATGTACTTTAAGATCTAACCCTCATTTTCAGCAAATTTTGAATACTTGCTCTAATTTCCCAAATATAATTTGGACTAAGCTTCTACATGCGGTTTGTTTTTTACGGAAAGCTCAGTTAATTTCAAATTTACAACCACCATATATGCAAATCGTTAATAATTTATGCCTTGCCATAAACCGACTAAAGGATTAAGAAGGCATAGATTATTTACAGCTGGAATGCGCTAATTCGCGGCTTTATGGGAGACGACTGTCGACTAATTGGCGCTAATCAAGTTAAGCATACGCACTGTATGCCGCCCCGTCGACAGGAAGTTGTTACTCCTCTCCTCCGGCGCTGCATGCTGACTGCGTTGCAACATGGTTCCCGAACAGAGGCCGTTATCTAAGGCAAACAGGCGCGTTGGATGGCAATAAACCAGCACAAACACAGACAAACTGAGAGACCCCCAAAAACCAGTGAGCGGCGTTTGCATTCGCAATTTGCGTTAATTGGGCACACGCCACCCATTTAAAGGGACCCTCGCAGATGTTACGGAGTCGGCTTTCTCAGGCGGTGAAAATGTTTATGCAAATTGTGTTGCAATTATAGCGCCAACGACTGCTCTAATATACACTGGCTGCGATTATATGCATGCATTTCGCTTGGAACGGGCGGGCTCCAATTAACATTAACAACAGCTGATGACATGCGCCAAGAAGTGCCAATTAAAGGCACACACACACACAACCGTTTCGCCGTGCTGCGAGCTGTTCAATAAACTCATAAATTGCCCGAAATGACGCAAAATGCCAGCAACAATGACATCGCTAGTGGCAGGGCCGTCTCTCTGGCAAAACAATAACAATAAAGTAGCGAGGGCAAAAACAACAGAAGAGCCAAGTTTGAAGTGTGCCACTCAGCGCAAATATGTAAATAAATGGTCACTTACGGCAATTCAATAGAGGGTGTGGGGCGGTGAAAGAGTGAAAGTGAAGGAATGCGGCACAGTCTTTGGCAATTATAGTATATATTTATCAATGTGCTGGAAGCAAAACAAAGCAAAGCATGTGTTGGTCTATTCACCTCCTAACGTAGATTCTATCACTATAATCACATTTCTGCTATCACATTCCCAGTTTATGCTGTTGATTTCATGAATTCTACACTTGTCAAAACACAATTTGTTTATGCAGGCAGGATAAAATCTTAAATTCAGGTATAAAATCAATTAATAAAAAAAAAAATGTTTAATTGATTTTTGAGATAAGTCGTTTAAGAAATTAAGAAATAATTGGAAAATGTTGATATATTAAAAATTAATTTGTAATCAACTAGTTTGGAAAGTTTTACAATACCTTAATATTTCTTAAAAGTTGTTTACCTAAAAAACAACGTCTGTATTTACAAATTAAAAGAAGGTCCTTATCAAGTAAATTGTTTCCAACATTTCATATAATCCTTCTGAAAATAGGAATCGTGTAAACACGACCGTACCAACACTTACTTAGCAGAGATGAATGAGTGAGCGAGAGAGTGAACAAGAAATACCTAACCGACACTTGGCATTGTAATTGTCGGCTGCGGTTGCGTATACGTATTTTGTAATACATCAAACACTTGAACACCAGTGCTCTTGACGCTGCCCCTCTTCGTAATCCTCAGCCGTAGCCACAACTGCCACTCTCACGCCCACGCCACCCACAGCGACCACCCACTTCTCACTATCGTTACTCATACGCATGCATGGCGAGCACACTTAGCATTCAAAAGGGGCGGAGGGGGCGTGGAAAGTGCTCCGGCAGCCATGCGTGCATGTCGTTGCCACACGGAAACTAAATTGTAACCTCCAATTACTCTTTTGACATTTAACTGAATGAGTATAACTCATTTTTATTGTGCAATATTAAACTTATCTTTAATATAAAAGGGCAAAGTTAATGAATTCTTTTTCAAATTAAAATTTGTTTTAATTATGTAATTCATTGTTTTGGAAAAAAATATTATTTTTGGACAAACTATAAGACATTTTTTATAAAAAAGAGAGACATTTTTTTTTAAGGACACAAGGCAATTGTAAAATGAAATAGTAATCATAGTTTTAAAAATAATAAACTTCTCTTAAATTTGAAAAAAATGTTTAATCATTTCGGCAGAATTAATATCCTTTTGTTTCAAGATTTCCTATCAAAAGATTACCATGATTGATCTCTAATAAACTCTATTTGACCTACGATCTTATTTTTCTTTCGGTGTAGGCTCAAGCCATGGAAGTCGGCTCGGTTCGGTTCAACTCGACTGGGATCATTCATTTACGCATACGCCTCGCTTGCATTCGCACTCGCCCACTCGTTCAGCAAACAAACAAACAAACAAACCAGCAGTCACACTCTCACAGTTTGAGTGCCGAACTGCATATGAATAGTGAGCAAGTGTGTGGGGAGATCTCGTATATATTTGTCGATGGTTTGGTTACTTTGGCTTACTTCAGAGGATGCCGATGTGTCCAGATTGCAGTGATGAAAGTCCTTGTGTGCGAAATATTATCGTATGAAATATGGTGTTCTATTGGAACTTAGAGTTTAATATTCAATGAAAGGTTATTCCCTGCCTATTATAATCCAAACTCAGATATCTACAAAAATAACGAATTTTACAATTGGATTTCTGACTTTTAGTAACATGAAAGGCAAGACATTTAATAAAATGATTACCATTTTGGGTTAATTTTTAAAAATAAAAATTAATAATTTCTTGAAAGAATACCTGTTCCTATTCGGTGTATTTTATTCATTACTTATCACTTAAATCATCAATTAACAGTCAACTTTAAAAACCAATGAGCTAGATGTTTGTTTAAGCCTTCATTGACCCGAAAACTTATAATTAAATATAATGTCACAACCATGATTTCCGGGTCATATTCCAATTAGTTTCGATTTCCAAAGAGCGGCCAGCAAACTAATAACAATCGGAATACTCGACTAGAGCATTCCACCTTTCTCCACTCTTTCAAAAGTCAATATAATTTAATGTTTTAAAACAGTCGCCCAACTAATAGACCGCATATATGGCTCTGTAGAGCAATGGGGGAAACACAAACACATTCTCGGCGCTGCCGTTACAGCTACACGAACATTTCCTCAAACATCCGACATGGCGTCCATTTCCGTTATGGCAACAAAGCGGGACACACATGTGAGTGTGTGTGTGTGTCTGTGTTGTGTGTTTGCCTTAGCGTTTCCCTTTGCCCCCGTCGGTGTAATTGTTGCCGTCACATTTACAGTCGCCGACGCCGCCGAGGCCGTCAAGTCGCGTCGCTGTGACAGTCAAACCAAAAGTCGCCATCAACGATTGCTCCTCGATTCTCCTACATTTTATTGCAATCACTAAGAGAAAAAATCATAAGATATATATGTTTTATAAAATCCTTTAGTAGTTAGATACAAAGAAAGTCTACGAAATTAATAAAAATATTTTAAGTTTTCCATATAAATCCTTCCGTAAACATGACTTTTAAAAACTATTCCAAAAAGCTATTTCAATTCTGCCTAAACAAATTTGAAGAAATTAATTTAAAATTTTAGCTAATTTTCTATAGTTGACGTATGTTTAAAAAAAATTAACTTACATTTTTTGTAAATAATAAATCAAGAAAATTTGAGGTTCTTCTAAGAAATATTTTATACAAATTTCTAAAATAAAAATGTCATCCTATCATTCTAAATAATAATATTTTTCAAATGCTTTCTAAATTAAAGTCGATCGAGGGTCTCATATAAATCTTTTTGGTTGAAAATTGATCGAAATTTGAGTCCAATCCAATATTTTCGTTTAGTGCAGCCAGAGAAACAAACATTCGAACAGAACAAACTATCGTCAACCATTGTCGTCGAAATGTGAGTTTTATACGTTGCTTGTGTCGGTAACTGTTGTTAATCTTTGCTCATTGTTTTGGTTTAATTTATAAATTCCTGTCCATTTGGCAGATGCCAACTTTTGTTTTTCTATTTGCCATCCGCTGGTGCTTTTGTGTATTTTGTATGCTTTCGTTTCGTTGTTTGGTTTCCCTCTCAGATTTTGTTTCAGTTTCTATTTCTGTTTCTGTTTCTATTTTCATTTCTATTTTTATTTTTGATTCAGGTTGAGCTCGGTTTTGGTTTGTTTTCGTTTGGTTGGTGTGTGCAGAAACTGTTCAACTGTTCGCTGCTGATGAACTGACTCAGCATTTGTTTTTTTGTTTGTGGAAAGTCGACTTAGTTGCGACGACCATCGTCCACTGTAGCGGGTAGAATTAATTGTCGTTTGCTTTGCCATTTGCCATGTTTGCACAGATGCAGCATTCTGTGGACGATAATAATTTGCACAGTTTGAACTAAAGCACAACCTACCACAGTATGACAATTATTATGACAATCACTTAAAAGTGTTGGCAAAAATGATAGAAGCAGGGGAAAATATTAAAAGTGCTGTTCTAATAATTTATCAGCTTTCCTTTGTTTGCCTGACATTTTTTAAGTGCTCCAGATTTGACTTCTTTAATATATATCATATTTTTACGATACAATTCATAAGTCATTTTAAAGTGTCATAATTTATTTA